TCATTGAAGCATATGGCGATGTGATGAGGAAGATGGTCATCGTCGGCTCTGCACTTATCCCTCTGACAATCATCTGTGTTATTGTCTGGAGGAACATTAATGTTAAGAAGCTTGAAGCGGTTGAGAAGCGATCCAAGGGGAATGTGTTCTAAGGCTTGAATCTATAGACGCGACATCATGGTCTACATTTTACAAGTCTTTGCTACACGCGACGCCTATTTTCGGCATTGTATAATTAACATGGGGACTGGGGATGCAAAGATTAGGTAGAGGCATAGACCCGTTGTCATATACATTAGGTATACAATAGGTACCTACGGTCTGCCCCTGATACCGACTGAGATTCGGCATCAAGACAAGGACGGGGCTAATGGTTAAAATGCAGCATCTGTTATGGCTAAATCTATAACATGATCATGGAAGACCCCTACGTGGTTTGTAATTTGCCAGTTGTTAGACTAGTATTTGTTCCCTGTATATAACTACCTAATACAGGACTAGAAAAGGAAGCATTCACGACAGAAAATCTATCCAAAACCACGCCAGTTCCGTGACCAGACGAGGCCATAAACTCTGTCACTGAATTGTCGTGCTATATAACTGAAATAGGGTCACGCGGTCGTAACATGGCTCGCGGCTTCAAGCATTGTATGATAGAACTCAATATAAAACGCAATATCTATCATACATGGCGTTTCCAGGACATGTCAGTGGTAGATAACAACGTGTAACCATTCCATGATCACGGCGAGATACTGCGGTGTTTCACGTTAATGTGTTCACTTGAATATAGCTTAAGTTGGTCGCAAGGGGCCACTATATCACTTATCTTCAGGTTATAGCAACACATACAATTCGGAATACGGAATGCTCGGTGGCTACAAAGATTCCAGTACCACTAATCATTTATGACTCAGCTAGTGAAGCAAGACAGTAAGTATTACATAAATAACTACTTTCCTACTTCCTTGGATCTTATGAGATGGACCTCCCATCTTGGTAAATCTACCTACCTACCCAAGGCATGTTCTTTTAAATTCTTCGCCTAAGGTTGAAGCTTTTACCGGAGCGATTCAGAACATATTTCTCGCAATGTCGTCTCGCTGATTTATTTATCAACAATACCTTGTTAGATGGTCCAATAAGTTCGAGATCGGAGACATGGTAGCCGATATCTAAAGAAATTTATTTTTATCTTCATTTCGTAGACGCTTCCGGATCACAATCTATGAATGTCTTACGTTTGTCTCGGGCTTCATGTCTATAATAGTAGCTACTCCTTATTGCGAGCACCCATGAGAAACTACCCCGTGTGTATATTATGCTGCTGCCAGAAACAGTGTGTTGGACAATGGTTGACAGTTTTTCAGATAGCGTGGGAGTTTTAAGAATGTATCATGTGAATATCATCGTATGGGATGATATCGGCCTTGGCTACTATATGGGAAGTCTGAGAGTTTCCTCGTCTGAGGCCGAAATGGGTACACGAACAGGTCAGCCTTCGAGAGCAATCCAACCTACAAGAAGCCAGGTCAAGTACCCAGATATCAACTTAAAGCCATACAGTCTTATAAAACCTCCTTGATGGCCATGATGAGGTCCTAGCTACCCAACCCCTTCATTACGCTTATCATATTCTCCTTATTCCTCATTGTTAAGAGATCTACGCAGGGCAAGCCACTGAGGCAAGCCGTCGTCTTTGTGTATCATAAAGCCTCCTGTTAATCCATATCATGATTTTATAATTCTTAACATCTTATTTCGACGCTAAGAGCCTCAAAGACTGGCCCAGAGCGTCCCAGTATCCAAATCGCATTTTGTGTCATGCAATAGTTTCAATCGCCAAAGGACCGAGAATTGGTCCTAAAGGGAGCCTTTTTTTTTAACCCGGTCTTTACTCGTGGTCTAAGATATCTGTACGTTGATCTGAGCTGAGATTGACGTTAAGTACTCCAGGAAGAAAATATGTGTACATATCATTACCTCCACTATCACCACTTGGCCCCTTGCACCCGGGACATCGAGTACGCGGTACATTACTCTTTCTGTCCAAATTCGGCACCCGTTACCTTGAGTTTGAGCCCCCCGAGTTCTGTTGGCGCTAGCAATGTCGAAAATAGCGAGCGGTGGGTTCAACAACCATGCGAGGCACTCGCTTACGCCCCAGAGTACAGCTCCATTGAGGGTCTGGACTACAATAACCCTTGCGCTACTGGAGGTTGTCTCATCTCGCAAAAATGCAGCAGTGGCAGCTGCAGGCTGGAGGATGTCGGTGGGTATTGGATTTGCTGCCAGTGTAATCGCGGAGGAAATACTCTTAGATGGTGCATCCGCCCAATGAAGAAGATCCCAGATGCTCTTTGCTATCATTCCATATGTCAGAACTGCCGTCCAGATCATGGATAGAGGGTATGCGTTCAAAGGGGGGTTTGATGACTCGGACAGAGAGCCTGTCGTTTTGCTTGGTATAACCTTCTTGCGGTATCCCCTCCATCACTTACGGAGATCTCTTTGATTCCTTCCCCCCCCCCCCCTTCTTATTGAGAAGTCGGGATAGAAAATCCAAGACGAGCCTCCTCAATACTAAGAGCTAGGAGAGTGAGACCCGTGTCGAATTTGGGAAGTTATGCTAGATTATATTGGTTGCATTATTGGGTTCTCATTACGAGATCGGCGACTTCGCCACGTGGTAGCTTGATCTTATGTATGACAGCTTTTGATAGTTGCGCTCGCCTTGTAGAGCCCCTTGAAGAATATTTTTGCTTTTCTAGAAGTAATCTATCTTTCCACACAAATGTGGCTTCCCGAGCGATCGTACATCATCTTGCGTGTACCCCAAGCGCCCCTGGATATTGGTACCGCGCGGATGGTTGCTTCACCCAGGTCTCTGGATCATCCGCCGCGTGGACCAGAGTGTCGGGACGTGATTCGACTACGGTAGGCGAGCACACAACGCTATCAGCAATGATCGCAATTTACACGTGGGTTTTAGTTCAATAATTCCAGACTCATAGAATAGATGGGTACCCTAGATTTGGTCGCCGACGTCTGCAAATAAGCCTCGACCGATCTACATGTATATTCTGAGAAGCAGATACAACGAGAATCAGGCACGTTCCATCGTACACTACGCAAAAACTAGGGCGAAGCACAGGTAGTCCCAGAAGATAAGAACCACGCATGTGCCGGCCGCCCAAGTACCAAGCAAGATTTGATGTAAACAACATGACCTAGTTCTACTACATTCTCCTCTTTCTGTCTAGTATCCGAAGATTCCTTCCAAGAAGCCACATAATCATACCATGTGTACCGAAACAGCCTATACGCTCCGGTGCGAGCACGTCGTTACCCGAACCCTCTACTGCTCGGATGCCCCCTCGCCATCTCGACAGTCACGCAAGGAACGGAGGACCTGTAACAGGGTCATTCGAAATGCCGTGCCCTGGCCACCCCCACCACAGTTTGGGGCACAGGCTACATGCCCTTTGACAAACTGTCCGTTCGAGGAACGAGGAGGCTATTGGAACTGTTGTTGGTGTGGTAAGGAGTGGAATGACCAAGGCAAGTCGATATCATAATTCCAATCAAGAATCAAGGCTTTCCGCGGTTTCTAACGTTGCCTTAGGTCGTTGTAGTTGCGTGATGATTATTGATAGACAGGAGTATCGCTGTGGGCATATTTGCTGTGAAACATGTGAAGCGGCTACTGAGGCTTAGCAGGGAGGAGAGCTACAGCAATAAAAGAAAACATGTGTATTAGCGAATCTTGGAAGGAAATGTTCACTGTTTGGGAATCAGGCCTCGATATTCAGCTCTACGAATAGGGGGAGGCCACCTTTGCATAAAAGGGCGAGTTCAATTCGTGGATTAGTTTCGGCATATCTTCATTGAAGCTGTGTAAGATACGATGATTAAATGTGGCGGACCTGAATGAAAGATTAATACTTCGTTACGGGAGCCACAGAGAACAGAATGGGAAGGTAATTTAAAAGCAATAACATCACACTCCAAGAGCTGTACAGGAAAGAAAAGAAAAAAAGGGGGACCTGAGCGTTAGAATGTAACGGATATGTGGTTCATAGCTCACGATGGCCTTGAGTACCGTATCCCCAGCGGGTTTAATAGAACTAAAAATATCGATCCGGAAAGGAGTTGAAAGTTAAAGAGAAGGTCTATTTAGGAAGTGGTAGAGTGGAAGATTGCCGGCTAGCAAGCGAAAAAAGTAATGATCCTCGGCCAACCTAATCCGGCTCCCTGGTTTCTAGTCGATCGCAGAGCCGTACATGACGCCACAGTAACTAGAACACCTTCCGGGTCTCAGTCGTGAAAAGCAATTAGCTGGGTCACCCAGATCGTGTGAGATCTATACCCACTCAGGCCCACCCGCTCGGCAATATACGGTGTCGTACATGATGCACATGTGTGTCAAGTAACCAATAGTGAGTCCGGCTAAGGGGGAGGAAGAATAAGCATAGATGGGCTGACCTAGTAGGAGCGCGAATATCGCGATTGGACTGTAGGCTGCTGCTGGGGGCGTCATAGTCGCACTAATTCACACTGCTACCCGAGACAAAGATCTGTACCTCGCCCAGGTCGCTGCCATCGCTCCTGGGTCGAGGGAACACGCTCGCCAATACGAAGGAGAGAGCTGCTGATCCTTACCCCCGGAAATCTTTTTCACTCGACGTGTTGCAGAGTTGGGGCGTCCTGCTTGTGACGCACCAGATAGGGGGGGATGTGTGTCTTCCTCATTATCGACACAAGGATGATCGAGGCTGGAACTTGTGCGTGGGAGGAAAAGGACCCAACAGGCTACCAGTAGTACTCACGTCGCTCCCGGAGAAATACATAGGTTCCTACGAGTACAGGTAAGCATATATAAGAGGTTGAAGATGTCCGGGACTTGGGTTGGGATCGACCAATTCGTCCTCTTCGGCAAAACACTAACCTCGTAGTCGTGTGCCGTCATATTTAAATCTTTGTACCAAAAACCGGCGAAAATGTGCCACGGACACCCTCACTACCATCCCTGCTCTCACACATCGGTCAAATGGCTGTACTGTCCGGAAGCCATGTTCGATCTGGACACGGGATATGAGACACCCTGCTCGAACCCGATCTACTCAACACCGCAGCCAACCAACGTCGACTGTCCCCTGCAGAACTGCAACTTCAAGGCCCTAATGGGGAGCTGGATTTGCTGCGTCTGCGGGAAAGGTCCCAATACTCAGGGGTGGTGCACCTCATTAAGCCGCAGGACGGACTGGAATCCCCTAACAAGAAAAGTTGAGGAGATGGAAATGCCTTGTGGGCATGGTTGCTGCAGCTCATGCAGCCCATCCTGTGAGGGTATGAACTACACCGCTATGCACATGGGAATAGATCCTCCTGACTATTCATAGCGACGTCGCGAGGCGTGAGTCCGGAAATATCGTTCGCCGAAGTTCGAAAAGGGAAGAGTAGCCGCAAGGCTCACCATACCGCGCGAGGCTCCGTACACAAGCGAGGGACAGCGTACGACTTCAGCCACAACAACATGAGTCGTCCCGCCGTGTCAGATGAAAACGAACCAGCCACTTCGTCAACAACTTCAAACTCTCGAGGATCCCGTCGACTAAGCCACGACACGAGCGCTGAATATTCGAAGAAGCCAAAAATAACGAACGGGAAGAAGAAATCACACAACAAGGGCCGCATCCATCATTGAACTGTATACGCGAATCTATACCAATGAGGAAAGAAAAGGACCATAGTCTCTACTGGCTTTTGGGGTTGACAGTAGGCCACACTCACTCGGTATAACAGTCAGTTACGGATGGAAACGTTGTTAAAAGATAGTACACTCATATAGGGCTGCGTTGTATCCATAGTATACATGCGGAGAGAAGGGGATATCTGTGGAACGTACCCTATACATTACTTCATCTTACTAGCACGCTTGATCGGTTGATGCCTTGCCGCTCTCGGACTTTAGCAAGAGTCGTGCTGGACATACGATTAGTCAGTGATGGTATAATGATGGAGGTTGAACTCGTCGCTTTGGCGATCCCAAAATGTATCATGTCCTTTTGCTACCCTCGCCTTTTAGAGTGTCCCGTTCGTAGAGAGATGTCAGTAGCATACCCGGTCAACTTCTTCCCAGCATTACCCCGTTCTATACGAGATGGGATTGCCACTGCACTGTCCTCGATTCTCGCTAATTTGAACTGGGTATGGCCAAGGAACCCGTATCGGTTTCAACATGAGTACTACCCTTCGTTTAATACCCACCAGCTGAGACAGTAATTCGTCTTTGATAAAGGGAAGTCCTCATTCGCTCCAAGTAGCGGGTTGCCACTGACTGTAACCGATTTACTGGTAGCAGAGTGAGACCAGATGAAACTGGGGCTGTTACCAGCTACTCGGGTCTATTATGAAGTGTGAAAGCTTGTTGATTTCTGTAATGTAGAGGCAAATGTCCGGAGGATGAGAAAATGAGCCAGAACGCAATATCTAGCATCGGACAAGAAATCACATTGCCCGCACGAACATTCCGCCTTACCTTAACAGGTACCTAGATAGGTGCTCAGCAAACAGGGTACGTTTGGCGGCGGTTCAATTAAGAATTACAGCTTCGCTCTCTACTATGTAGATCTCAGCCACCGGTTGGGAGGAGCTTAATATGAATAACCGAATAATATATATGGTTTGGGTCTCGCGGCAGAGCTGACTACTTCACAGGTATGCTCAATCTTCAATATCTTCAATGCATTACGGATGTTAGTTAACAGACATGGCGGGTCGAGGCATTGTTGGAAGCGGGTGAGTGTAAGAGAGGCTGTCAGGCTGTCCTACAAGTAATATGAAATGAAATATCGTTGCATACCTCGTCTCCTATTACTCGATGTGTATAAAATACCCTTGCCATCCGGGGGCTGTCAATAATACCCCAGGGTTACATTCAGCTTACCTTACCGCCACGTGCGCAACATGCAGGTCTGACGAAAGCTGTGAGATAGGCTGGACCAGACAAGGATCCCTTGGCCGGTATGTTTTGCAATTAGCAACGATCCAAACTTTTGATAGCGAAAAATGGCTATTCCTTAAGCCTGGTTGGCGGGTTGACGAAGTGATAACTCTCCCTGCATGTGTCTGCAAGTGTGATACATTACATATTCGGTATTGTTTCCGTTGTGAGAACGCAAGTCGCATATCATCACCTATCCCGCGATAGGGCCCCCTCAATTAGGATTGGGATAGTGCCTGCTACCCCTCGAATTGTCGTCGGTTAGAGTCTAGGTCGATGGAGGTCCTTCATTACCTAGGTAGGCAGCTAGGCTAGGTAGAGAAACGGGATCCCTTGGCAGATCGACATGATGATCATTAGGCCACGTGCTAATCTCCAGGGAACTTCCTCGCCAACAAAAGATAACGAGGGGGGAAGAACCTTGTAGACACGGGTTGCCAAGCAAGAAATACGTCCGGGCGTCAAGGCTATAAATCTGCCTTGGCTGTTCGATAATATAGGTAGTTAGTATAACTACCTGGTAAATAACTAACCTATTAGATACATATATTACTATGTAACCTAGATATCTACCTCACTATAAAATGACTCGTGGCGATAGTTAATATTCTGGGTATAAGTAATGGGTACTTAGGTAGTTCAAGGGTAGGTACCATGTTTCCACGCGTGTAGCAGTAACCGCAGGATCTAATAGCGCAGTCGTCATGTTGCATGATCAGCAGAATCCGAGCTCAAGAGAGGCCTTGGCGGAGTCGACCAGGTACGATTTTATCTGAACTTCCCTTTCTGTGTATGTATTTGTGTATTGTGGCAAGAATACCTACATATATGTTCATAGGCATGTAGAAAAAAACGGCACGCAAGGCCATGGCATACTTGAAACTACTACTCTCATAAGTATTTTCTTATTCGTTATTCATAAACCGGTGAGCCTCCCTGGCTGGCTGGTAGCTGACTGCATGCTGCATCCATGTGGCCGAGCGGCGGGCTCAGAGCCATGTGGCCGCCGTTACTCTTAGCGAGACAGGCCAGAAGACGGGATACAAAGCTCACATAGAGATGGTAACTAGATTTTATTCAAATCACTATAAGAAGTTAGGCAGGTAGGTAGTAGATAATAAAATTAGTCAATGCAATACGCCTAGGTTTACATCAACTAACTGGTATATACCTATTAAGTCTTTACGGGTTAGTTATTATGATGTAAGGCGTTACGATTGTTATTATTATTATTATTATGATATAATACCGCTCAGATCGCTTTACGATGATCTATCAGCTTGCCTCGCAGGGTTCCTTAAGCTGGTAATACAATTTAACCTAACATAGCACTTTCATAGTGACATTCCCACAGCTCCCACGACTAACACAGGTACCTAACACACCATCATCATCTTCATCCCCCCCCCCCCCCCTTTTTTTTTTTTTGTGTGTGTGTTTGTCTACATAAGTTAGGTACATATGTTTTTATTTTATTACTGCTTAGCACCCCCTTTTTATTTTTGGTTTATTCGTAACTGTTTCTAAGTTCTATCGTGTAATATTTGATATTTACATTCTAATAGTTGCATACCTACCTACCTAAGGTAACCAATCTATTTTTCCCACTTACAGCCCACTGCTCAATTGAGAAGCATCAGATCATTCACATCGATTCAATCCCGTCTTCGTCCGTCCCATCCCTGCATAGCGCCGTTTCGAACTTGGAATCCACCACACCATTACTACTATTACCACTTTACTACTCACGACTTTATCATTCTATTACCCAACTGCTCTGCCACTAATACTCTACTCTGCCACTACTCCTAGACGAACACTACTTTTCAATCAGCATTTACAGTTAAATCTGTCATAAAAACCTGCCTGTCGTAACCAACCCACCACAAAGAAAAATCAATATTTATTTATTTAGTATATACATACCTACATACCCAAGGTAGACCTCGCAGAAACAATGCCTACTTCGTTAGATTCATCGCGCCCTATCATGGCGCCTTCTACAGTACGTAATAAAAGCTTTTATCTTTTCTTTTTTTTCTTCTTTTTTTCCCCTTTACTCTCTTTAACCTCGTTCTAATCTTACTTGGCTCGTGTTTTGCCAGCCTAATCTATTAATTTGACAAAATAATCCGGAGACATAAAGAGCTGACACGCCATTCAAAATATAGATCGGCTCTCCCCGCGCATCTATGCGTTACAGCACATATAGCACAGCGCCGTCATTGACGGCAACAGTACGAACGACCGATTCGGCACACGCTGAGATTCGCGAGATCGAAACCGGGCTCGCGCGCATGGAAAATAGGGCTCTGTCAAGCCAGCGTGTCGTCCTATCTGAAGAGAAGTCGGCCAACCTTAACAAGCTCGCCCTCGGTGCTAAGCTCGACCGTGCGCTTGAGCGTCGTATGACTAGTCAAGACGCCGTCATGAGGCCAAGGAACCGAAGCGTCCGTGAGAAGGATCCGGAAAAGCAACATTAAGGCTACTGTAAATCGGGAAGGAAACGAAACAACCCGAAATGAGAAGCAAGTAATTAAACAACATTGGAGGATGATACCAGGCGAGCGACAGCTACAGCTCTAAAACATTTCCTGTTTTTTTTTTCTTTAATGTTGACGTTTTATCTCATTGTTGGTCGGTCTCAAGGATAAATTCGGGGGGCCGATATATCATTTTTATTCAAATCTTTGCCTACGAGTCCGGACACGCAGGCTGATCCAGTATCTGGCCTAAGAAGAATGGAGGTTGCGACAGGATTACGTCCTTTCACAGTTCCAAGTCAGCCTACCAGTTGTCTATGACGGATACGATAGACGAGGCGTATCTAGGAGGTTCGGCTGGAACTCGATATTAAAAGGCAATATCAGAAGTCACGGGAATCATCTCCCTGGGTTGCAGCCACCACTAGGTGGTTAACAAGCATGCATAGGGGTAAATCGTGGAAGAGGGTGGAAAGGGAGATACAAGCTAGAGACTGGCATATTTTATCCGTATTTCAGCAGGCAATCCACTTGCATGTCAAATATACCCCTTTCCCCGGCTCTTGTGTGATTTAGTCCTTCAGGTATCGGCCCTTCAGGTATCGACAAGGTTCAACCAAGTTCAAGGTCAATGAGGGACGATATAACAAAGTCTGAAGGAATGATATATACATAGCCTACACGTACCAACCAACCAACTCCCTAAACGCCTTTAGAGTGAATACCTGATATCGGAACGTAAAACTCGAAAAGAAAAGCAATGCCTGCGTACACTTTAAGAATTACTCTTCTCTCCTAATTTTACGTTAATGTCCTTTAATAAGGCGACCAGCTCGCCCTCGTCGCCTTCCATCTCCAAGCCCTTATTAACCCATTCCTTGGCCTCGATCAGCCGTCCCATCTCCATTAGACACTTGCCCCGCCTCCACCAGGCCTTCGAGTTACCGACTCGCTTAGCCTCAACGCTGGCCTCGGCGTCGGAGGCGCCCTCGGCCCAGTTCTGCAGGCCCATGTGAGCTTGAGCGCGGTTGGCGTAGAGAGCAGCGACCTCCTCGCGCACCAGCTGCTGGGGCTCCCACAGCGGCCGCGTCAGTGCCATTTGCAAACCCAAGGTGTAGAATTTGACGGCGTCGGCGTGCTTTCCCTTACGGTATTCGGCGTTACCGCTATCTCGTAGTTTACTGACGTTGGCCGACCGCTTCGGGTTGACGGGGAGTGGCGGGGGAGGCACTTGGTTCGGCGTATCGAGCGCGAGGAGAGAGCGGTGCAGGGCGTTGAGCGAAGCCAGCTCGGATTGTAGAGCGCGCGAGCTGGACGTCGCTGTTAGTGCCTTGGTCTGAGGATCGATCTGCAAGGGCAGCATGGTGAAAGTTTCGAGCTCCGAAGACATGTTGGCGGTGCGACTATCGGATTACCAATAAAGAATCGAGGTTGGACTTGTTATTCGGTACGAAGTAGCACGAAGTAGGAGATATGAAATATGAAATATGAAATATGAAAGTAAATTGTAGAACTCTCTAATTCGGATCGCGAATTGCTAAAAGGTAGCAGCTGTCGGTTGGGTAGAGACAACGACGAATTGGCGATATTCCTAATTCTTAATTCTTAATTCTTAATTCTTAAATGCGATCTGGCGACTTTGTCGCTGCAGGTGCTACACAGATGTATTGATAGGAGGCCACTTGGCAAGATAAGAGCCTTCCATTCTACTAGGTTACCCAGTGTACCTAGGTACCTGTAAGGTTGTACAATTGTACATACATGCTGTGGCATGGAAACGTGGCTTGCTAGGTACCTAGGTACCCTTACATACAAGCTGCAGACCGCATTTAAGTAATTGAAAAGCTGCACCTTTTCTTCTACATTTTCCTTCTTAACATGTTAACCGTAATACATCTCTTAGTCGTAAGAAGATGTTCAGACTTATTCAAGACATGCAGTCAATATCGTATGTATGATTCGTGGAAACCTCAGCTACTCAAGTCCATGCTGAAGCACGGATTATTATGCTGGGAGCAACTATCGTCACATTTGTCCCCCCCTGGCTTCGAGAACGCATCAATACAATACCTGAGGTATATATAAGTGTAGGTGCATGTCCTCCCATTTCTACCGGCTAAACGTCTTACGTGGATGCCAGTTTTCTTCAAACATCTGCGACACAAAGTAAAGGTCGTGCTCCCATTCCAACTTCTTCCCTGCCACTGTATATCATTCGTCAGTCAGCACCAAGGTGTAGGTACTTAAATCACTAGGAGGCCAAGATGCTCACCTTTTCCATAGGCCTCGCGCGTTTCGATCAGTAGTTTCACCTCGCCGGGATTCAAAGTTCCCCAGACCGTGTTCTTCCGGTCCTCGGATTCCATTTCCGTCATCAATGTGTTCACGTCTCGTTTATAGTAGTGCCAATGGCTAAGGATATTATTCGCCCCCTCTTGGAGCCCTTCCACAAACTTGGCCAGATCGTACCGGTATTCCTACACATTACATTAGCCAAGCCGGTCATGAGCTGCCATCGCTTCTCAGCACTCACAGTATATTTATTGTCCTTAGCCCGACGCAGCCTATCGGCAGAGGTGAAGGAAACTTCGTGGAGAAGCATGAACACGATCAGGTAAACAAAGTAAAAGTGGTGCGGATTCTTGCCCGCCATTACCCTCCATAAGCCCTCGAGTACAAACTTTCTTAATTGTACAAGTACCCGCTGTCCGAGGGAGTCGAACTGTGCCGGGATCATCCGCGGTATTGATATCGTCCCATGGTATGGACATTCGGGGTTGTCTATTGCCTTCATATCCAGCGTTTCTTCTCCCACGATGAAGGCCGATCTTAGGGTATTTCCTGCTCATCCAAGTCAGCCATCTCATCAGGCGCAGAGAGAGATCATCCACAAGCTACTAACGAGTTGCGAACCATAAGTAAAAATACTGTTCGAGTAGAACTGCATTCTTCATATTTTCTGATCCCGATTCAACCGAGGTATTCTAAGAGCAGCTCCTTAGTAGAATGTTACGCGACTCGGGTGTGTAATCTCACTTTACACTTCTGGGCGTATTCTATCCTGTGAAAACACATTGTCAGATTTGTTCAATTTGACGGGATTCACAACAGTGGAAAGTGAAATTGACTAGACACTGGGGAATTGTTTACTTACGCCGCCCGGTAAGTCCTTCGCACCAAAGTATCGACCTGACGATCTTGAGAGTACTCTCGTACGGCCGGGTGCGCATAGTCATATATGTATTCCTCGTATCTTTTAGCAGTTTCCCAGATGCTTGCGAGGGCATAAGGTTCGATGTCGATTTTTTGTTTCTCCCCCTTCTTATCAACCCAGTATTTGCAAATTACGTCTCCATCGATAGGCGTGAACTTCTTGACCCTCAACACCATCGGATGACGGCTTCCCATGATCATCTTAATCGTGCGGACGTCGTTGCTGTTAACCCAGTCTCGCGGTCCAAGATCTTTCATCCTGGTTCCACTCCATCGTTTTGTCAAATCAAGACCACCCTCGCGGAAAAGGGCAACATCGGCAAGCTTCCATCGCAGACATGGTAGTCTATGGATCACTTTCTTAGAGTCCAATTTGATGTTACGGCAGGTCAAGCAATCAACCCCTCGCGGGTTTTTCGGATCTGCCTTGCACTGGGATAGGTGTGAGTAGATAATACCTCGCAGCATTAATGGTTGGCCCACCTACTTTTATTTTCTGCATACGACATCGAATGCAGGCCCGTAAACACGTCAGCTAATGGCAAGACGCTACCATAGTACGGTGTGTAAGAAAGGGGTGGTTTGAGAAAAGAATCTACCTTTAACTTTCGGGTGCTTCCCGTCTCCTTACGGTTCTGATCACTCAGGTGTGACTGGGAACGCCTCTCGGGGTGAGACACTGGGCAGTTTCCATCAATGGCAGCGTCGTCTTCGATAACACTTTCCCACAATTCTTCCTCCTCTTCTTTTTCTTCTTCTTTTTCTTCCTCCTCGAGTATGGGAGTGCTTTTACCTGAGAGGTCGGAAACCTGTGGGGAACCGTCGTGATGGCTAGCACTGTCCTTCTTTACCGATAACCCCAAATCTATCCACCCTTCATCTATAGGCTCGATCAGACTCTTTTCATCACGCTCCTCCGGGATTAAGGGGCTAGACCCGGGTGGCCGTCGCTCCGGAATAGAGGAGCCACCATCAAGACGTGGTCGATATTCGACGAGCATGCCTGGCGTCTTCACCGGGTTCCAAGGGGGGAGGAAAGAATAGACAGGATAGCTGGGCGTGGTTAAACCTGTGTAATCTGCTAAATAGCTTCGCGGAAAATTATTGTACGATGCAGGTTCTTGTGTAGTTAGATAAGGGAGTAACGGGGAGGATACTGAGGGCAGGCTGCTGCTACTTGAGGTCAACTGGGCTGAATTATTGCCATTCCAGTTATAACCTTCCAGACCTTGCTCCTGTGTGAGGGTAGTAGGGGACAGGCTGAAGTGATCCCTCGTTGCATTTGATATGATGGGTTCTATGCCGTAATTAAGAGGCCCCGACGGAATAGAATAGCCCCAGTTAGTATCAGGAGGGTGGTGCCTAAGATCGTCTGATGTTGCGGTGACGGCGGCGGCAACTGAAGTCACAACACCGGCAGCTGTTCTTCGTCTCTTGGGTGACGGTTTAGTCAGCGATGAGGGTGAGGGTGAGAGTGAGAGTGAGGGTGAGGGTGACGGCTTGGACCCATATTGCTTAGAGTTATTGGTTTTCGTGATTCGTGAAGAAGGGGGAGTAGGACTGGGGTTATAGTTGGTTGGTGATGGGGAGGATGTGATCCGAGACCGTTTCTTAGGTTTCCATGACGTCTGATCAATTGGCGTAACCCCGGTAGAGGTCGAACGGTGGACTGAAGGGGAGTTTACAAGTGTGGGAACAGGTTGGACCACGGAAACAGCAGTTCCATCCATCATGAGCTCTCTCTCTATCTAAGCGATCTAATCTCATTTCTTAGCTAACAACGACAATGATCCTGACGCCAGGGCGTGTGCATGTGTGCGCGTGTGCGCGTGTGCGTGTATCAAAACTGCCGGTTACTCAAAGACTCGCTGTACGCTGTACGCTGTACGTCACATTCACCGTCGTCGGCCGGTGAAGAATAGCAAAGTGGCGCAGGGGGGGTTGCTAATCTTTGTTCTCAATTCTTCTAAATTCGAAACCGGCGAAAATTGCTGTGTAGCAAGGAACCATGAGTGGGCAACGGCTGGTCTCGTAATACGCAATATAGGTACGAGTTTTCCCCCGGTCAGCTTGGTTCTCGTGGCAGGGCAGGATGGATGCAGCACGCAGCACGCAGCACGCGGCACGCGGCACGACGGGGTATCTCAAATTCAGGAGTTTCTCGCCGGATGAAAAAAAAAAAAAAAGAAAGAAAGAAAGAAAAAACCGAGATAACTAGGTACTTTTGGACGATCATCAAGCCGGAACGTTATGCAAAGCTCTCCCCGCGATGAGCTCTAAAAGCTGTGTGATGGTGATCTGTGGCAAGACGTTGTAAAGAAGTAAGCTTACGCATTTGCCTGTATGTTTATGGTATATACACGACGCCCGACCAGAGAGTCGACCCCTCAATGGCCGTTGGAGCGGTCTGATTGTAGAGACTAACGAATTATTCGCATCACACCGAGACCAACAAGATAAAAGCAAAAATAAAGTAAACACAAAGAGGTCAAGCCACTAGGTTACTTAATGACACTTACTACTACATATACGCAGCTTTTCGAGTCGGCAGGGGGAAAAAAGATTATTAAAAGATTAAGACCATTATCCTCTGACACCTCAACTGTCTATTGTTATTATCAGTATTATTATCAGTATTGTTATCAGTATTGTTATCAGTATTGTTATCAGTATTGTTATCAGTATTGTTATCATTATAATTATCATATACGTTCATAGCAGCCTCTATGCGTGTGTATATATTTAATATGTATATGATTAACAAATATGTCTACACTTGCAACATTATAAACGGCTAGCACACATGACAGAAGTAGACGGAGAGGTAATAAATGCAGGGCCAGCCCGGAGTCTTCCCGTACAGCATATGGCATGCTGCAATGCTGTCTTGGACTGCACATTACATAAGGAATAATGACAAGGATGAGGATTAAGACCTGCATGAAGGCCTCCAGCCTGACTTCTCGACAGCCGCCGGTCGAGTTTTGCGGGTCATCATCATAGAACTACTACATAACTTATATTCCACTTACAACCGGCTACCTAGGTAAGTACCACCCAAGGTAGATAGGTAGATATAGAAATCCAAACCGGTCATATAGTTAAAACTATCTTCATCTTCATCCTCTTACCTTGTAATGATTCGTGCGGACTTGTCGCCGTCTTATGCCACAGTTACGCGATCCTAGAAATCCACGCTTAGGTGCCATATGTGTTTCCTCGCCGGTCTCAATCCCTGCTCGTCAAAATGCTGGACCACAATTTTTCTTCGACGACAGCCTCATATGCGATTAACAAAAGGGAAAAAAAAAACAAGGACCAATCGCCATTAGTGGTCCTACTAGACGCTCCCTTTGGAAACTCTTCCGAGAGGTGCGTTACCAATAAATAGAGCCTTTACGGAAAAGTCTTTGCGCCATCTTAGTCTCGCCTTACAGCAAGGGCACCTTTTCCGTTTTTCCCGGCCGCCACGTCAGGCACAATGTCTCTTAGGGTTCGTGGGGGAAAACGCGGGAGTGTACCCCCGGGGAAGCGGTTGCTCACGACATCAAGCGGGACTATCGTGCTACATGAACTTGATGCTGTCTCTTAATAACTTAAAGATGCCAATGTTCCGTAGCCATGACCCATACCCGTTGTAGCCCATACACCATTAGAACCTTCGTCTTCGTTGGGATAAGGGAATTGGCAGACTGTAAATTCGGGCGGCTCTGGCGCACATCACACGAGACGTTACCTACTCGATAACGGGCTAGGAGATTAGTAACGAAGCTTCTGGCGGCTTTCTCTCTCCCTTTTTCTTTTTTCTTTTTTCTTTTTCTTTTTCCTTGTGAAAATACCAACCCGTTCTTCAACTCTGGTATTAGGCTTCACTATACCCACCATCCCGCTTGCCGCGGCGATGGCCCTCCCTTCTCAGAGGAATGGCAGTCTACCTTTACAGTGATACAGTTTCTTTCCGGGAATCCGGCCGGATGAGACCACAAAAACTCCCCGTGTCTCTTATAGTGTTACCACATCTATTGTCGTCTCTCTGATATGGCCATTAGGGGGTCTCGTGTAAGGTTAATGCGATTAGTTTCTCGGTTTGTAGCTCAAGTCTAAATGCCCTATTTTTTATTCCAGGAAAAGAGGAGTTGGTCCGAGCCAATGATAAGTAGCATAGAGCACAGATTTGTGTCATAGTTGAGTCAGTCGTTATAACTGGTATTCAAAAGAAAACGCCTTAAGTAGATGCCACTATAAGTCGCCAAAGTGATGGCGGTTTCTCATCCTCAAAAATAAATCTTCAAGCTCCTTTAAACGCACAATTACACGAATGAAAATGACAAATGACACAGTCCCGCACACCGCTGAAAACGCCGTCAGCCTGCAGCCTTGGATGCATCGCGAGGGCCATGGTCTTGTCGCGGATGTTTTGTCCCGGCAGCAAGACGGCATCTCCCATCCACCCAGGGGGTTTCCACCCTCTATCCACGGACCAACGAAGTGGTCTGGATTAGATCCTAACAAAATACAGCCACATACACTTACCCTAGATGGCCCCGATGTAGCGGCAATAAGGGGGACTTTAGAGTCGTCCCATGGTAAGCTCCTACCAAACTTCGCGTCCCTACTCTACGTAATTTAACTAGGATCTGCATAGAACTCGAGCTGGATGGCGATGAGGTAACGCGGGAGTGCTTCCCTCTTCCAAGCCTTCAAGATAGGCTTGAAAAATGTGCTTTCGAAGTTCACCGTGGTTGCGGGTTATGTATCATTCGTGGACTAAACCCTGATAACTATACTATCGAGGATAATATTGTCCTCTTTCTCGCGATTGCAAGCTATATTGGAGACGAAAGAGGCCTTCAAAATGCTAAAGGCGATATGTTATGTAAGTTTATATGCATCTTGTTTGTTCCTGCCGCTTGCTAATCCATAGGGAAAGCCCATGTTACCGAGTCCAAGACCTGGACGGTACCTAAGGAGAAACGCCACGGGATACATACCAACTATAGCTTGGTATGTAACTAATTCGCCTCGTTAGGAGATGCAAAGGCAATTTGCAACCCAAGCTGACATTCTTAGCCATTCCATAATGATATGGGATGCGAAATCCTATCCATCCAAGTCCGAGACCGAGCCGATGAGGGTGGGCGTACCTGCGTAGCGTCCATAGCGGCCGTTTACAATGACCTGGTACAGACGAAGCCTTGGGTCCTCCATGCCCTGGCGAAGCACAACTGGCCAATTCAAACGTAAGCAGATGCTAGAATCTATACCTGTAAATAGGAAGACAAGCATGGCTGACATCACTTAAGGAGTTCTAGAAGAGAGCCCCCATTTGTTCTATGCCCCTTAATAGAGTACCATGCCGGGAACCTATTAACTTCGATGGATCCCTCTCGTATAGGACCGCATCCCTTAATTCGCAACGGCTCGATCCCGAATCTTACGCCAGAGCAACAGGAGGCACTCGTAGTGCTCGAAGAGACAGCACAGAAGCACCAGATACAGCTTGATACCCAGCCCGGCGACCTTATATTTATCAATAACCTTGCCCTTCTACATGGTAGAGAGTCGTACCTAGATAGTAATACTTCATCAAGACATCTAGTGCGACTATGGCTACGCAATACTCAACTAGGCTGGCCCATCCCTCCTTCGATGAGCATGCCGTGGGACGCCGCCTTTGGAGAAAGAGCTAAGAAAGTGATGGATAGATACTATCCCATAATGCCGATGCCCGAGTATATAGAGTGCAAGTACTCTAACGGGACAGCAGCGTTCGTCGCCGATGATGATAATTTCGACGACGGGAGCGACTCTGGGTCGAAGTACGCAGGAAGATATTTCAGCTAGCTGGCGTCTCGGGTGATTCATAATCATAGAGGATCTTCTAAAATTTACGTTGGGTCATCTTGCTAATGACACAATTTGACCATGATTATGGTTTATGACATACACCGTCGAAAAGATAACGTTGTTGAACCGGTCTGTTGTAAATACAGATACGTCTTCTAGTCACATTACTGCTTTTGTTACCAATTTCATATTGATAATGGATCTTGTAACTTTTACTAAAGTATTAACTGTTCTTCGTAGAATTTATATCTCATCACCTGTTCGTTCGGCCCCGTTTGTATATTGTACTTGGGCAAAGTCGTGCAGAATAACCTAGAGAGAATCGTAGTTGTTATTATCAATCTATTGACTGACAAGCACTTATCTTACGAGGCAGGTAGATAATCATATAGAAATTGCAGAGTTAGCAAGTGAACGTTTAGGGCGTGGTGATTAACTTGACCATGACACTGCGGTAAGATTCGTTCTTATAACGGGTAGCTACAGCGCATTATAACTAATCATGAGAGCAACCGATCCAATTTTAAGACGTATGTAACTTAGTGATTTCAAGATTTATCACGATACGACGAGCTGGGGATCAAGGGATAATAAAACATGCTGGGTCATCAAGTCAAGCAAATTGGGTGTGGGTTATGAGGTAGATAGATACTAGGTTAGCTGTATCACCGAGATGAAGATGAGTAGTCATTTTAATGCGACCAGGGGACGGGATATCACAGCTTACCGGCTTCAACTGAAAATTTATATACCTACCTACGTGTATGTAAATGATCATCGGCGGTTCCACAATAGCTAGAACGGAGGCGTAGCCGTGTAAGATGTAACAAGACGTGATGATTGCTGTTCGGCTTCGGAGCGCGGTTGTGGTCGAAGATCTTGCCGCGTACGGAATGAAATCCCGGAAAACATTTATCGGGGCAGTGCAATAGGTATTAATCTATTGGCGACGAGATTGTATGAGTAACGGCCTCGGCCTCTTATGTCATAGAGTGAGCGGGTAGTGACAGTAAGATTACCTACTACTACTACTACTACTACTACGGATTACTATACCTATACCAACAGCTATTAATAGTTATGTTGTTAGGTGTAGTTACCACTTTTTTTCTTCCTATCTTTTCTCGAATAATATTTCTGCCTCGTTCTTACATACGAGGTCACAGAAACGGACGATTCCAACTGGCATAGCCTTTCTTATGCAGAGGGACACCACTTCGTACAAGGACAGAAAGACAAAAAGGTAGAAAGACAAAGGGGAAAGGCTTGGACCGATACCATCTCGAAACAATCCTAGACTTGGCATACCTATGCACTGCCTATCGGTTTCCCCTATGGACTTTACGATATGTACAATACATGATATCTGAGTATTTGCGCGTTTACTAGTAACAGAGTAGAAGGGGAGTGAGTGGACGATCATACGAACGAGATAAAAAGGAGAAATGCAAATCGTGGAAGATCGCTATCATCTCGTGTTGTTCGTTACCAAGAAGAGATAAAAGCAGCTAATGACTGACGTGACGAATTGCCCAGCAAAGTACCTGACATAGCCTACCTCTTGGACGTATGTATTGTACATATTTAAATATAACTGGAGAATCGGCGCAAGGAATGATAAAGCTTGGCTGTTTGAGTAATTAATCAATGTAATGCTGGGTTAGGAAAGACTGTTAGACGCAAGTATGTTATTAATAATTATCTCCGGTTGGCTTGTTTGTTGGTTGATACCTATTCTCACTTATATTCTTATGGTATTCCGAATTCCGTATTTCGTAGACAGCAGACAGCAGACAGCAGAGGATTTATACAAGTAGGATTTGGTTGAACAAGTATGTAAGACAAAGACATTCGCGAGGGAAGCAAGTGGCAAAATAGGTAAAATATGTACCCAAGGTTAGCTAATAACAGAACCCGAGTTGAACAAAATAAGTACCTAGGTGTTAATGTCCAAAATGTCTCACTACTTGCCGCTGCGCCTCGCTTGGAGATGGGGCTAGCAAACCATCAGGACCCATTTTGACTCTTGGCATACTGCCGACTAGGTACATAGTACGGTAGGTACGGTAGTGTTAGGTACAGTGAAGACGGGTCGTGGTTAGGTAATTGGTTGAACAGTTCTACATAGCAGTTCCCCTAAGATCGACAGGTACAACGCGATATGTACTATGTAGAATGCACAGTAGCGCCAATCTAATAGGCGTTTTAGTCAATATGACATGTATGACATGTACTTATATGAGATACATATACATAGATACCTTACATAGGTACCTAGGCGCATATATACAGATATTGGTACCCGTATTGGGGACGACGTACTGAATACATTAAATATCGACATTAAATATTCTGGCGCTTCGAGAGGGATTCTCACGAGAAGCCTCAAAGGGTTGAAAAGGAATATAACATGCCTCGTATAAAGTAAGCTTGGTCAAAAATAGGTATATCTGGATTCAGGAGAAATTCCCTGTATCCTCCCCCTTTAGGTATGTAGCTGTACCCCCCCTGTTCATCTGTCCATCTACCCGCAAAAGCCCCAGTATTTCACTAATCTACATCGGTCTTTTTAACTGTGGTCCCAGCCAATCAGATCCAATCAGATCCAATCAACTGAATACCCCCGTTGGCTAGAACCAGTTTTAATCTCTCCTGTTGAACCGGGGTCCCCTTCTCCTTTACTGATATTTCGTACTATTTTTTTGCTTCTCTTCCCTTTTTTACGAGACCAGGCCTTTCATTTTTATGCCACATCTTTTCTCTCTTACTCCCTCCCTCTGTCTCTGTCTCTGTCTCTAACAGTTTTCTCTCATTTTTCTAGCCTTTGTAATTAATCGGCACGCGAAGGATAAGAGGTATCCGTTTATTCCAACTACGCACATTCATTGACGCGCTATTCGTACACTCCTTATTGCATTGTTCAGTCCATTACTAGAAGAAAAAGAGAAGCAATAGAGCAGGAAGGCTTATATACCGAGGTTATCTCTACGTCATTCATTAAGTGTCATAAAAGACATCAGCGTAACACGGGATCCCGGAGATCGAGAAATAATTAGCAGGTCAAGATGGGTTTCTTACGTTCAGCTCTTACAGCATCATTGCTGCTTGCCAGCAATACTGCTGCCCTGGACCCCATCATCATGAAGGTATGTATAACACTATTGTTCCTTGTTCCTTAGGAACCACCGGCAGTCTGGCTTATTAAGAGTAAAATGACTAACATGTCTGGTCTGGATAGGGAAACAAATTCTTCACCAAGAAAGGCGACCAGTTTTTTATCAAGGGTGTTGCCTACCAACAAGAGGCCGGTGGCGGGCCCGGCGGCAGCACAGACTCCAAGACTAAGTACGTGGATCCTCTGGCCAACGAGAAGACTTGCCAGCGTGATGTGCCGTTACTTGAGAAGTTGGGAGTGAACACCATCCGAACATACGCTATCGACCCTACAGCCGACCACAGCGCGTGTATGGCTCTGCTAGAGAAGGCCGGTATCTATGTTGTTGCCGATTTGGGTGAACCAGCTCTTTCCATCAACCGTGAATCTCCCACTTGGAATGTCGAGTTGTTCGATCGCTACAAGGGTGTCGTCGATAACCTTGGGAAGTACGACAACGTCATTGGTTTCTTCTCCGGAAATGAGGTTACCAACAACAACACCAACAGTAAGTTAGAGTGTTATAGTATATGGATCTGTTCGTAAATTTAGATGATGCTAATTTGGATCATTACAGCCGGTGCTTCGGCCTACGTCAAGGCTGCTACCCGAGATGTTAAGAAGTACATCGCTGACAAGACAGCCAAGGGTGGACGATGGATGGGTGTTGGCTATGCCGCGAACGACGACGCTGATATTCGTGCTAACATGGCCCAATATTTCAACTGTGGTGACCAGGACAGTGCCATTGATTTCTGGGGTTACAACATCTACTCCTGGTGCGGCAAGAGCAGTTTCACCGAGTCTGGATATGATGTCCAGGTCAAGTTCTTCTCCAACTTCTCTGTTCCCGTCTTCTTCGCCGAGTATGGTTGCAACACCGTTAACGGTGCCGAAGGCCGTCTCTGGGATGATACCACTGCCATCTACTCTAGCCAAATGACCGGTGTCTTCAGCGGCGGTATCGTCTACATGTTCCACGAAGAAGAGAATGACTATGGTAAGTTATTAAATAACTTGTTCTGTCTGCAGTATCTAATATGTGTTAGGTTTGGTTAATGTTAAGGGCGACACTGCCACTCCCATGAAGAACTACAAGGTTTTGCAGTCGAAGCTTGCTGAAGTCAAGCCTTCGTCTACATCCATGGCTGCTTTTAACCCCACCAACTCTCCTGCCGCATGCCCAGGGATCTCCAAGAACTGGAAGGCCGCAGAGGCTCTTCCTCCTACTCCTGACAGCTCCCTTTGCGACTGCATGTACAAGTCACTCTCTTGCGTACCTTCCGATGATCTTGACGAGAAGGACTTCGGTGACATCTTCGGTTATATCTGCGCGAACGACGCGGCTGCTTGTGCCGGTATTAAGCATGATCCTGAGAGCGGTGTTTACGGCCCTTACGGCATGTGCAATGCCAAGGAGCAGCTCGGACACGTCCTCAATGCTTACTACACCAACCAGAACAGCGCGTCCACTGCTTGCAGCTTCAAGGGTGCCGCACAGATCGTTTCTGGCTCTACAGACTCTACGTAAGTAAAGATCCGGTATCATATCCGTGCCGATAAGCTAATATATATTAGGTGTGAGGCATCTTTGTCCAAGGCTAGCTCTGCTATCGCCGTTGCTGCTACTGCTACCGCGGGTTCCACTAGCAGCTCTTCCACTGGTGAGAGCACTGAGAACGCTGCTGCACCTGGATCCGTTCGTATGACTCCTCTTATGACCATGGGTGATATGGTCATTAGCCTGTATGTGTTGGTGGCCATGGGCGTTGGTGCTGGTATGGTTATGCTATAAAGGAGTTAATATCACACGGTTGGATATGGCTTTTTATATAGTATTTCCTGTCCCTGTATTCTGGCGTAATTCGGCCGAGCTGTTGTTTTCATCAAAGAGATTTATACGTTGTGGCTACGTTGTATGGCATTGAGGGATGCCATGCTTTTTTTCCGTATTAGACTCACAGAATAGCTAATTGCAACTATCAATATTCATGAGTTAGTATATTGTAGATATTTTGATACGAACGTTTGGTGTATGGGGGGGCCCCTTATATTAAGTGTTATCCTCTATAGCATCGTTGAGGACTATGTTTGGTGTAAGCTTATTGCCGTTTGGTCTTTTGTCGTGGCAGATGTGAAGTATTTAAGACTTTGTTTATATTAAAGAAGGCTTTTCATTGCCGTATGCATGCTTCGTGGAGACTGGTCTTAGGTGCTTAATAGAGTATCATTTCTAACAATGGTGTGTTATGTCGTTGTCGTATCTAGTTCTCCTTCCTAGCTAGGACTGTATATCTGGTTAACCCATAAACTTACTTTTTCAGCAACGACTTCACTATGTCCTATGTTTTGTTTTAGTTCCTTTCTTCGTACCGAGTTGAGTTGTATTTGCTTACTTATACAAAACGCATGAGGGATGTTTCCTTCATCTACTATGAGTCTTGTGCGTTCGACTTGCTTCTGCCTCTTCTGGATGAAATCATCCCTGTAGTGATTTGCGACCCAATGGTCATGCTTGCCAAAGAAGAAAAAGAATTTCGGTATGACTTTGTCGTGCGCCTCTGCTTCGTGAGTAATTTCCCACAATTCTTCATCCCAGTGGTCCTCTCCGATGACTTGCATTTCATCCATGCCCATATGCAGCGCCTGCCACACCCCGTCCCGGCTCTTAAGCCAACGCGTTGTTACTTCTGCTCCGTGAGCAGGGAACCCCATCACACTGCGCACGATCCACCGGAGGGCGCCTTCGGGGAACAGGCGCAGGAATGCCTGCGCGATCCGGTAGGCATTGTCGCCTAGTATGGGCGTTCGGCGTAGTAAGTCAAGTTTCTTCCCGCTTGGGGAGTTTGATATGTGGTGGATAGTCGGGAACAGGAGGACTCCGGAACCAAGATTTAAATGCGGAGCTAAATGCGGGTTGCGTAAGAGCTGATGAAAGAGCTCGAGGGCAATATAACTGCCTACAGAATGTCCAATGAGCAGAACCTCGTCGTATGGAAGACCTTTGCGTAGTCCTGAGTCGACGCGTAGCCTCTTTAAGGCTGCAAGTGTATGCTGGATCTGGTCTTGGAGGTTATATGGTGTCCTCTGCGAAGTGAAGGGTTCGTGATCGTCGTCAAGGAATCCGGCTAGATTCTGGCCGTAGATGTGAAAGCGTTTGTGCTCAAGCGATTTCGCCTCGTCTAGGAGTTCCCGAAGAGTTGATAGGAAGGGCTCATAGTAGTCAATGAGTCCCGGGTTCCCGGGGATGAAGAATATGAGAATGTCACGGGATCGTGAGTCCTCGGGTCCGTTGCTGAGCGGACTCGGAGGAAAAGCTAGGAAGTGAGCAGTGGTCATTGTGTCATATAGGTAGCTTACATGCATTTATGGTACATGTATACCTAGGTATAGAACCTTACCACAAGCTACCTATGTTGTACCAACCAAGGTCCAATAACCATTGATGTGACCTCCTAGGTAATAGGTACCAGGTTACCTACATACATACCTTATATATGTAGCCACAGTTGCTTGTGGCTCGTTTCCTAGTTGCATGCCTAGGCCCAATTAATAATTGGTAGGCAACCTATTGGTCTGATGACCCGCACTAGGCAACCCTGGAAGAATATAGGTTAGGTACATATTGTACCTAACCTTAGGGCAGGCTGTGCTACATACCTAGGTACATGTAGGTATTATTCACATGCTCCCGTCACATGTGCGCTTAAAGAATTGCAGACTTACATAGACCTGCCTTAAACGAACCACAGGCACGTGTCGTCATTGTCAGCCTAATCGTAGACTTACATACCACATAGGTACCTCAGGTAACCGCAACGGCAACCGCCTACCACCTATTACTTACCACTACCTTAGGAGGTACCTAACATATCTGCCTACGTGACCTAAATTCAATTAAACTCAACCAGTCCAGCCAGTCAAATCTTCCTCTCTTAGTGCGAATGCTACCCACCTCTTAAGCCACGATGCTTTTGTTATAAACCCACCAGCCCACTTCGTGTATTCATTCACATACACTACCTAGGTACATAGTGGCAGAATACTTGCGATAATTCCAACACAACATGGACCTCGGAGTCTGATACCGCATCATTTATTCCTCGGAATTGCCGGTAAGTACCATACCATACCATGCCTACCTACCTATATATATATACATCTATCTACCTGGGTAGAGGTAGGTAGGTAGATATACACACACGTATTCCATCTTCTTCTATTCCGTAAACCGCACAAAGTCTTCAGTCTCCAGTCTCCAGTCTCCAGTCTCCAGTCTCCAGTCTGAAATAGATCCTAAGAATGTCGACTATTCTAACCTCCCCGCCTTGCCGCTAGCCATCTTTATCCACTTCCTTTCTCTTGTGTCTATGCACATACATACTCATCGCCTCGGCTATAATCTAACTAGACTTCTACTTTCCTAGGATGTCGATGCGACTCTACACACGACCCTACACACGTCCCTATACACGTTTGCTCGTGACAGTCGACCGCCGCGTTTGAGGTCCTACCATCTAGTGCCATTGTCAGCCTACCCAAGTCCTACGCCCTTCGTTATCCTCCCCAACGACTTCTTTCTTCCATATACTATTCATATACTATTGGCCTCTTCTCTACTTCCATATGCTGTCGCGCTTTATCACCATGAACTCCGCGGAGCTACGGCGACGTCCACCATTACCCGACGATGCCTCGAACCCGAAATCAGCGGCCGGCGTTTCCGGACCGACCCTAGATTCGAACACCGCTCACCCTGCAGGCAAGGCTAAGTACGGTCGCTTCAGGGCGTTCCTGCGTGCTGTCTCTGTCTTCGTTTATTTCGCAAGTGGCTGCTTGAGGTATGCTCCCCCCCCCCCAATCGTATGGTCTAGGTAGAAAGAGGAATCTTTCTGATATGTATATAGCATACACCTTACTCAGATCATCGGTTCCCCATTATACTACGCCAACCGCGACCTCTACTATGCGTATATGTCCTTGACTAAGGCATCTTTCGGCCTATTGATAACTACCATGACCCAGTGGTGGGCGCCTACGGTGATAAGAATGAGCGGTGATTCTTCTGTTGCCGGGCAGCTTAGCTTGGCGCCCGATGGCAGGGTCCAATGCGCTTTTCCGGAGCGCCTGGTTATGATCGCGAACCACCAGGTCTGGAACCAGATTGATGGCCTGCGCCAAAGAACGTGAATGGCTGACAAGTACGTTTTATCGCAGATTTATACCGACTGGCTATATCTATGGTGGGTTGGATATACGAACAACCCTCACATGCACGGACACATCTACATCATCCTAAAAGAGTCTTTGAAGCGGATTCCCATCCTTGGACCGGGCTGCATGTTTCTCGGCTTCATTTTTATGTCGCGCAAGATGGCCGTCGATCAACCCCGTCTGGCCCACAGGCTTAGGAAGCTAAAAACCAAGCACACGGACCCTGATGGCGAAAGCTATCTGAACCCGATGTGGTTACTTCTTTTCCCTGAAGGGACTAATTTATCTTCAAACGGCCGAGTCAAATCAGCTCAGTGGGCCGCCAAGTCGGGACTGAAAGATACGGAGCATTTGATGTTACCTCGAAGTACCGGCATGTTTTTTTGCCTTAACGAACTTAAGGGGACCGTGGACTACGTGTACGATTGTACTGTAGCCTACGAAGGTGTTCCGTATGTGGTACCCTTTGCTATATCTAGTACTTTTCTTATGGCCTCGAGTAACTGAGTAACTAACATGCCACTTAGCCGAGGGAAATATGGGGAAAACTATTTCACCCTATCGAGTACCTACTTTCAGGGGCGGCCTCCTAAATCGGTCAATTTTTATTGGAGGCGGTTTGCCCTAGCAGATATGCCTCTGGACAACCAGGAGGATTTCGATAAGTGGCTTCGTGAGCGATGGTATGAGAAGGATGCTCTTCTCGAGCAGTATGTTTCTACAGGCCGATTTCCGGAAAATGCGGCCGGCATTAAGGGTCATATCGAGACAGAAGTTCGAACTCAGTATTGGTGGGAATTCGGCAAAATTTTCGTCATGCTTGGTTCGTTTGGGTTGGTATTTAGTTTCTTTTTAAGAACTCTACGTACCCTCGCACGTAGTTAGTCGACCGACAGCAGGCCCTTGCTTGCTAATAGATAATCTGTGCGGGTGTAGCATAAGTGATGGTGAGAGAGATGAAGAGAATTATCGTTAGATACCAGCGACGACATACAATGATACCATGAAGAACATGTAACATAGGGGATGGGAGTTTCGGATTGGGTTGGCGAATGCATAGCTCTAAACTTTTGATAGCCTGATATTCTAACCCGTGTGGATTAATGGGTTGGGGTATGATCTTTTTTAGGAAGTAGGTGGTGAATATTATACATCCTCTCTATTTATTATACTTCCCTCTATTATCGTGGGTACCTAGGAAACATGAGGATTTGTGTACGTATGTCGACGATCACATAAAACGTACGCCCTGGGCAGTCGACGGAAAGGCCGGAATAAGCGAAACAGCTTTCACGTAAATCACAGGTGAGTTGATAGAGCAGGTTTCAGAAACGGTGATTATTGATCGTGAGAATTGATGATATACTTGCGTTCTTGAAAGAACATGTGCTACAGGATGTATATGATGCTCTCTGAAGCATTGAGTCGTGGCGTATGAGGCTCCTCGGACGCTGAGATGATGCATCGAATATAATATCATCTTCCCTCTATAAAGAAAGGGTGTGACTTGGGCTCTGGGGGAGATATGGAGGTCCTAAAATGATAGTAGGCTATTTGTACCATGATGTATGAGGCTCTTTGGGACTCAACCCCTGAACAAGGCGACAGAGGCAGCATATAAAAACTGGTTCGATACTATTGAAGAAAGAATCGCGGGAGAGACGTTTCACTGAGAAAGTTGAATCTGGCGCTGGCTTCTCGCACTTTCTTTAGTTGCCTCAATGATTTGTAGGACATCTCTCGCTTGCGATGCCGGAACTGGCAAATCTTCTTGGCGATTTCGAACAAGGGCCTCGCCAAAGAGCTCAAAAAGCTTGCTGTAGGTTTCAGGCTCCACGTTCGGACAGTCTTGCACACGAAAACTACCGTCGTCACCGACAAGAGTAAGTTTTCCATTCCACTCCGGGCTTTCTCGTCCAAAATTAGCGTCGTCTGTCTTCAAGCCGGACCGGAGCTGAGGCTCTTGGGTATCGAGACCCTCCTTGCGGTAGCTACCTTTGGTACCTCTGATCCAGAATCTCGGTTGTCGAGTCTCGACGCTCACGCTGGCGATACGCACGAAAACGACTAGGCCGTCGTCGTAGAATAGCTGTGCGGTAACGCTGTCGGGCTCTAGATCTGGGTTCTGCGGGCCCAACAAGAGGCCGTCCCGCTGGCTGGCTAGGATACCGAAAACGCTCCGTGGCATCCCGAATAGCACGTATGCCTGGTCGATCAGATGGGTGCCTAGGTCGTAGAGCGCCGAGCCGCCTTGATCCATGCCGAGCGTGCCCTTCCAGGTGGAAGGCTTCTCCAGCCGGAAGCGATCAAAGTGCGTCTCGAATTCGACGATTCGACCTAGCGTGCCATCGGCCAATAGCTTCCGCACTGTTAGAAAGTCGCTATCCCATCTGCGGTTCTGGTACACGCAGATCAATCGACCCTTTTCTCTGGCGAGTTTGATCAGGGCATCGGCCTCGGACACGCTCGGGACGAAGGGCTTCTCTACGAGGACATGCTTTCCTGCTTGCAGGGCCTGCTGGGCAAACGAGAAGTGCGTCTCGGGGGGAGTGGTGATGACGGCCACGTCGAGATCCGCGTCGGCGAGAAATTGGTCGAGAGAGGTGAAATGCTTCACGCCGGGATGATCACGCGGGGCCGACTTTCCAGACTGGCTGGGATTGCGCTGCAGGATGGAATGAAGTTTTAGGGTTGAGGTGGTCGTGATGAATGGGATGTGGAAGATGGTAGCGGATAACCTGGGGAGGTAGGTAAGTGAGTGAGTGAGTGAGCTTATAGGATACTAACGGGATATAAGATATATGAGATGAGTAAAACGTCTTACCCGTAGCCGACGACGCCGACGTTGAGCGGCAGGTTGGTGGTTGAGTTGGCCATGATGTTCCCCTTTTTGAAGATTTATATTGGTATCTAAGGTACGTATGGTTGATGTTTACGTAGTGTTTACTTAGGTATGTCTTAGTTCCAAGAAGATGAATAAATTAATTAAATAAATACCTTCCGAGGATATAACATCTTAGGTAACTTTGGGAGAATCGAGTAATTTAAGTAAAAATAAATTCTACCTACAATACTTATACAAAGGCTGAAAATCTATTAACTACCTACCTATATTACGCCGTAAACTTACGAAAACATACCAGTAAAATGAGACGATCTAACCTAGTGATCTTGCGTCATATAAGAACTGCTTGCTACATAGAGACATAATAAGAGCTTACATGTTGCGTGATGCTTTCACGATGCTTTGCTTCAACTGGTCAACTGTTAAAGTTTCCTATTTTAACTATTAGCGGGCGGGTCGAATGGTTCCATTTTACGTACGAAGTATCCCGTACCTGTTTTGGCGTTGATCTGTACTGGATATATCAATATATTTATATCGATATATTTATTGTGTACGGTGTACGGTGTACGAAGTACGAAGTAGGTATGTATGTAATATTGAATATCGAACATTGAGATACCGTGCGAAACTTGGCAGAATAAACTGTTCTGTATTCGGCCTTCCCCATTCTTTTAATTATTGTTCTTCTTTTTTTTGTACGCAACTAATTACAATTACATACATCATTACATAGGTACCTACATAACGACGACAACCATAACGATACTAATAAGTGCTACAACGATTAAAACTTGAGATGGTATAATCGCACGTCTATTGCTTGCATTACCACTATAAGATATATCTTGAGAAGGAAGGGGGTCTCGGCTGCTCGATCATGGGGTGAATTGGTAGATGAGTCTTCAGTCCTCGGTCTAGGCAAAAATCAAACTTGAAGATGATGTTCAGACGGAGCCTTTCCCGTCTCCGTCAAGGTCTGCTCGTACAACGCTGTCAGGGTGTGAGATGTTTTTCTCTCACCTCCTGCCGCCGAGAGATCCTCGATGCCTCTGTACTTCCCGAGCGCATTCTGCCCGCGTATAAGGAGAGTTCAACCTCTTCTCTGCTATCTTTGCAATGGCCAGAACCGCCGCGGAATATCCTGATCATTCCAAAGCTACATGCTCCTAAGGTGACTGCTTCTGCTATCTCATTTGCGAATCATATTCACAGCGAATACCCCGATCTGAATCTCGTGTTCGAACGCCGAATCGCCTCGACTATGCACGAGTCCCTGTCTTTTCCTATATACGCCTCTGATCCAAGCTTGTTTCCTCGCAAGATTGATCTCGTGACCACCCTGGGTGGCGATGGAACCATTCTACGCGCAGCTAGCCTTTTCAGTCTACATGCCTCCGTGCCTCCCATCTTATCCTTTAGCATGGGATCGCTGGGCTTTCTAGGCGAGTGGAAGTTTGAGGAATTTAAACGCGCTTGGCGTGAAGTATACATGAGCGGAAGCCGTGTTGGTGTATCCGACCTGCAAGGTCCTCATACACAGTTTGCTATCAACGGCCGGCCTGATGGGGACGAAGGCCGTCTTCACAGTAACTGGGAAGGCCTCCGTGGAAAGAGCATGGGTCTTACTCGGTCCAGCAAAATTCTTCTGCGCCACCGGTTAAAGGTTGGAGTTTATGACGCCGCGGGTATTAACATAAACGAGCAACTCATACCTACCCCGATCGCTGAGCCGCAGCAGTCCACGTCGGGGACACCTATCGATTTAAATCTTGCAGGGAAGAATGGGGGACAAGCCGGGTCGCGACCATTTCATGCTGTAAACGAACTTGTTATCCATCGTGGTCCAAACACGCACCTTGCCATTATCGACGTCTATGTGAATAATCACTTCCTGACGGAGGCGGTAGCCGATGGAATCTTAATAAGTACGCCGACGGGGTCCACGGCCTACTCGTTATCCGCTGGTGGTAGTATTATGCACCCCTTGGTCAAGACGCTGTTGATCACTCCAATATGCGCACGCAGTCTCAGCTTTCGGCCACTTGGCCTCCCCTTGAATACCAAGGTAGTTCTTAAGCTAAGCGAGAAAAATCGCGGGCGCGAACTTGAAGTCAGCATCGATGGCAAGCGAAGGGCTGCTGTGACCGTTGGTATGGAGATCCGCGTTGAAGGTGAGACTGTTGGCCGTACCTCTAGCGGCAGCTGGGCTGGAGGGGTGCCTAGTGTCATCAGGTCCCCTATCAAGGGCGACGGCGACAGAGATGGGATTGCGGAGGATGATGACGGGTGGGTTGGTGGATTAATCGGCCTGCTCAAATTCAACTATCCATTTGGTGACGGTCAATGAAACTCATATCCGTATTGGGGATCGGAATCCGAGTTTTACAGCATGAGCACTTGTTGGGAGACCCAAGATAGTGTCAACGAATAATTCATTTATAGGCGCATGTGTAGTGCGTACCAAGGCAGAGGCTACCTGTATAGAGGGTAAGGTTATCCTGGACGTGTTATTGTCTAACCCCTATCTACCAATACTTCATCAGTTACCTCCTAGGTGCTTATCTTTGATGGCATCAAGGATACCCGGAAAGAAATCACGTTATTTATCTCGGAATCGCACTGTTACATTGATGTTGTTGGATTGTTTAAGTTTGATACATCTCCTTGATTATCTTGAGCTGAATGCAATTTAACAGCTACCTAATCTACAAAGCTACGCAGCTAGAAGGTATAATTATCACATGTACTTGATCTGTACTTGATCTGTGCTGATCTGTGCTGATCTGTGTCTGAATGAAAAGCAGGTAAGCAAAACTTGCCATGCCTAGGTACCCATCGGTTTCTGCATCCTCATCGCGTTGACTTAGCTTCCAGTGTCACTCAACTGGTTGACTCCTGAAGGAGCCTGAAATCTCAGTGCTCTACCTGCTAGCAGGGCCAGGCCTTCGTGCCTGTATATGTGGCTGTTGGGTCAACACCAAAAGCCTGCCTGGTTTTACCTTATTAAACCATTCCCCGAGACCCTTCCTTCACCCTATAATCGCTCGCCTCCCCGTGGTGATATCCTTGGATTTTTTAATCCAAATAACCGCCAGCCTTGAGTGCGGTCTTGAGGGCTTTCGATGCATCTGGTAGATTAAAGATATTCAACTTCGATACACCCTTAATTCCATTTAACATGTCCTTCGCGTTTGCGCGTAGGTATAGCCGGGCTGTCTCCTTCCACAGTGACATCGTACTGGGTCCGGAGGCTGCGTCTTGGGTTGCATCCTTCGCATTGACTGCCTTGATCCAGGGTAGCAGAGCATACTGCATTGTCATGCTTCGAACATGGCTATTGTAGCTGTCCGACTGCGTCTTGTCTTTGCAGCCCTCCCGACCTGGCTCGTTGTACCACGGCTCTCCGCAGAAAATCATGGCCTGTATGCTGACGAGCACCTGGAGCAGAGTAGATTGATCTCCTCTCCAAGGCTCCCCAGGCCACGTACCGAGTAAGGAAAGGCATACTGTTAATATCGAACGTTAGCAACTGTCTGGTCGCGAATTATCTCCGCAAGCATTTGTATTCATGTCGATTTCGAGTGCAAGTCTGCATTGTTTGGGAGTACCACTTACTTTTGCCATCTTGGTATAAATTTGGGTTGAAGCGCGTTCTGCTGCTGTTCGGGGTCTTGAAAAGCATCCTTGGTGGAGATTTAGGATAGTCTATCGGGAGGTACAAGTCAAACTCGAACAGGCCGTGCTCGTAGGGCGTATCCCGAGGACCTATGATCAAGACTTTCATGATATCAAGCCGGGAAGATCCGTGGCATATGAAGATGCCTTCTGGTAGTGAGCTTAGAAGTGTAGTAATCTCTGTGATCAATCTCTTCATACGCCCACGTGCTCCTGACAATAAAGGAGGTTCTCTGTTTGCCTCCCGCGCATAGGCAAAATTACGCAAGACGGCGTCGTCGGGGACTTCTCTGACACAGTTTTCGCGGTGCCATTCGGAAAAGTTGATATCCGACTTGTCTTCAGTAATATCCATGGTTGTTTGGAGTTGTTGCATGTTTGCGATATGTCGAGTAGATACCTTGCTTGCACGTTGGCTAAGCTTTAGTAACTTCTGTCCTTCTGAGTTCTGGAACTCTGCAGGGTTTCCCTGGACATACCGGAGGAGAGTCTCCAATTGGGCCGCCATGCTCCCTAGCAATTCCATCAGAGACTTCCCCGTGTCCCTCGGGACAATTCTACCCTTGCTCTTCTCGGGGCTAAGCGAGGCCTCCAGAAGATAGCCCCCATTTTCGTAATATATGTTGCGGTCAGTGTATACTAAGTCTGCAGTTGCTGGATGGCTTCCTAAAGCATCGAAGAAGTCCAATACTGAATCGTGAAGTTGACTTCTAGATGATATTTCGGCAATAGAGCTGTTGCTGAGCATTGTTGCAGAGCTTTCTAGTAAGGGGCTGCGCGAGACTATGTGTGATAAAAGGCTAGGCGGTGAAGTGTCGAACGATGCTGCTCTCTTGCAGGATGGGAGCAGGAGAGCTAAGAGCCGGAAATGAATTTCGTGCACAAGGTCCTCTTTAGTGTCTGTGGACTGTTTTGGCATCGGACGCTTAGGGTGATGTGTATACTGACCAAAGAAGTAAGCATGAGGAACACTTCCGTCGCCGTAACCGACTCCTTTACCAGGGGCCGGCGGGTGAGGTCCTCGTAGCTTGTCGAGCACTGAAGCTTCCTTGATCTTGACCTTTCCTCGAACCTTTGTGAGCATATAACCAGTTCGAGACTTCGACTTTGTGACTTTCCAACCGCAAGCCAGAGCCCAGATTGCTGCTAGTCTGCCATCATCGCAGCACCACTGCACGGTGGCATTTGATCCGGCAACGTTGAGGGTAACGTCTGACCCGTTTTTCATAGTGAAAGGAATTGCTTTCCTACAACCGAGACATGTGACTACTTGGCAATACTTTTCTTGACATTTCAGACCAAGGCTAACTTTCCCTGCGTCGCGTTAGAATAGAGACTAATGCATTGAGAGTGTCATCTCGAAGAGAAAGGTCATAACTCTGTAATAGATAGAGTACCTTGTACACTATTCACACTGATGTGCCATAGATAACAAAGGGAAATATTGGCACGAGAGACTGGAGTAAAAGAAATACCATTGTATAAGCAAAACTCACCATTACCACTAGTCCATGTTGCCGTCATATTCACAACATCTTCAGGCCCCATGGCTTTCTTTTTATGACATCCGGCGCAGACATGATTAAGGAGCCCTAGGACGAACAATCCTAAGGGCTTCAAGTCAGCCAGAGTTTTTTCGATCATGGCTGTATTTTCGGGAGCTTGCTCTAGGTCCGCTGACTCGGTGCCATCCTCGTTGCTGTCCTCGGTGCTGTCCTCAAGGCTTATGCCGTCTATTTCCATCTTGTCGCTTTGAGGTGCCTGACCTGGTTGCAGAAAAGGAGAGAACATCTCAAAATCGTTAACTGAAAAGTACTCCGGCGTAGTGTCAAATTGACTGAGATAATAGCTATTCCACATTTGCTGGCCAAAGGCTAAGTCAGGTTGGTTGTTCAACGTTGGAGTTTGTTTGGACCCGGCTCCTAAATGGAGAGGCTGTGGGTGGCCAGCTAGGGGCTCTGCTGGATGGATACCTAGAGGAAGAGGCTGCAGATGGTGCATAGGTAAAGGCTCTGCGAAATATGATGGATGACCCCATGGCGGATCGATGGGATCGTGGGAGGCTAAGGTGGGAGCAGGCTGTGTGTGCAGATGCGGATGGATCTCTGGGTATTGTGGAAACCATGAGATAGACGCCTGATATTTAGCCGACGTGCCCGGTCCTTGAGATGATCCAGAATGGTCGTGCGATGCCGTAGAGCTATGACCCTTGTGGAGGTGTATGCTGCTGGATGGGTTGATTTGAGCGAAGGGACTTCCAAAGGTTGGTTTATTTGTTGACTTCTTGCCCGCCGAGGGGTTGCCTGGCGACATTGCCTGATATGAAATTCCACTTGCGGGTGGATGTGCAACAACATATGGATTCAGGAACTGTGTGAAAGGCTTGCTGGAGGCTGCCGGTACGGTTTCAGGGACAAATGGAATCTGAGACGACAGCGGCAAGTTGTTGTCATCTTTTTTAGGAAACATTGGAAGCGGTTGGTTGCGTGGCCCATGCGATTTGGGTTGGATTGTATTTGACGATGGTTTCGCCATAGTTGAATTGGGGACCTGAGACGGCTCTCCGTTGTCAGTCGAACCTTGGCCTTTGGGGTTTCGCCCGAAACAGCTGATCCGGGCAGAGATATCCTTGATATCTTTTAAGTTAGGAGCCATTACGAATATGTTCAGTGTGAACGTTAAGCCGTAACGGGATTCATTCAGTTGGAGAATGCAAGTATCCGCATCTGCGTTACCAGCTGGTCACGTAGGTAATATTAATACCTAAGGAAGGATATGGTTTGGTTGCTGGTAAACGGGGAGGTTTGTTCGGTTTGATGTGACGGCCTTTTTGCGGTATCTCAAGGCACAGGCCAGGCACAAGCCAGGCACAGACACCGACCGTGTTAAATATTGTGGCCGAGGAGAGGCAGAACACACAATTAAGCTGTCCGAGTAAGATAACGCGTGTTAGTACCTAACAAACAAGAAGATGCTTGCTTGCTCGCTTGCTGGTACGTGAAAATGCGTGAGTTAATGTAAACGGTACCCGTCGACTTCTTTCTACCCTTCGTGTTTAAGACTAGTTATAGGTACTTTATGATTCTCGCACTGAACTTGGTCCTTCTAGGCGGGGTACAGTGTAGCCTGTGAGCGTGTAAATCAACATATTCCATCTATTGGACGGCAAAGAATAAAACAACTCAGCTCCAGTCCAGTTGATCATGTGTACATACCTTTAGCACCATCCTACAGTTCCAAGGTTCCCCTAGAAACAGCAGGGAGAGGAGTCAAACCGTAAGGCTGTAGGTTAAGTACTTTTTGAAATGTAAAAACTCGAACGGGGAAAAGTACCTAAAGTAAAGAATAAGGCTTCGGCTGTAAGAAGAGAAGGGATGTGAAAGCATGAAGATGCAGTGTTCACAAAGTCATTTGTATTTATTTATCGAATTAAAAAAAAGTAAAAAAAAAAAAAATTATAATAAAATAATAAAACAAGAGCTCGAGTCATCCACCCACGTGTTGCTACAGATGCTACAGATGCTACAGACTTGGGATGCCTTCCACGAGGTACTGGACCTATGTGACTACTATGTGACGCACGTATTTGTGTTGCCCCGCGTGCACCGTAGGTAAGTATGGTGTTTGTCCACCTAAAGACTGTTTGAATTTATGTTATCAGGTATGCATTTTAATTGTACTGTGTTGAAGAGGGATATATGAGGTATGTACCTAGGTATGTTGGGCATGTTTACAAGTTTACACCCTTTTCCATGCGGTAGGTAATAGGCTATAAATTAGCACTTGTATGTTCTTTAAGCCATTTCAGGTTATTATTATTGCAGACAATACATGTAGGTATGTATGTATGTATGCATGTTGTAATGTTGTAAGGAAGTAAATATATTAGGTGTGATATGGATATGTCGATAGGAGCCCGTATGTGTACACTTACCTCAGCCGCAGCGGGGTAGATGATTTACCCCAAAAGGGTCCATGTTATGAGGGGTATGTACCTATGTATTGTATGTACCTATGTATTGTATGTACCTATGTATTGTATGTACCTATGTATTGTATGTACCTATGTATTGTATGTACCTACCTATGTACCTAGGTAGGTTGTTTGCTGCACGGACATTATCTAAGGTACCTAGGTACCTACCTAACAAACTGGTATAACTTTGTCGAATTATTAAATCGAATTATTAAATCGAATTGCTAAATCGACTATTCCTAGTGCGATTGAATGAAGCTGCCAAGAATCTTCTCCCCTTGTTTTTGGACCCCGTGACATCACTCTCTTCCTAACGCCACTTACGTTGTCATACCCAATCTGATATATATTTCTTGATTTACCTTGGACTGAGTACCTGTCAACCTCTCTCTTCTTTTAATCTTGAAATAAAAATAAATTTAGTTTATTTTAATAAGAGTCGTAACTTGTCTCTGCGAAGACCTCTATCTTTGAGCCTAAAGTTCATTACCTTCAGTTCATTACTTTCATAATGGATTTCATCAATAAGATCGCAGGTAGCAAGGGCGAAAACGATGAGAAAACCCCGGAGAATGGGCAGCAGAAGTCCAACACCGGTTTCATGGACAAGCTCAACTCCGTAGCCGGTGGTGGTAAAGACAGCGAAAAGAGTGAAGACGCCCTCGATAAAGGTAAGCGAGTTTATAATCGCCTGGCCTGTCATTTCCTCGCATTTAAATGTTTACCTGGATCTTGCCTCATACCTGACATATGTCACATATAGGAATTGATTGGGTACAACAGCACGTACTAGGTCAAGGAGACCAGAGTAACGAGAGTGCTGTTGAGCAAGCCAAGGATGAGCAGATCTCCGACTATATTCGTGACCAGTACAAGAAGACAACGGGCTCAGACATCCCAATCAAAGACAAGGAACGCTTTTAAACGTCTTGTACATTGTAAGCCACGAGCACATAGCTGTACGTAGCACTAGCATGTATTCGAGATCTATGCAAGGGTAAAGAGGTCAGATTAAGAAAGCTACACGGAGTACTAAGTGTGTATGATCAACTTATTACAACTCTAGTTTATTCCTACTGAGCGTATCCCACACAATGAACCGGGACATAGTGGTAGAGAAGTTATAGAACATCTAGCCCCTTATGGCTCAGGCTACAACATATCTCCTTGAACTGCTATGAAACCGCCTAATCTACATGATATAAGCCAACTCATTGTAAATATATTAACACGGCCTCGCTAGCTTGTAACGTGATGGTTGCTTGCCCATTGGAAACAGACAAAGCCTCGGTGCTCTCAGTCCCGGCAACTTTGCAGCTGCCGTCAGTGAACGTCTGTCCTCCGTAAGTGACCTTACCACCTTGATCCACTCTGGACATGGCACTCTCTGCCGTTAATCTTTTGACCTTTAGCGAGCTTCCCGATAGACCGCTAATGCTAAATGATTGGCTAGAACGGTTACCGCTCCCACTAAAGTAATCAGAGTTGTATAGAAGCGCTCGTAGAGGCGTGCCGTCGGAGCTGAATGACACATATGCTGCGTAATTGCTGGACCCGTCGTCAAGAGCTGTGAGATAAGAGGCCTTTGCCAATAACGCGGTTGCCGCGTACGCACCATAGTAAGGCGCCCCCATGCTATATCTTCCCCAAAAGCAGTATTGGCAATTGCCAACAGTTCCGTGGTGGAAGTACGTCCTTGATATATTACTGTAACTGGCACGGAGAACATAATCCATGGTCCATAGCGCTGCTCCGAAGGTGGGCGATACCCCAGCAGCTCCTCCTCCGGATACTACGACAAGTTTCATTAGTATCGTACGAAATGACGTTGGAGAGTGGGATAATAAATACCTGAGTTGGTCTCGCCGAAAACATATGGTTTGCCCTCTTTCAACGCGGCAGCCACGTCGGCGTCGAAGACGTGCAAATTGCTGGAGATACTTTTATGGCTCATGAGCGAGTCCACGCTCCCTCCCGGATAGTTGTGATGGGCATATGTCTTAACATAGCTCTTGACGGTCGCGTTTTCTGTTGCGATCAATTCTGCCGCACCCCACGTTGGGGGAGAATCGTTAGAGTTGCCGGCTTGGATGATTGGCGATTTCTGGACGGCTGACCCGACTGATAATGCCCAATTATTCTGCGAGGCGGCATCGATAGCCGGAGACCAGCCGCCAGAAGCAATAGGTTGGCCATTCCTGGAATAGTCTAAGAGGGGATCAGCTTTGGTGATAAATTATTGAATAGATCGAGTCGCGGTACGTGAACATACACTCTGGCTCATTACCCAGTTCGATGGCAAGCAAGTTCTTCACCTCAGATATTGCAATCTTTGCTGCATTAATCGTGTTCTGGATATTGTTTTTACCCCTATTTAACCCCACTACCACGCTTCCCGCGTAGGATCCTGCTAGAGTCAAGAAGCTCGAGCCGAATGTCAAACTTGCAGGCGCGTCAGCTGGATTGGAAACACTATACACGACGTAGGCCGAGGTTTGGGAGTCATATTGGGCTCTGTCCTGCGTGGTTCCTCCAATGCGTATCGGTGGCCAAACTCCCGTCAAGTCTTTCCAATTAGAAAGACACTGGTTGGTGGCGCTCACATTGGAAAAATAAGACGGAAAAGCAAAGAACTCGAAACTAATAGGGGTACTGGTGAGTACCTCATAACCAAGCTACGTTTCTGTTTTTCCACAACTTACGATATACCAACTGGTGCAGGGTCTAGAGGCGCGTAGCTATACCCCCCTGTGTGTGCTTGCTTGGGGACCGTAAAAGTCACCGCTGCGATCGCGCTTTGGATCGCAGCGAGGAAGAGTATCGAATTTCCGAAATAAGAAGCCATTATGCTGATGGAAAATATACTACTTGGTCGTGTCAATCATTTTTATACCCTGAGCAACTATTAGGCTATTTGGATACGTCGAGCATATAAACGAGACATTGGCTTGATTTAGTGACGGACCCTACATTGCTTGCGTTGGCTCTGGATGAATTTAGAATCAGGCTTGGAATGTTACATTCGCGCTTCTCTGTACAGCTGCACTGCTACGTATTCAGGGGTTAAACTGAAAGCTGCAGGGGCACGCTGAAGGTAAACGTGGGAATATAGATCTTGGTAGTGATAAATTTCCACCAATAAACAATCACCTGGTGATGAAGCTGAACAAGATTAAGCCTTAGGTTAGGGTCTTTGCACTTTATGCTCAAGAAATCAATTCATTAGTATTATATTATAAAGCATATTCCTCTACTGGCATACTTTATACCAGTTTCGAGATAGCTGGTTAGCGGTAGTCGTATGATCAATGCCAATAGTCGACTACGAATAATGAATGACTTATCGCGCCGAGATGTCTTATGACTTATACTTGAGTGTAAAAGGCACCGTTTCAACGACATCCCAGTCATCCTCTTTTGTGGCGTCGCCATATACTTTGACAGCACTAGCGATGAATGTATATGTGCCTTCTGGGATGACGGTTCCGTCCTCCAATACACCAGTGACAACGGTTCCTCCTCCATTCCGGGGCACCAGATATAATGGGTAACCTGGCAGAGAACCAATAGTTTCGTAGCCTTTCCACTTAGTCGTCGGCAGGTCGGTGGCAGTTACCGCTACGACATCGGCGCGGAGTGCTGGCAGGCCTAGGGTGGGCCATACTACGAGCTTCGGGTAGATGATACCACTGGAGCTATCGTTACTCCCGGGGCGATTAATTGTAAACGTGGTATTTGCGGCAACCGGAATATTGAAGTGACCGTCGGTGTTGGTGAGGTAGACTCCTCCGTCATAGCCAGGCTGAACGACGGGAGTATTGTATAGGCTACCGGCGACACCTAAATATGGCAGCACTAATGACTCTGATTTAGTGCTATTGATGGTTATATAGCCGCTGTAAACAGGTAGCAATGTTACATTGAGATTCTGCGGCGGTGAGAGTATAACCGTGACCTCAGAAGTTCCACCCGCAGGCACGGTGATCTCGTCAGAGGCGAACTTCACTTCAGCCCAATCGTCTGCCGAGGGATTTGGAAATGTAGTGCTTTTAAGGACGGGACCGGAATTATCCGCAAAGGTGTACACTGTTAAAGCTTTTGTGTGCCCAAGAACATATGTCACATCTTCGCTGGCGGTATTCTGGATCGTAAAAGTCCTCTCGCCAACGAAGTGGTCGCTGTCGTTGAACGAAATGCTGCTTTCGCTGAGGATCGTATATGTATGTGCAGCATCCCACGCCTGAACCATGCCCGCTCCTTGTTGTGCGACTGGGGCGAGGATGTTGTCATGCGCGGTCTCGCCGTCAAACCAGACTTTGGGCTTCGCGGTAGCAGAAACTAAACTACGGAGGATTTGAGGATCTTTGGTCCCGCGGGCTTCGGAGATAAGTGCAAAGATGGCCGCTAGCAGAGGAGTCGCCATTGATGTTCCCGATAGAACAGCGTAGCCACCCAAGGCTAATGGATAAGTCGACAGGATGTTGCCACCCGGTGTTGTGATCTGAGGTTTGACTTGGACCTCCTGAGTTGGACCCCAACTACTTGATCTGCTCGTATATCCACCAGTGACCGGGTCATCCAGGTCTTGGACGAATATCCCTGCAGACGCCGAGTTGGTGATGTTTACAACGACATCTTTCCCTTCATTTAGTAGCGTTATAAATTCGGCGCCTTGACTAGAGATTATAGACCCGGCACCCTTTATGGATTTATTAGAGGTATACATGCCTGGAACTTCCCTAGTTATGATTCACTTGTAAGTAACTCTACTGAGGGAAAGGTTCGGAGTTCAAAGCCCATGTGCTTACCTATTTGACTGGCTATACCATAATAAATACTGGCACCCCTTCGCCGCAAGATTCGTAGCCTGCATTTCCGCGGTGCATCCCGAACCTGAAGTTGGCATGCGAAGTAAAGCAACCGTATTGGATAGGTCTGGAGTGTCGTCAGGCAGTGGCTGGCACGCGTCTGTTTCCGAAGCTGTATTGTTGCTTACAGGCCATAATCGTAAAGTGATATTTGCTTGATAAGAAGGGGTTCCAACCCTGAGGCCGAAACGTTCGGATAGAGTCGAATTACCAACGGTGAAGGTAGCTTCGTTTAGTAGCATCGGGAGAACGGTATTCTCAACGGAGCCAACGGCCGTGACATTGACACCGGATGCCGGCGTAGACGGGTACCACAGGCCCAAATTTCCCGAATTTCCCGGAGCCACAACAACAGGAACACCAGCAGCAGCGATACGCGAAGCGACAATAGCCCAGGGGTCTGAAGCCCAACCTGAATCGTCACCGGCCGAGCAAGAGATGATGTCACTTTTGGCCTCGAATGCGGCGTTGAATCCAGCAATCAGTATCTCGTTAGTTGTCTGCCCTCCACAGCCTGTCGCCTTATACATGCCAAGCTTGACTCCAGGCGCAGCCCCTGTAAAGTTGTGCTCATTAAGCTGAGCAGCAATTATTCCCGCAACGTGAGTCCCATGTCCGACGCAGCCGTCGTACGGGTCCGGATCCGGAATTGGGACGGGCGACGTATTGTTATCTCCATTAAAGTCGTAGCCGTACTCAACGAGACATCCTTCGCCAAAACAGCCGCCGAGGGCTGGGTGCTTATAGTCGACGCCCGTATCCACCAACCCGATTCGTAAACCTTTACCTGTGTAGCCTTCGGCGAGGAGCTTGTCAACCTGAGTCATGAGGTGCGGAGTGAATACTTCATTCTCGATTTCTCGTCGTTTAACACGTCGGAGGAACTCCGTCAGGCTGCTTCCGGTTAACGTTGTGTCAGGCTTTGGAAATGAGATTTTTCGAACTGGCCAGACGTTCTTGACTCGAGGTTTTGAGGCGATTTGTATCTTATCGGCTTCGATGTCTGCAACATCACTCTTGAGGTGGAACGATGCACCTTTGAAGAGCTGGAATTTTAAATCCATCCGGTGCTCCACCTCAACACCGTCAGCTTCGAGGGCTTGATATAATACATCTGGACCCTCATTGTCATCGAATTCGACAATGTACGACCCTGGTACAATAGAGTCATCAGATAATGCACTTCCGTCAAGGGACGCGACGGCACCAGCAATGAATGTTTGGGCCCAGAGAAGGGTCGCCAATGCGGGTTGGACTCTCATTGCGACTAGGACTGAGAATATCGGTTATCCTGCTGTGACATGACAAACAAAAGGGGTAACATTACAGAGAAACCTGCCCACGAAGAGCTATTTAACCTGAGTTCCTGAATCGTACCTCAAGATCGAACGACTATAGATTCTTAGTAGATTCTTAGCATCCCTCCGTCAATTGAGAATTTACCGGGGCCCCGGCCTTCATGGTATAGATATGGGTAAGCGGAGGATGTCCTTGTTCCGTGCGAAGGACCGAGAATAATTCCCCACAAATCAACGGCTATTCTCTTCTCAGGTTGGAATTTCTCGTATATAACCTATGCCAAGACTCTTCACGAGATGTCTATAGTTGAACCTTGCGGCTCCTCGTAAATTATGTAACCTCATTGTAACGACTTTCCGGTTTGGGATATTGATACTACGGTGCCTATCAATCGAAATTCTTCGCGTCTATTACTCCGTCAATCATTGAAAGAGTAGCTATTGGTCGTGATAGTTAGTGATGGTAATGCATTAGTTCGCATATTCCCGTATTTCTCAGACCGGGATCTTCCGAGCTAACACCAAATGTTTATAGCTACCTCGTATATCGATAACAAAATTATATATTCAGTCAAGTCAACTGCTTCACCGGGTGCCTGTGATAGGAATCAAAGAGATATGTGAGACGATATATACGAACAGATGTCGGCCGGGGGGGGGAGTAGGAGAGCGCGGATAAGGGGCAAGTTAACTAAATTTGTGCATTGTTACAACTAGAGTCGCCATAACTTATGAATACCAAGATGTTTAGCAAGATACACGAGTTTCTTAGAATAAGCGTGGGAATGGTGTTAAACTCTTGACTAGAGATACGATGAGGTTCCTCTAGTCCTCTTCCTGATGGATAACCACTCTGCAAAGTGGGTGAAGGGCCATGGTGTGAGGGATAAAGGATGGAAGATCATCAAGGTCTATAAGCAAGTAACTTGTCGTAACGGCCTTTAGGAAAACTATCTTACACTTTTCGAATATGTCGGATTACAGAACACGATTTACCTCTCACCTAAGGTAAATAAACTAACCTAACCTAAGGCTTTAGGCTCCTTTTCAGGATCCTTGCGGTATATGGCCCGTGCGCAGTCCAAGGAGAATAATTTATATTTCTATCATCTTCTATCACCATCAGAAAGAGATATAGGATGTATATGAGTTATAGAAAGTAACTGCTGGATTGTTTGGAATCTTCTACCCATATCGTACTCTGGCTGGAGTCACATCTTCGCAAAGCTGATTCTCTTTCTGTGTGGTCGCTGGCATTTGCGGAAATGAATTTAGATGGAGGGGTATATATGCCGACCGGCTGACTTAGAAAGGCATGAGAGTGTGCCATGACTACGATCGTAGAACATCTTAAACGCACTAAGGAGCCTAGGAACTTTTGACTTGGAGAGACAGTTTTGTAGGACTGTTTGAATTACCATATAGAGTTGTTTCTGGCCCAAGCCTAAACCCATCCCTAACAGCACCTGGTAACCAATCCACTGAGAGAAGGTCGCATCCACGGTCCAAGTAGTCAGAAGGCCTGCTCTGACTGGAGTAATAATAGAGGCAGGTATCATCATCGGAGCATCTAACAAGAGTTAATTCCCAGATAATATAATTCAATGTTGAGGATAATATGCCTATGACTTACAGTATCCGGACTTAGAGACCAACGCTCCCGAAATCATAGCCATGGTAACTACTCCCAAGACGAATGGAGGTAGTCCGACCCCAGCACCGATGACACTGACACCGCGAATAACCTGGTGCTATAAAGGTGTATTTAATAAATAAATTCGCACAGAATCTTCCATAGAAGAGCTAGAAAGTCGCCGTAGTTAAGAGATATCCTAGTTTCCCGTATTTAGTATTTCAAGATATTACATGTATAAGCCAAGAATTTGATAGACGTACCGCTACCGTACCAACCCACATCAGATAGCTTCTGGAAGCCGTCCGAGATGATGGGTGTGGCATTGGCTACTATTGTCTGATATTAAACATTTCACCATAGTTAGTCTACTAAAGAAGTTGCATGGAGAGAACTGGTAGTCAAGCAGGGTCATACCAATGAAACTAAGAACACCGCAAACCATAAACCTACGCCGACGGCTACGATATTTGCCAACGGAAAGGGCTTCTCGGTACGAGTGGCCTTGTTATGGTCTTGTTCGTGTCCCTTTTCTGTATATTGATCTGGGTTATCCGTAACTTGGACGGCTACTCTTCTAATGCCACGTTTCGTGGTTGAAAGTGAGATGGTAGCGAATCGTAGTAAATCGTAGAATATCGAGGAAAAACAAGGAATGCATTCAAAGAACAGATAGAATAGAAAAAATATTTTCAGGCATATATTTTATATGTTGCGTAAGATGAAGAGAGCGATAGCTTTATGGATCTTATAAGTGGAATGGGAACCTGACCAAGCACATAAAAAGAGAAGCCTAACAAGATTCGCAGAGCCTACTAAATTGGGATTAGAACCACCAATCTGAGCATTTTTGATTGGTGAAAGAGGTATCTTTTCTTCTTCAACGACGATTCTTACTCCCTTATTCTAGCTGTCTCGTAATCTACGACAATGGTTTACCGTTCAATGCCTCTCGTATCGCATAATAACCTCCAGGGACTAGTTAGTCATGTCATAAACATAGGTACCTACTTGTGGAGCTGGCCCATCTTTACCTTCTGTCTCCTGTTCTAAGGTTTGTCTTGTATCTCTCGTAAGACGCGTCGCAGTTCGTTTTTATTCTATGTAACTCGGCATTGCTTTCACCGCTAACACAGACCTCTAGATGGAGGACAGCCAACTTGCAGAAACTGCGAGAAGAGAAAACAGATCTGTCGAGGATATCGGAGACGGGATATCGTGTTCCTAAGTGATGAATGGCGAGCTCCCGAGGGTCACGGCCTCGAAACGAAAAAATAAACTACTAGCCAGGATAGAGGAACGTGAACCTCTAGAGTTAGAGGCTTAGTCTCCTGATGTTCCTATAACGCATTCAAATGTTCGTCCCCAGAAAGGTCCTAACATAGACCGATGGCCATTGTACATCGCCTTTTTCCTCTCAGAATTTGGACCGGCTGTCCTGGGCGGCCCTCATCTAATGTTCGATCTATTTTATCATTATGCTTTGATCCCCCTTTGTCAAACTTATATATATACGATACACCGCTTGTCACCAAGCAGACCCGTGGTACTCGCCGTTCACGCTATTGTTGAGGCTCGCTTTGGAAGAGCCAACGCCGATCTAATCTCGACACAACAGAGCGTCAAAAGATATGGGATAGCTTTTAGGTCTATGTCAGCCGAGTCCGCAGAGTTACATGATGATAACTCGGGGTTTTGAGACCTCTCAGAGGGCGATTGACAGCATCTCGTCTTCTTCTTTATTATGACGGCATGTTGGGAAGTATGGGCAGTCCCCTGTATCCCTAACCTCGATAATTATTCTAATTTTATCAAAGCTAGAAATGTTTCCTTGTTCAAATATGTGGCAAAATCATATCCGGAGGCCTGGTCGCTGCCATTATGTCCAGAGGTACTGAGCACGCCTACTCGGCAGATAACCTGAGGCTGTTAGCAGCTTCACGATTGTTCATAATAATATCCCTCAAGTCACTTTCAGTTGAGTACCAGAGCTGAGATGTGATAGATTTTGTAAACACTTTCATGGAGACGACCTACCTTTCTTTCCGACCCTTCGAGACAAGTCCAGCCTCTTATCCACTCTGGATTTACGCTGGAAGTAAGAACGGCACAGCATGAAGTTAAGCATCCGATCGAAATGACTTCCGTGATCCACTGGGCTACCTAATAATGGACATCGCTTCAACGGCTATTGTTGCTTCTAAATATGATTAATTGCTTGCGAATATGTCTAGGGCAGCTTCTCACAGAGACAGTGATAGCGGAAGGACTCTAATTAATCTGCATAACGAAATCAAAACACTATTAGTCCGAATAGAGACGCAGCTTGCGTGTTGGGACACGACCATCATCGAAACACCACTGGATGTCTAGCTTTCGAATCCCCAAAACACGAGTGCTAGGTTTTGGCCTACAGCGGAGTTGGATCTCCAATACGTCGTTGACACCTTTCTTTCATTCCGTTCGATGAGGGACTACCAGGTCTTTAGCCTCCAATGTACGGCTGCTATGTTTCTTCGGCTTCTTATTAGCGATATGCTAGCCCTGACGCTTACTATGAAGCCATATGCAACATTTATTGACCCATACGGCAATATCGAAAGACATTGAGTCAAGCTTATGGGCTAGTTATGCATAGAGGGTGTTACGGAATATCGGCTATGGCGTACTTAAAGAGAGTAGATCGGCAGTTCCCTTCTTCTTGGCAACTGCTTTCCGAATGACGACTGTAATTACGGAAAGGGGATCTCCTTACAAGAATAAATACTTACTAGGAGTTAGTATAATGTACATCAAGAGTGTTTGTATTTCTAAATATTCTTTGAATTGTGCTCAAGCCCGGTCGAACGTCAGCTATGTCCAGCCTCTACTCCATTGTTTTCCCACCCAGAGTATAATTTCGCGCATCACGCCTTTTCCTTACCCAGCGTCTCAAGGAATTGGGCAGCGACGTCGACCACCGCACTCTCGAATGTTCTCAATTTCCCGCCTAGCAACTTCTCTACATCGCTAGAGTCATATTCAACAGGCAACGTCGGAACTGTACCCTTCTTGAAGACCCCCTCTGCAACAGCCTTGGGGAATGCCTTTGCGACGTGATCAAAGATTGTTCCGTAGTCTACCTTTGTCGCAATACCAAAGTCCTTGGGTCCATCTGGTTGTAGGTCGAGGAACGCCACGCGTAGGTGGGCGTCCGCTACATCGTCGATGTGCGCAAACCCGCCATGGATCGGGAATGGCAACGCTCCACCCACCATGCCCATCATCAGGAAGTTGTTAGAGCTGTTCTGCGTCTGCATCATAGTGGCGTCGAGGGCTAGCTCGTTACGGCCGAAGACGTATCCGGGCACCACATGGGATACGGTGAAATGGGGATTATGCGTCTTGACGAACTCGTCCGAGTTATGTATCTCGACTATCTTGCCCAGCACGTATGCTTCAAAGACGTTGTCGAAAGTGGCGGGAACGGGGTCGGGCAGCGGAACGCGCGTTTTCGCCGAGACGGCGGCGGGAGGCGGCACGGCGCCGAGATTCGCGACGATAGACGAAGTTATGATGACGCGCTTCACGCTGGGTGTTTTGAGAGCGGATGAAAGCAAGCCCGAAGATATTTTTATCGTCGGCTGGAATATCTCCGTTGCGGGCTCGTAGCTCGGTAAGGGTACGGGCGAGCCGGCGTGGATGATGTGTGTGACACCTTGCAGGGCCGAATCAAAGGCACCTTCGACAGTGAAGTCAGGTATGATGGCCGGAGAGAGACGTTCACCAGGCGCGAGTCTCTGAACAGCAGGGTTTGAAGAGACTACCTTGGCTTTGTCTTCCGATCTAACCGTATAACGCACATTGTGGCCGGCGGCGAGAGCGGCGAGAAGGATGCGAAATCCGATCAGGCCAGTAGACCCCGTGATAAGAATCGTCGCTGCCATCGTGTCTTATCTCGCACTTGGAGTATATATCTGATATATAGGTAGTTTAGATATACTAGGCTCTTTACCACGGATATGGTGGTTGAGTCCTCGCCTGCTAGAAAGGGTTCGTTATCAAGCTAATACCCTGGATATTGCCAGTTCTTTTACTCTAAGAACACAAGGAAGAAAGGATAGGAGTTGGAAAAGGGGGAGCGATAGCGAGAGGCAGGAGAAGAACCTGTGACATTTTGGTGTGCAATTGCAACGCTTTTAACGACTCCTTGTTTGGGAAATATTGTATATCATATGCTCTTCCTTTCCGGGGGACCGCTCGGCAGCATCTGGCGGCGCAGCTATGGTGCAGCTATGATACATAGATCGAGGGGTCCGGCACATGCATCAAGGATGATGAGGTGCTGTGCCGGGTACGGGCATCATGCTTTATTGGGCTGACTTGAACAATATAGTGGGTAGGTGGCTTATATTTTCTTATATTTCTTTACTTAAGGTACTTAAATTACCTATCTACCTTTGAGTCGATTTCATTATACATTTAATAGTTATCTCATTATTAGAGGAACTTGTTCATTAGAATGGAATTCCCATGATCCAGTTAAAACGAGTTACTCAATCGTTTATTCTTACATTTATCATCTTTAAATAAATAATGATAGTTGAGCTATAATAGGAAAACCACGTTTTGTCTCCACGTCCCCCCTGTCCGTGTCCATGTCCACGCCCCTGTATTCGCCACTTTACTCTAGACTTTCCTTCTTTGACTCGTCTCCATCTCCAGCCTAATTTTAGCGATTTTGAGCCCCCACTGGCTATAAGCGCTGCAACGCTGAGTAGCATTATCACGCTCGAAGGATTCACTATCATATGCGCGCCTTAGAGGCATTGGAGGAGTCTAGCTGACCTGCATCACCGCATCGGAAGGATTAACTTTGTGACGTTGCAATCGTATCATCTAACGCGAAGAGGACATGGAAGGATGGCTTAGATGGTCTTCGATGTTCTTAGATGTTCCTGGGTGGTTGTCATCTTGAATATGATTTAGTCATTTAAATGCTTCAGCGTAGCTTACGCGATCTCGATCCGTCCTCCCCTCCTTGGGGCCTGTTCTGCCGTTCTTTACTATACCTACGTGTAGTCGTGTACCTATTAACCAAGCCATCGGCCTACCAGTAAACGTCTGTCAGCAAGCCCATTAATCTTTTTAAGACGTACAGGTGTTACGGTAGTTGGCCGAAAAACACTAGAAGCCTTACACAACTTCCAACGAAGCTGTTGTGTCATCACCAACAACCAACAAATTAAAAACGCAATCGAGAGCCTTCTAGGACTAGGTAACATCAAATATGGCGGCCCCACCACCATCGCCAGACCAGTTTCCACCTGGGTATCTGGAAGAGGACCACGGCGGGCGAGTGATTGCTGCCGTCACCACTATTCTCGTCATAACCACAGTCCTTTTTGGGCTACGACTTTGGGCAAGAAGCTTGACAACAGCACAGCGAGGATGGGACGACCATGTATTAATCCCGGCTTATATATTATTACTAGCATTATGTGGTAGCCTCTATGGTAAGTTGAGAACTCTGCTCTTTTCTCAACTGCACGCATATTTCGCCTCGCGGTTATCATGCTAATTTCTCTATGATAGCCGAGGTAATCCAGGCTGGGCTTGGTAGACATACTGTAGCGGTGGTGATGGAAGATCCCAACAAGGTGACCAAATATCTCCTGTTGCTGTATCTCCTGGATTGGTTCTACGTACCATCCAACATGCTATCGCGAGTCTCGGTGGTCATCTTGTATCTACGCATCTTCACCGACAAATGGGCGCGAGCTGCTTGCTGGGGCGTCATGGGATTCTTGATCGCGAATTGCCTTGCTACCATCATCGCTGCCCAGCTCGAATGCACGCCCCTTGCATTTACTTGGGACAAGAGCATCCAGGGCGGCACGTGCTTCAACCAGATACTATGGTATCAACTTACCAACTTCCCGAACATCATAGGCGATGTCATGATTATGATTCTGCCCATTAGAACCGTCTGGGCATTAAAGGCCTCCGTCGGGCGAAAGGCTGGCATCGCAACTGTCTGCCTGACGGGCAGTATGTAAGTGGCGGCTTGATTTTCCCCCACGAGTCGGCATCCTGCTTACATATTCTTCAGCGGCATGATAGCCTCATGTGTGCGTACCAGTGTATTCTATACCCATGCGGATGTGATTATGAACGACCCAACGTGTAAGGAGACTTTGACTCGTTTCTAACTCGCCTGCTAACCTCTCACAGTTGCCGATGAGGCATTCTCATGGACGGCAATCGAATGTGGCATGTACTTCTCGGCCGCATGTCTGATAGGATTGCGACCACTCCTTTCCCGCCTACCGCATTTCGTCAAAAAGCGCGTCCTAAATGCATCGGACAACGCTGGAGGTACATACGCGCACCAAAATGATAAGTTGCGCCTGGGCAGGTATTACAACAGCCAGTATGCTAGTATCGTAGGCGACGACGAGTTGGGTCCACGGAGCCGAGCTGAGATTCCGCTTCGACCTACTATACCGCCTGCGCACCTTGCCCACGATCCTTACAGGAGGGGTCTAAGCAAAAGCGAAATTCGCGTAGAGACGAATATCGAGATTAGAAGGGATTTCGACCGGTCTTATCCCTGATGTGATTTCAGGCGGGAATTGGGCTTCTCTCTTTTCCTTTTTCTTTCTGGTACTTTTAGCGGACTGAGAGATCGCGGCATCTTTGTTAGGTGCCTTGGTATGTATAACATACAGAAGTATATAAGTACCTAGTTATATAAAGATCTCTGGCTTGATGTTGATCTAGAGTGGACTTCTAAATATGAAGATATCTTAACACTCCTTTAAAATAGTTCTAAGTCTAGGCTTAAGGCCCATGATCTAACTGAAGCATCGCCACTTAATATTTGATACCGGATATGCGAGGTTCATACTAGAGAAGCCAAAGCATCTAGAAACAAGAAGGATAGGTATACGACTAAACAATCTATAATTTACTATATCTCTCTATGAGCTCTCTGCCGCCGCCTGCACTACCGACTTCGCCTCTTCCGGCTCTGGCTTATCAGTCGGAGCTGCGACGGCCAATTTTGCTTGGCGGTGTAATATTCTAGGCGGCATACTTCCGCTCTTATTGATTGCTCCGTTGCGCCTCCACCGACTATTCCACATGCCATCGTCACTCTGTCGAATGTAATATCCCAAATCTGCCGTGGGATCCCATTCCGTCTGGGAAATCCCGTTACCCAACCAACTGAACCTATTCCCGGCATACTTGACCTCCCAGTCGTCCCAGCGAGGCTCGCGGATCGCCTCAAGGTAATGCAGCGTGCTTCCGGGCCAGGTAGTCGGCACGCGGCCACCTACCTTGTGGTTGTTGTGTGAATTGCGACAGTTATCCGTCCACACGGCTTTATCCATGAAGCTAGCTACGTGCGCTTTGAAATCGGCACATGCAGCTACCTTGGGTGCCATACTGTGGATTGGCTCTGTTTGGTAACGATCGATGAACGAGCAAATATAATCTGCTTGGGCTTCGATGGCAATAAGTGTGGGACCGTTAGAGACAGGTGTGTAAGGGCCTAGGAGTGTAAATGTGTTGGGAAACTCGGATGCGCCCACACCCATGTATCCCATGATGGATTCAGACCACTCGGTTTGCAAGTTTCGTCCTTCGGGGCCATATATCGGATAATGAGATATATATGACGTGTCGAAGCCTGTGGCGCAGATTATCACATCGCCGTCGTAGCTAGACCCCTCGTTGCTAACAACACCGGATGATGTAAAGGATTCAACACCGCTGTATACAGCTGTGACGTTTTCTTCTTTGAGGGCCTTGTAAAACCAAATTTAGCAGGATCTTCTTAGAGAGTAGTACGTGACTTACCCTAAGATACCTAAAGCCGGATGGAATCACTCGTTTGCAACCGACCGCAAAATTTGGTATCAGTTTTCTCCGAGACTCTTCGTCATCGAATATCTTCTCCATCTCACCTCTAAGCAGAGTCTCGCATTGCTCCTGCAACACTGTACCTTTGAGGTAAAGACCTATACTTATGGTTATTGACGAGCAATATAATTTATGCAAAGATGACATACTGAAAATACTATTCATAGTCCTTTCGTTCGTTCGTCGCAGCTCCAAGACGGTCTCCGGCTCTTTCTTGAACTTCTCAATCTCCTCTCGAGTGAACTGTCCAGCCTCGGTAGAAATGTCTGGGAGTACCCACGTGGGGGATCTGATGAAGATCGTGACATTCTTGACGATAGGTTGAATCGTGGGTAGTATTTGTACGGCCGAGGACCCGGCCCCGATGAGCAGCACGTTTTTACCATCGAGTGGTATACTCCTGTCATAGTTCGCGCTATGGACCTTAACACCTTTATAATCGTCGATTCCTGGGAGCTTCGGCCAGGATGGCTTATTGAGGTAGCCACAGGCGTGGATCAGGATATGACAGGAATCGCGGATAACTTCTCCGGTTTTCAAGTTCTTGACTTCGACTTGCCATCGTCCCGTATCCTCTACCCACGTAGTCTTCTGGACGGCATGTGATAGCTCAATGTGTTTATTTAAGTCGTACTTATTAACGAACTCTTCAAAGTAGTTCTGGATCTCATCCGAACCGGCGTAAACGGAGGAAAAGTCGGGCTTCTGTTCGAAAGAGTATACGTAATTGTGCGAAGGGACATCACAGGCACACCCGGGGTACCTGTTCTCGTACCATGTACCCCCTACGCTCGGATTTTTCTCGTATATCTAAAAGGGTGTCAGACTTTTGATTTAATTCTCGCATTTACACCATGTTTCAGACCGTTAGAGAATATGATCTGAACGACCGTTGAAGCTTGTATGCCAAGCATAACCCTGATGCGCCTGCTCCGACGCATATTATTTTAACATGGCGTTCATTGTAGACGGCCTCCTCGCGTAATGGATCCATGATTATCGCGTATAGGCTAGATCCGATGAATGAATAGGCACTTACTTACACCCCTTACAAACCAGTTTATACAAGTTGGTTATGTAGTATTAAACCTTACGAATACTCAAGGCGATGTAGCAATTTGATATACATATCATACGAAGCCGACTAGGTCGGCTGTACAGGATTACATTCATGTTGATAGCGCACCTTACGATCCATATCCTACGTAAGAAGGATTCAACAAGGTAAACAATCCTAATAGTATATCTACTAGGTATAGTATGACATTAGTCGAGCTAGTATATGTATGAGGAAAATAGTTCGGAATCCTGGAATCCAAGCGGGTCGTTAATCAGGCGTCGTGGTTCCATAAAAATTCTGCAACGGAGAGTAGATGCATAGGTACCTATATAACGATGCTGGTTACATCGTTTGGAAATTTGGATAATAATTGTATGATAATATCCCACCTTCCTAAATCCAATACACCAATGCACGATAAAGTAGATATCTACATGGGGAATCATGAAAGCTAAACCCGTAGCTAAACCCGTAGCTAAACCCGTTACACCTTGCCTTGCCCGGAACCGAGAAGGAAAAACAATGTCAGCCCACGTGTAAAGGCCTATGTAGGTCAGGCCCCTGAACAACGCTGGAGAAGGTTACTATATGCATAGTAAGACCAGGTACATAGAGAAGGTGACACGGCAGATGGAAACCCATAGGGCTGAGAGCTCAGGGGATTGTCCTTGGATGTTTTACGTATGCAGGATACAGGGATGGATTGGATCAGCCGTTGAATCCATCGTTAGTCTGCCTGTGCCGCTGTGCCCCTGTACCTGATGGAGACCCTGCAAGGATAACGAAAATAGAATATCCCATTTTCCATAATTTAATTGGGTAACTCAGTCTGCATCCATGCAACCTAGATCTCCTCAGGCGCATGGGCAAACTTCAATTGGCGAGGATTGATGTACGAAACAAGGCGTAGCTCGCCACCTGTCTCTACCGAACATCCAATATAGGTATGTAGTCCGCTACGTGCCCTTAACGCTTCTCGGGAGCTGCTATTGTTAGTGATAGGGTAACAGAGAATAACTAGAAAGGAAAAAGAAAGCGACGAGCTACTATGTATGTATGTATGTAGGTAGGTAGGTAGGTAGGTAGGTAGGTACTCACAATATCGTCCCCATAGCACTCCTATAGTTAACCATGTTTACTTTAGACAGGGGGCTGGCTCCGCGCAGATGCGTCTCAACCGCCGACATGATGGCTTCCTCGTTTCGTGCGTAGTGCCGGACAGGCAAGTAAGCCTTGACCTTGGGACTTTTGCTTCCGTATTTGAACTCCACATTATAGAGGATTCCAGCCGTTCGATGATTCTTAGCGGGGAGTTGCACGTCATCAGCATCTTCATTCGTACCCTTGCCCAATAATGCGTGGTATATCGACCGTAAATCCTCTAGGCCTCGCTCCATGTCCGGCATCCGAACACGACCCCCCAAAGTCATAGCAGTCCTAACAGATGCGAAGCTGGTATCACGGATTCGAAAGTAGATCTTGAAGCGGGACTCGGCTGGATCCACGAGGTCTATGGCCAGCATATCCATCTCTAGCTGCGGACTCGACGGATCACGGACGTACTCTTGGAACACCTTTAGAGCTTGAAGCTTCTCCGGTGAGCTGCCAGGCGCCGTCTGGATTGTGTCGGATATGACATCAATGTTGGACCGCCGTGTTGCCTTTGCCTTGAATCCGGGGAAGAAGTATGCTTTACTTATGACGCCCTCCTCCCCCAAGTCAAAGGCATAGAATTCCTTCGACTGGTGACCTTCTACCGAACCCATTGCCTCCTCGCCGCTCAGCCTCAGCCGGAAGTGGGCAAGCCACTCCATGTTTGCTTCAGGGAGTAGCTGCAGCATTGACTCTAAGAGCCCAGAGGCAGCGTACTGGTTATTGGGATCGAGATGAGTGCCCGCGTGAACCCCGACAGGTTCGATAGAAAATCGTATCTTGGGCGATTTACCACCCGTACGCCAATCCCAGCTCAGCTCTATGGGATTGTGATCGTCCGTCATGAAGCTCTTCCATCGCTGCCTTCCGGGCACGTAAGCAGCGCCTAGGCTGGGTGTAATCGCCTTGACGAATTTTAATATGTCGTACTGCGCATGGCTAGAGTATCCTGCCTTGTCGAGCAGAACAGCCAGTGCGTACCCTGAAGATCTCCACCAGTACCGCGCATGGTAATCTAGGTCAAGTTGAGCTTCTGAGTCTACCCTTCGGAACGCTGCCGTCGTCGGATATGACGGTTTCGTAACTATTTGCGTCTGCTTTTGACCGTTTATCCGTAATACAAGGTTGTGAAGGTAGAAGAAATACGAAAGGAATGGATGGATATACCCCTTTAATGGGCTGCTCCTCATAGAAATATGCATATAAGCCATTATAGTGAAGATGAATCTTAGCTGCGAAGAGTCGTCAACTTGCACTACAATGGGTAGAATATATTCGTAGGTCTCCCAAGGCCAAAACTATTGCCGTCATCTTACCTGTAGCGCCCTCTAGCTGGGGCAGAGCTAGGTAAGTTATATGCATCATCAGGTATTATTTACGGCACAGGTCCTGGATACGCTACTGTGTAGGCCTGGCTCCTACTGCTACGTCAGGTAGGTGGGTAGGTAGTGTATTCAAGATCATATACGTGGAGACACCGGGCAAAATAGCTGAGCCACAGGCGAAGGAAGCTAAAAATAAATCCATATGATATCCACAACCATTACCAGTCGCGTTTAGAGTGAATATGGCAATGCTCGGCATCCTGGTTACATGCGACAAGGTATCCCGCCGAAGGATCATGGCAATCGGCATATAAGATCGTACTATGGATAGGAATCCTGCCGCGCGTAGGTATTATTTAATAGTCTCTAGATGCGCTAAAGGAGCTCTGAACTCGCATACGTTAACTGCGAGCCTTGATAGGAAAAATGGCATTCGTTTCATTTGCCCTCGGGGCGATCGTCTTGATCGTCTGCTTCCAACTCCTGTATACGCGGTACAGGAAACAGCTAAACTCCATTCCCGGGCCGGTTGTCGCAAGCTTTAGTAATCTCTGGAAACTTGCCGCCGTTTACTATGAAGATATGCCCGGCTGGAATATGAGCGTGCATGAGAAATACGGCCCCGTCGTACGCATTGGCCCCAATCACGTATCATTTGCTAGTCCAGAAGCCTTCCAGATAATTCATGCTTCACGGCAGGCGTTTGCAAAGGTGAGAGGGCGCTTGTCTTCCTTTATCAACATAAGCTAATCGTGACCTGCGGTGACCAGTCGGACTTTTACGAAGTAGGGGCTCCTATCTATCATGGGGAACCGCTTGAGAATCTGTTCTCGCTTAGAGACGTCCAACGCCACGCCACTCTAAGAAGGAATATAGGGGGACTATATACGAAGGCCGCAGTCAAGGACTTTGAACCCCAGGTAGAAAGCTGTATTGACTTATTTATGAGGCAACTAGCAGACAAAACTCGAGATGGACCTGCAATTCTTGATATGTCGGTATGGTTACATCTGTTTGCCTACGACTGCCTCAGCGAAATGAACGTCTCAAAGAAGCTGGGGTTTTTAGAGAGGGGCCAAGACGTGGGCGGTACTATCGAGTCCTCCGATAAAATATTCTTCATGGTAGGACTGGTATGTCTGCGGTAGTCCGTCCTCTTGCTATTGCGTCTTACTAAGATGACCAGTTTACGCAAGCACCCATCCTCCAATGGCTCTTAGGATTCCTCAGATCGCTCGTACCAGCGGAAGAGGCGGAGCCAGTATTAAAAGTAAGTCCGCTTAACCGGCACACGGGAGCTAGCGCTTATTGATGCACCCCAGTTTACACTCAATGAGGTAGAGGCTAGGAGGAAGTCATCTCAGGCGCAAACGGACATGCTGGGTAGACTGCTCGATCTTCATCTGGAGCAACCAGACAAAGTCTCCATAAGAGACCTCACAGCCGCAATATTCATAAACCTGTACGCACTATATAGCACGCTCCTATGGTAGAGGGTACTTACAAATCATCAGCACGGCAGGACATGACGTTTTAGCAATCACCATCCGCGCAATATGGTACCACCTTGCTCGGAATCCTCGCGTCTTGAGCAAGCTCCGAGACGAAATAAAATCCGCCAGTAACGAATACTCGACCTCTTCTATAGTCCCTTTCTCCGTTGTCACTAAACTCCCCTATCTGTAAGCTGCCTAATCATTTTTACCTTCCGCCTGCCCACCACGTTTTGGAATGCTAACCACCTTACTTGAAGAAACGCCGTTATACAGGAAACATTACGCGTTCATCCTAACACTGGTACGATCATAGAACGTAAAGCACCGCGAGAAGGAGCTGTTGTAGACGGTTATCATATCCCCGGAGGTACCACCGTCGGTGTTAACGCTTGGGTCCTTCACTATAATAAAGACGTTTATGGGGAGGATGCCGATCAATTTCGACCTGAGAGGTGGATAGAGGCCACTGAAGAGAAAATCCTAGAGATGAGTCGGTGTTTATTCTCTGTAAGCCTAAACTAATACCCTCGAGCCCTGATGTTTATATTTTCCAACTCATTATGTGGTTGAACTAACTCGACCCTTTGCAAACAGTTTGGGGCTGGTACACATACTTGCATCGGAAAGAACATAGCCATCTTGATGATAAGTAAGCTGGTGGTGGAGTTTTATCGAAGATACGATGCCACGTTAGCACATCCCGATCAGGGATGGAAAGTCCACGGTAGCTGGGTCACCAAACAAACGGGGATGGACATGATAATTAGCAGGCTATGAACAAATCCAGAGATCGAGATTATATAGGGATATTTAATAAGTTCAACGACGACTTACAATCGTACCTTGGTATCATCTTGTCTATTGCTGCGCCAGGAGCAATTGTAGGACCGGTAATTGGCGGCACTCTTGTAGAAAGAGACTGGAGTTGGTGTTTCTATCTTAACCTTCTCGTCTGCGCCCTAGTTCTCCCGGTTCAACTCTTCTTCCTCAGACTTAAGCACGCCGAAGTTGGGTGGAAAGATATAATCACACAAGTGGATTGGTAACTTTACCTTCATCGGTTCGATTACCTCTCTCCCCATTGGTCTCACCTTTGGTGGAACAGTATATCCGTGGTCATCTTGGAGAATCATCGTCCCTATTGTTGTGGGTTGCGTGGGTTGGTTATGTTTCCACGGGTACGGGTGTCTTATCAATAACTCAAATCCCTGCGTACCGCCGCATGTCTTTTGTGATAGGACTTCAGTTGCTGCGTTCTATATGGTTTTCATCACCTCCATGTTGCCACAGTGGGTCTGTTTCTTCTGGCCCGTTTACTTTCTCGCGGTCCGCGGAACGAGTCTTACGCAGACAGGCGTCAATTTCTTGCCTTATATGTTCCTACTCATCCCACGCTCTGCTGTTGCCGGCATCATACTTCCCCAAACTGGCCACTATTGCCCATTACACGCCATGAGCTTCGTTCTGAGCACCCTCTGAAGTCAGAGGTCCTGGGTGTATATTTAGAAGCGTTAAAAGCAGTTTGGTATGGGACTATGGCATTCGGCACTTCGCTTTTCATTGCAGTGGCGATTGAGACACGTGTACTACTGAGAAAGGGATCGGAGACAGAGTTTGTACTTCAAGATATGAAAGAAAACGGGGAAGCTTCCGGAAAACTCGACGATGCTGATGAAAGAGGCCCTTGTAACATATAAATTCACCCAATAACCACCTCGAAGGTAAGTAGCTAGCCGCCTATGTTTACCTTAGGCACTTATGTCCTGCAATCACAGTATTAGTAAAAAGAAGTGATGAAGTAGGTAACAAGGAGCACCTTGAATGGCGTGGCTTTTTTACTTAAATGTAATCCGTTTGAGCTACCCCCCAGAACTCGTCCAAACGCCCGTGACATATGCAATAACCAGAATGGTATATCTCTCTCCTTTTAAGCCAGCCGTCATTATTATCGTATAGATTTTCTGCTTGACCGAATCTGACAATGATCAATGTACAATCTCATTACTGTCTTTGCCAACAGTGTTTGGGCTGTTCAAGCCGCTGTCATCATCTCCGAGTCGCCTTGCACCATCGTCCTCGTCATCGCTCATTAAACCTTCCAACTCAAATTCCTGGGCATCCCTCACTGGTATATTACCGTTTACTCGGGGCCCTAATCTACCATTGGCTACTTCTTTATGAGGAACGGTCGGAGCACTGTTCCGGTCGTAGAGGCCGACAAGGACATTTACGAAGAGGAAGAGTAAGAAGGCGAGCGAATACAATATTAAGATATAGGCAACATGGTCCATGCCTGAAGAATCGACTAGTAACATCTGCTCTTCCGTAGCACCCATAAATAACACCCCGGAGGCGTAAAGTAGCTGGAATACATGTTAGTAAGGCAAACCTTCCATTGTATTGAATTAGAAGACTCACAAAGACGGGGACATATTGGAAACTAGTTGTTTCGCGACCATCCTCGGATGAGCCAGGTCGATCTCGAAGCACAAAGGATATCTCAATGATACGCGTGACACCAGCCGCCATCAGGGTATATCCGAACATCTTATGGGTTTCGGCGCTGATCATCAACTCTTGGGGATGAGCACTCATTGCCCATCCGGTGATCAAAAGGACGAAACCTGGGATGAAATTACGCTGAGGCCGGCCATCGCCGTCTTTGCTCAACCAAACCCCAGCCAATCCTGCAGACCACCAGATTATACCCATTGCGGTATGCTGCCAGTCGTTCTTCACCCACTCAGTTCCCCATCGGTGTTCGGTAAAGGTGTTAACTACTCCCCAAGCAGCGATGACGGCACTGTCGAAGAACTCTTGAGAACGTCCAGTACGTCTTAGCCAAAGCTGCCCAACCAGCAATAGCAGCGTTAAGAGGATCCCGTAAGCGATGAAAGCGCTCCCCATAATAAAATGTGCTAGGCATTGGCCGAGGTGATCGCCCTGGCAAAAACCAAGGGCTGTAATACCGCCGAAAAGTATCTGCGTCCATGAGAGGACAGGCAATGCCTTACCAACTATTCCATGCCCAATCTTCACGAACCGTCTAATCTTCCCATTTATACCCTTCTCGAGATGTAGTTTCAGGTAAATGCCCATAAGAATTTGGAAGAAGAGTAGTAGCGAAATCGGCGATGCGAACTTGGAGTGGACGTTGGAATGCCGAAACTCGCGGCCGCCGTGCATATGACCTAGGGCATATCCGACGATTGCTAACGCTGTGCCGAGTACCTGAACGGGGACGTGCCATCGGGATTTGACGATCTAAAAATGGAGAATTTAGTCAGAATTCAGATCGATGGGCAAGGGGAGTTTGAGTGGTGTATGTGTATGTGTATGTGTAGTGTATGTGATGCATACCCCAAGAACCATCCCCGAGGGGAAAATGACGCCCCAAGCAAACATCTGTATGAAGATATGAATCCATAGCGTCGTGTCCTGTATGAACCATCAGTTTCCAGCGCTTCCGCCATAGCCGAGTAGATTTTAGGTAGTTGACAGGACATACAATCGGATCAACCGAAATGGCCTGGCCATCCTCAATATGCGTAGAGCTGTGATCGTGTGCGGAAGCCATAGGTAATGGTAATGCAGCTAAAGCCAATAAAAATGTAGATAAAGGAGAAGACAAAGCCATCTTGGCTTTCTGAAGGAGCCGCAATCTTGACAGTCCGGGTCCAAGACTGGTCTGGATCGAACCCCTGGAGGGAACCGTGTTTCGACTATCAGGACAAGGGGGGTTTTATGTAAAATGATAGCTAGACTCTAAATGATAATTGGACGGCGGTAAGAGTCTGCGAGTAGCTTAAATCAGCCGCCCATTACAGAGTCGTTTGAGGTGTTAGTTCAAGATGCAAGATGTTAGGTGTTCGATGTTGAAGAGGGGGAGAAGTTGCTGACATTGTTGATCGCAACATTGATTTTCGGATCGCGACAGGACACTAGGTACCTAGGTAGGTATGTACTAGGTACTAGGTAGGTACCTCTTTCCCTTTTCCTTAGTACCAGAGTAGCTGCACAAGTGATAACAGGTACAATACCTAGGTAGGTACTTAAGATACTCCACTGTACTCCGCCGTACCCGATGTCCCACTCTGTTTAGCCTAGAGCTTATATTGGTCTTGCAGTGTACCTAAATAGGTACCTAATGTAGTGTATGTGACTTACGTAATCATCTCCGCTGGAATGCACGCATGTACATGTACAGAAATTAACAATCAATTTCAATATAGCGTGTAAGAGCCATCTCAGGTTATGGCTAACACCGACGGAAATATCATCAGCAATACTGGGAGAGTATTCAAGTACCTGCATCATTCTCCAACTAAGTCCAGGAATGATTAGTAGGAAGAGGTACCCAGCCTTTAAGTAAGAATAGTCTTCTTCTACTTGCCGATATTGCAATAGCCTTTGCAGGCCAGGGTTGGGACAAGGAAATAAGTCAAACCACCCTTACTGGGGCCACCCTAGTGGGGGCCACCCATTTCCCATACAAAATCAACAACTTCGCATATCTGTATTTAATTCAAGAAAATAGATAAAACTATACCGTCTTTGATTTTGAGTACGGTATTGGATTCTCACCAGGTATAAAATTTTGAAAAAATGGCAGGGCTAATATCTGTGGTAAAATGAATACAAGAATATACACTAACAATTGCACATACAAATTTATATGTAAAGCTGTTAAGGGATATTATTGCTTATAACTTTACCAATTAATATGGTATAGATATAAAATCTATATAGTTAAATAAGAGACGTTTTAATACAACTTTTAAATCTAGGGCCAATTATATAACTTATTTATCTGAGAAGTTATAAGCGTTTATAAGGTTTTATGGTAATTTGATGAAATTCCCATATAAAATTAAAATTTTTAAATTTTTAAAAATAACATTAAAAATACACTTTACTATTTTACTATCAAAACATTAGATTTTAAATATGATAAAATGTACATAAGCTATTATAATGATCGAAAAGTAAAAAATAAGAGATTTTATATTTTTATCTATTTTCTTGAATTAAATACAGATATGCGAAGTTGTTGATTTTGTATGGGAAATGGGTGGCCCCCACTAGGGTGGCCCCAGTAAGGGTGGTTTGACTTATCGAATATACAAATATTAATGAACAAGATATTTAATATATATATAGTTTTATCTCTTTTAACAACTTCAATCGTTGCCCGTAATCTTGCAAGCTCGAGTAAAAATATATATTCGAAGCTTAACCCTTATTCTCAAATGTATGTGAGGCATGGGTAGTAGTAAAAGCAACGTAAGGGCTACTGTTGCCGTCACCACGACAACGTTTGATCTCGCCCGGTATCCGACGAAGTATGCGACGAGGGCTCCGATTGGTTCAAGGCCACGAAGTAATCCAGGTATATTGTATATTAGCCAATATATATATCTACATCTGGCCCAACCAAATAAACGGCTTGGTCCTTTCTACTGACTAGTCTATTAAACTCCGTTACTATTCCTGCTACTATCTTAAGTGAATGTTGAGGGAAGATGAAATTTGAGGTGGTCCAAGGTGACCTGGCCTACGATGGCCGTATCATTTTATATATCATCAAAGGTAGGTTGGTTGACATCATCATGAGAAGAAGAATACTAATGAATGTGACCAGCTGATGCGACAAATTATATCAACTACATGAAACCGTTAATGTTAGTTGAGGAACTCCAAATTGATCATGTTATCTCCTTAATCGACACCAAGTCCGATTGGTACAGACAGATTCACCCGGAAAGATACGTGCCAGCCATTAAAGACTGGTGTCCTGATACCAAGACTGAGATCAGTGTCTTTGAGAGCACTGCATGCCTGCAGTACCTTTCAGAGAGATACGACGAGAATGGTTTCTGGGCTGGGAGAAATGCGGCAGAGAAAGCCGCAATACTATCATGGACCGCGTATCAAACGGCTGGCCTCGGGTAGGTTTATAATCGCCCTCATATTCGAGGAGATAACTCACATAGTTTTTCAAGGCCTACGGCAAAGTACTGGTTATATTTTCTAAAAGGTTATCCAACCCGCCAAAACCCCACGGCACTACCAAAGACTGTAGCTAAGTACGTTCTTCCATCTTCTCTGTATGGGTTCTTTCTTTCTTCAGTTCTTTGCTGATGAGAATCTAACGGATAGATTACACGAGAACTGTGTCAAGCAATGGGATATTTTAGAGCGACGACTGGACATCCCTGACCAAGATTATATCGCTCTCTCCGATAGACCGACGGTGGCAGATATATCCTATTTTCCTTTTTCTATGCCATGGATGTTCAAATTCCTCAACGTGGATTTGGAAAAATACCCTAATATCAAATCATGGGGGGACAGAATGATATCAAGACCAGCGGTGAAGGCGGTATTAGAGCGTGTACTAACATATGGCCATGACTTATGACTTTTTTAAAGGGTAGCTTGATACTTGTTTACAGACATTAGAGGTACTCATACCTGAAGAGGTCAATAGATGATTTTCACATAATGTTCGCGTTTAGTGCTTTTAAACATAGACTTTAAGTGAAATCATGCCAACTGACTTCTAAGGCACATCGGCCATATCGAACTGACCTAGGAGCCTTTATAAAGCCGCATTTAGCCACACCAGCCATATGAATTTCACACCACAAACATGAGGACACCCCTGCAGTGCGCCACAATAGCCTGAGTTTACGAAGGTAATATAGTGCTGCCGGGAAACCTCGAATATCGACCTTTACAAAAAAAATAAAAATAAAAAAAGGGGAAAACGTATGGGATTCGAACCTAGGCTTCTATAAAGATAGGTATATATTTCGAGAAAAAGATGAAAGTAGGAACTTGGAAAAGCACGTAACTAATTCCACTTATATCGGGAATGCACCAAATCAAAACGCTTAAAAAGCGCCGCACGAACGAACTTACTCTTTCGAAAAAAAGGTCCCCAAAACAATATCCCTCGTAAACTCGAGCAATCGAAGTTAGCAAAACAATATATCTCGTAAACTCGGGCATTTATTACCACCTGGGCACCCACCACTTAAAGCTACATAAGTACTTACCTTATGTATACCCTCATTTTTACCTGTTTGTTAAGCAAATATAAATAACTTCAATGTGAATTAAACAGATCTCTTATAAAATCTATTTACTAAAACTAAATCAGGTTAAGTCAAGTATTATTTAACTTACCGTACCCGTTGGTTTATGTAACTTATAGTTATATAATAAATATTTCCCATCTTCTAGAGTACAATTATTTGTTTTGTAAGAGCGGGGAGCTTTCACTTGTGCCTGGTTCGTGCATAGCATCAGATGCACAAGCCTTATCGTAAAAACCAAAAAGTTTCCAGTGTAGCAGTGCATCGAGGCAGGCTGTCAAAAAGCTATTACAAAAGCCTTATGCATGTTGGAGGTAAAGTGCTTAAAAATGACGAGTCATTTTTAATTAATACTTTAATGATACACAGCATATGCCGGGGATACCTGTTAGTTGCCTATCTGCAGCATTTCATTTCCCCGGATGTCAAGGCATTCTTTCTCATATATCATATAATCTTTTTTTTCTGTATTAATATTTTAGAGTGTTTAATGGGGATGTAACTTGTTAAGTATCGATCGATAGGGGGTGGGGTTCTTCATGTTGCTTTGTTCCTCAGCATATTTGTGTTCGATTAAGTTGGGTTGAATTCTAGCTTAATGAACAACTATTGAATACCAGTTGTTTAAAGAACTGGTCAATCCCAATTAGTAATACAAGTCCTGCAGGCTGCGCACTACAAGTGACCAACACATGAGGCACCATCGAAAGATACATATTCAAGGATTTTTATCCCATGTTGTGTTAGGTACATATCTTAGGAAGTAGGTTACATGCGATCCTCCGTCGCGTTTTGAAGCCGTTATTTGTTGCGAATGGTTCCCTGTAGGCGCCATGGCTGATTCCTATCACCATAACGATTACGCACGTACTTTCTAACAGATAGGGTTACAAAGGTAGTTTACACTATAGTATGTTGCAATATTAAATATAAGTGGTACCTCTTGAATGCTTGTTTGACTTCTAGAATGACATTATCTAGGTAAATACAGGAGCTTATGTTAGGTCTTTTCGTCCATTCCCTGCACCTTGTACACTTATGTTTCGTCAAATTTCTGACGTTTGATTATCTCTCATCCACCTCTGGATTACCCTTTCTGCTATATACAATGCTTCCTTCTCCCCGCAGGTAGGTATCGTCGTATGATATCAATATCCCGCGCTGATACATGATATAGTTCACAAAGCCCGAACGCTGGTCGAGTGCCACCAGTCAAACTCCGCAGTGCATGTAATCAGTGCTGTGCAGCAAAGGTAAGTATTGAAATGATTGTTGACGAGGGAATATACAACTGAGAACACTATAGGTCAAATGCTCAGGGGAGAAGAGTGGATGTGAGCGTTGTCGTAATACAGGGGCGCAATGCATTTACTTGGAGTCAAAGGTCGGCAAGGTCCCAGGTATACGGGCGAAAAAGAAACAGCTTCATAGCCAGGGACCAGAGCCATCGCAAAAACCGGCCACAGCATCTCATAGGTCTGAGACACCCATTACCGTTACATCAGACGTTAATTCTTCTCCCGATCATGGGCAAGATGATTCTACGGGGTGGACTGCGGGGTGGAACTTTAATACGACCGATGAGACCGCCAATTTAAATGTTGATCTTCATGCTTCCACCGAAGAATCATCTGTTTCCCCTGGAGCTACCATGGACTTCCCTTCTAATGAGGAATACCCACTGGTTGCTTTAGAGGGAAGTCTCGAAGAATTCTTGATGGCTCAGGGATCCTTGCCATCTTCTTCGGCAGAGCAGGTTCAACAGGTAGTCCCTCTTACTCACCGTCCTGCTTCGGTCGAAATACGCCACCAGAAGCAGCTCGATAGTCAGTGTTGTGTCGAGTGTTGTAAAATAATAAGCGAGCTAGAAAGTTATATTGCGGCAGAGTTGAAAGTGCTTAAAATTGTGTTGGTGATCTTACGGGGAACGCTTGAGAAGGTGGCACATCTAATTGAGCTCCAGCAGAGTTCCAAGAACCCGAGGTGTCTGACGTTATTTTCTACACTCATGTACCAAGTTCTAGAGCTTTTGGAAGTCTGCCTATCAATCGTGATAGACGAAAACCACAGTCAGCGGAGTCATAGCCTGATCTGGGGCTCCACGGGTCTTGGAGTTGGTGACTTTTCCCTTGAATCAGAAGACCAGTCTGCTTCTAGGACACAAAAAATAGCCATTACCAAGATTGTTCGACAGGCAATAGAGGCTCTTGGAAAATTGCAGGACTTAGCCGGTGCCCGCCAAGACCTTTTTTCTACGAATCAAACAAACACAGTCTATGGGAACAGGAGAGATTGTTACGCAGATCTCGAATATAGATTCAAAGAGCTAACCGTAAGATCAGCTAGGGAGGGTTAAGAATAATTTTGTACTTACCCACATGGCCAACAACTTGAATGAGACAATGTATGTTTACGTAGGAAACTCTTCTCTACCATGTCGCATACGATACTTATCAAGATATGGGAGATACATCGGTTTTATTGCTGATGTATATATAGGGGCGCTTACCCACTATATTTCTATATGTATAGCTCTTTTCATTCCTCTGCTCCGTCGGAGCCAACAAAAAGAATACAGGGTATTTTAAGTGTGATACCTTACCTATTGACCTTTCGGTTATGTTTAGGGTTAGCCCGTTAGCAAGTTTAATTTTATGTATTATAGCAATTTGTTCAACATATATATATCAACATCAACATCAACATCAAACCCATTAAACAAGGGGGTAATGCTCAAATCGTTTGATATAAGCCGCGCGTTATACGCCTCCGCTTCGGAAACCTAGTTTCTACGCGAAGGTAGTTTATATTTATTGCGATCTGTAGTAAGTCTCATAAGATGGATACAATTCTGGGGTCTTTTTTATGCCAATATGACTTGACTTGATATAGTATATATTGTATGAGGACCTGATGCTAGGTGTAACCTCCAGCTACATATGAACCATTGGCTAATATAGGGAGGAAGAAAACGGGCTGCGAGTGCTAGTTGGCAGCTTGCAATTTCGGCTACCGGGCTCGTCGCCTTCTACCCTATAATAAGGTCCGGGATCCCCTATTGCTTTCAGTTTATCTCCATCTTGTATTTTCTTTCAACAATGGTGAGATTTTCTATATCGCTCTAGACACATAGCAACATCTTTTTGAAAGCCTTATATGCAATGGAAGATTATGGACTTTCAGCGCGAGGTACAGCAAATGTTGCGGCCATATTTCCAAAAATCAGCAACGCCATTGCGGAGCGCGAGGAAACCCCTTACATCGACATGGGAACATCTGAAAATTGGCTTCTCCGAAATGAGCTTGTGCAGTTTTACAAGAGGGCCGTGGGAGACAGTTTCTCTGCTAGGGTACGACTCCATGACCATTAACAGGTGTATACTACTGATAAGGACAAAGCACCTATCGTACTCTACCGGATTTGCAGGTGATCCAGACCTATTGGAGGCACTAGCACAATTCTTCAACACTTACTTCAAGCCGTGCATTCCCGTACAAAAAGAGGACCTTGCGACCGCCCCTGGCGCGGCCTATTCGCTGGACGGCTTGCTTTACAACATCTGTGAACCGGGAGACGGTTTATTGATACCGACTCCCTGTTGGAGTAAGTAGTGTGGCGTCTCTGTCTCAAGTTGTTTCAATATTAACCATCGCGTAGACGGCTTTGACTGGCTACTTAATGTTAGGTCTGGGGTCCAACCGGTCTTCACCCCACTGGAAAGCTTCGACGATGCCTTCGCTCCAAAGTTGGTACAAATATTGGAAAAATCCATTTATGAATCTCCCCACCCAGTCAAAGGATTACTCCTTACGAACCCGCACAATCCGTTTGGCAAGTGCTACCCAAAGAGCCTCATTATAGAAATCCTGAGATTCTGTAGCAAACACAGGATACATTTTATTTCGGATGAAATATATGCCCTGTCTCGATTTTCGAGTCCGGATATACTTACCCCAGAACCGTTTGTATCGGCATTACAGCTGGATGTGGCAGCTTTGGGCTGTGACCTGTCACTTGTTCATACGATTTGGAGCGTAAGCAAAGACCTGGGTTCTAGTGGTCTTCGAATGGTAACTATCTCCCTTAGATGCTTTTCACCTTCCCTGATTCCCCATCTAGTTGTCGTCCTCGTATTGATTTGTGACTAGGGATGCTGCATCAGCCAACGAAACAAGCCTCTCGTAACCGGGTTGGCATTGGTCTCAAATACTCAGCTGTCATCCCTAACAGCTATTGCAGTTACCCATCTTCTAACATCACAGGAGCTTCCAGGCCTCTTAGCACTGAATTCTCAACGCCTAGCCGATGCATATGCAAAGGTGACCTCGATGTTGAAAAGGCGCGGCATCCAGTACATCCCAGCGAACATGGGCCCATTCCTGTTCGCAAGGCTAGCCTGTTATGCTAGTCAGGACGATGAGGAAGCAGAGTTTGTTATAAGGTGCAAAGCTGCCGGGGTTAATATCTCTGCAGGAAAAGGATACCATGTTCCTGAGGGCGAGAAAGGCTGGGCGAGAATCAACTTCGCACTTCAAGAAGATCAGCTAGCTGAAGGGCTCCAGAGACTTGCTGTTGTACTAGATCATTCATTGAAAACTCATGGGAGAGAGACAAATGTGCTTCTAGGATGAAATATACAAATCTGTTCTATTCATCTCCTCGTAAAGTAACTTCCGACTAGACATAATATAGCAGTTCCAACTAACATTGATGCAACAACGAAGACGCTATTTTGGCCAACGGAACTCTGTATAACGCCTAGGATAATAGATGAGAATAAGCCACCTAGGCTTTCCATTATAGCTAACCCAGCTAAAGCAGAATCTTTTGAACTAGCTATTGCGACCGTATAGCTCTTGATGAAACTGGGAGCAGCCAGCCCCAAAGAAACCAAAATAACCAAACCATATATATGCCATTCGGTATTTATCACTAGGAATGAAGGGAAAGTAACTGCCTGTATAGACATAGATAGAACCGCGTAAAACATGTCGCTATAGAACATGTAGGCCGTAGATCTAGTCTTGACAATTCCTTCAACATCAGAATCACAAGTATTTCCTGCAGTCCCTACCGCTCTAAGTCGGCTTAGCACAACATGTAGGCATGGGATGATATAAAAGACGGTGAATAAGCAAATTGAAGATGTACCTGCAGCTATGGAAACGATATAGCTGTTCTCTACGCTGGTAAACCCAAACTTCAAGGTCGCATATACCATGATAGCAGGGAAGAGGTAGGCCTGTGCGGTATTGTAGAAGAAGATGGCCAGGCTTGCAAAAAGAGCAGTTGGTTCATAGACCAGGTATCGGATGGGTGTGAAAATCGAAAAAGAGTCTACGGCATCTCTCCCTTGATGGGACTCAGAGTGATCTCCATAGTTGCTCTCTATTACCGGAGCCAATCCGGGAACAAAGGCAAGAAGGTAGAAAAGTGATGATCCCAGCAACGCGAAAGCTAATAGAAAGCTGAATAGGAAGTGTGGTAACAATGTGACAAGCGCTGGGCTTATCGACATGCCAATCATATATAGCGCTAATGAGGTCCCCATCAATCGTGGAAATCGACTCCCATCCTCAGCTCGGACGTAGATAGCAGCTAGGGTATAATGTAGTATATTGTCGGTCGCTAAACCTTCAAATATGCGGCCTGCGATTGCGATGTAAATATCACGGAAGATTACTTTATGCAATATTTGTTAGTCTTCTAATCATTGTCATCGATAGGCCGAAGTTTGAATTAGGAATATTACCTCCAAGCGACAGTACCACGAGGCTTAACCCTCGACACGTTAACCATAGACATAGTCCTAATTTTGGATTGGTCTTCGTCCACTTTCGAAGAAGGCATATTGCCACGATGCTGATCGAATTAGATAGTGTAGTCGCAATGGCAACGGCACCGGCATAGCGATTTCGCTCGTTGTCCTCGCAATGGGCTGGATCAGTGCATAGGATGCTAGCGTACGCATATACAGTGGACGCAGAAGTGGCGGATATAGCAAACGCCGCTGTAAATGCTATGGGGAGGACATAATAAACGTGCTCCTTGGTGGTCACTTTGTTCAGTGGTGGCGTAGAGTGGGGAGACGTAGGAGACACTCTAGGAGTAGGAACGCACGGATCTACATCGCTCGTGTCAGGAGTGTGGGATATGAGCAAGGGGGATCTTTCTAGATCGGGTACTGATTCCATAGTGCTATAATTTTCTATTAGTTACCTATGTTGGAACTAGAATACTAACAGTTTATCGGAGATGATAGAAAAAAAAAATTTAGAGATTAGGCATGGGCTCTAAGTTCGGATGTGATCCTAACTATGGAAATAGAATAGGAGAGGATAGGAGACGTGAGGAGGAATGGTCATTTCGACCGCCCAAGCAAAGGGTGATGATAATAGAAAAGCTGCCTCATGCAATACTACCTGGCAAAAGTCGAGTCTCCGGGGAGCATAGTCGGAGATAGACAGGTACCTCGTCTACATGGTCAATCATACATCTTTGTCGCTCTGTGCCTACATGCCGATGGAGTGAGTATCTGCTATGTATGTCCGAGGACTAGAAAGCCAGTACTCGAGTTTCAGCTGCTGAGGTGAATAGAAGAAGACTGCCTGGCGCATACTAAGCCTCTCTGATCCCCTCAATCACGGTCGAAAAGACGTTGAGGACTTTGAGAGAGCCGGTCTCCGGTGTCTCCGGTGTCTCCGGGTTCCGAGTCTGCATCCCGGGTTTAGTGCGGACCGAGTGGGTCAAAATGGATACCGAAATAATGTCAACGGTCCCCGGGTGGCTACGACGTAAGATGGATCCCCGATACTGCTGTATCATATGTTCCTTTTTCTTCTCTTTTTTCTGGGTTATGATTTGACTGTGAAGTCCATGCTCGTCCGGACTACTTGCGTGATATTTCGAAATGGCAATCGTTGAAAGCCGCATGTCCTTTTTAGAGCCATGGGCCGGTAAAAAGGATGGACCATACGTCAGAATCAAGACAGAAGCATCATTCCCCAGAACGAATTTCACCAATCAAGAGCACAGTGTTCTAGTCCACGATGCCAGGTCAAAAAAGGGGGAGTTCAATCTCGATACTAATGGATTCGCTTTTCACAGCTGCAAACCTTTTGACGCTAAAGTCATAGACGCAATCAGAAAAAAAGATAACGGGCTAGTAGAAGACAGATATTACCCAGAAATTATAGACATGGTCAAGCAGAAGACCGGTGCTAACAAAGTTATTATATTTGATCATACTTACCGAAAGCGGGATCCATCGCTTGCTACAACGGATAACCCCAACGGTAGAGAACAGCCAGCTACTGTGGTAAGTCAAATCCTCCTGCCATGGAACTTCAAGAAATAATGTAAAGTATAGGTACATTGCGATCAGTATGTAGGGCTAAGAGCGCTCTATTCCTTTGCTTATGGGTTTCCAGGTCTACCGTAGGCGCAATTGGAAGAATCAGGCGTCATGCGGGAGAAGACGCCGATATATTGCTTCAAGGCCGTGCGCAAATTATTAAGTGAGTAGATGAACAACCCACTATAGAGACCTTGCTAATAAACCTTTCAGCGTTTGGCGTCCGTTGAATGGCCCGGTTGAAAACTGGGCATTGGCAGTAATGGACTACCAGAGCATTAGGTACTCAGAAATACATCCCACCAGTATCTATAAAGAACGATTCGAGATTCAAGGACAGACGGTGTCAGTGAACCATTCCGCCGATCAAAAGTGGTATTACCTAGACCAGCAAACCCCAGATGAAGCAACCTTCATCAAAATATGGGACAATAAGGATGGTGTAGCGGAAAGTAAGTAGAATACGCGAAGGACTGTATCTGTCGCGGTAACCTGCTAATAAGCCAGTGTGTCCTCATTGTGCCTTCGAGAACCCCGAAGCAGCTACCGATGCTCAGTGCCGGGAGAGTATTGAAGTCCGCTGCTTGGTATTTTATAACAATAGTGAGATGTCTTATAAGTGAAAGGTTTTATTGGTATCGAGGAGAGAAAAGTAGAGCAAGTCATTTAAGGAGTGGACACACGTAGATAGATGAGACGCCGAGTCGCCTATTTCAATAGGACTTAGAATTGATCCTGCCACTCGTGAGCAGAGTTCCTTTTAGAAGTCCGATTACTTTGCATGTTTCCAACAGTAAAACGAGAGATTATGCCTCTTATTCCCAAGGTATTTCAGTCTGAGTTCTGTATACATATGTCATCATAACGGAGGCGCGCATTATATAGGCATCTGGAACATGCCTCTTTATCCTTCCCTATATTCCAAGTTTGATAGAATACTTCATCGTAATTCTTGACCCTTTACATCACCTTCAGACTTATATCATTTAGAATATCTACACGATATAATATCCACACCAACAGCTGTAAAGATGCGTAACATACATTCACGCGCTGCCCATCCCGTCCCCTCTTCCCCAAATGGGAGCGTGCACAAAATCATGATATGACCACATTGCCCATACCACGGCTCTCACCATTATGATTACCCAATCTGGAGCAGTTCCTGTCTTTCTATTTTTCAAACTCGCTTTTGTAACTCTCTCCATTATTGACATAACCGGCACCCAGAAAGCGAGGAATATAGCAGCCCCAACTCGACAGAAAGGTTTTCTAGGTGGATGATATACTGGTAATTGAGCTAAAAACTTTTGGTACGAGATAGGCATGCAAGATTCAGCAGCACCCTCACGGAGGAGACCCTAGCAGATACAATATTAGTACAGTCCATCATGTAGTATAGCAGAACCATTCAAATACCATATACCGAATACTTGGCCTAGCTTCTCTTCTTAGCAACGTTATTAGAGATCTTGTGGCCAAGATAGCGATAGTTCCTTGAGGAGGCTCCGTATTATCGTCATACAGCACCTGCGCCCTTACTTCGATTTCTGCATATGCGATCCCTCCACCCTCTGATGCTAGGACCTCAGTATACATGCCGGGGGTAAGCTCATATGCTGTCCCAACCAGCTGGTCATATTTCTCGTTCTCTGACCGATCGACTGGTGATATGCTTGCAAAAGCAGGCTCCGAGTATGGCACCCCAGCACTATCTAATGACAATGTCCATCCCGGGACTGTCACAAGCCTTATAGATATAGGGACTATGCCGCGGTCGTGGGTGAACTTAGTAGAGCTTAAGTTTGAGCCGTATGCAAGATACCACACATTGGTTGTAGGGGATGTCAACGTTCGAAAAACTGTCATTTTGTGGTATGGGCAGCAGTAATTTTACCACAACTACAAGGGATCGGTTAGATAATGATGAAGTGGTTTACCTGAAGCTTATGATTTGGAAAATTCAAAAGATATATCATTTTCGGAAAGGCAGGTAGGTAGCTCTATGTTCTTATTAAGCCTACCTTGGGTACATATAACACCCCTGGTGTTCAACTGGAATACCTTACATGTACCTACCTACCTACCTAAGGTACATTAACTACCCACATAATATTGAATGCAACATATGTAGGTAATAACTTGTATATACAAAGGTCCGGGCCAAAAGTCTTGCACATGTAAAGGTGCTTAGCACCGTATTCGAACGTCATCCTTTTTTATGAATACTGTATCGACTACCTGCTAAGCTGAACTTTGGATAGTGGCTCGTACGCTAAATTTAAGTGGCTTACCACTATGTCTTTAGCAACATCAGCTGCTATAGCTTAAGTAATACAGTGCGGCTCCTCTTTACTCATACGTGGCTTGCCAAGACCAGCCGGACAGCCTTACTTTTCTGTGTAATCCGTAATACCGATACTAATCTTAACTCTGTATATCACCTTCCGGTACGTGACGCCGTACATTTCTAACTAGGTACTTATTGTTTGCATCTAGAGAGTCGCGTAAGTGAACACTGCGATCGGGACCCGAAGTTCGGGGCCCGATAATATTAGCTGCCGAAGTGTTCGTCTTGCTTCGGAGTCTTTTAGTCGGCGCGTAATTAGGTACTTTCCGTTTTAATAAGCCCAGCCAATAGGAACTTCTGCAGGATGTACTTGAGCGGTTAGTTCAATTGTACATAGGTTAGGTTAGGTACGTACACAAACCCTCGCGTCCCGAAATTGGGGTTCGTAATGCGGGCTAAGTTAGGTACCTACCTACCTAAGGTACTGTAGGCAGGTGCAATCGGATAAAAGCATATACAAGATTTCCACCAGTTAGAAGTGGGGTACAAGAATCTTTACAATACAACATCTTTTTACCACATCATTCTACCACATCATTCTACAACATCATTCTACGGTATCTTGGCAATTTTCTGATATCAAGCCGCGACAGAAGTTGAATTTGGTCGCAGGGAGAATAGTTGGAATTTGCAAGTGACTATTTCCGGGCAATAACAACGTTAGCCACTAGCTCAATCTTCAGCTGACCAGATTCTGACATCGTATACCCTTTGTCTTTGAGGAAACTCTTCCGGATAGTCTCTATTGCCCTGTCCCAGTTCTCTTCATCTGATTCTAGCCATCCCGAAACCGGGCGTCCAAGAAAGCTCCACATGACCTGTGCGAGGCGCTCTGTGTCCTCCACGTTGATGTGTACCTTCACTGACTTCTGTTCGATCTTGTCTTTCCCAAATCCCGAGAGACCCGCGATGTTTCCCATGTGCGACCCCTGTTTCCACTGCGGTGGGTACTCCCGTAGCGGGGGTGCATCAACGCCCCGGGTTGCGAGGTGCGCGGCCTTGACCGTCTCACTGTGTGGCAGGTGAGCCCAGGACGTAAAGATCGCAGCGCCGCCCTCCTTCAGCGTCCTGTGCATGTGTCGAAGTGCCGGAACTCCATCATCTTGTGTCATAAAGAGCAGAAAATTCGCAACCGAGATATCGAAGCTCCCGCTTGCGAATGTAAGATCTTCGGCTTTCATGCCGGTAACATTTACGGGCCACTTGTTCCGGAGGGCACGACCCCGGAGCCTCTGTAGGTAAGATTCATCAATGTCGGTGGCTTCGATGAATATATCGGCGGAATGGGGGGAACTCATAATCACAGAGGTAACTTCGCCAGCTCCGCATCCGTTGTCATGGATGCGAATTCCCGGTCTGACTAGTTCCTGAGAATCCAATACTTTAGAGAAAACATCCAGAGTAGAATTGGAGGTAATTTCGGCATAAAGATCGACATCTTTTGTGATGGCCTGACTAGGTACAAAATCGAAGGACATGGTTCCAGAATGGAATAGGCACGCTGGAAACCGCAAATGGGCATTTGGTAGGCGATCCTAGGAAATGAAGAACAAGGTTTTCGTTCATGAATCTACACTTGTTCAAAAATATTTATGACGTCCTTCATACTAAGGCAGTCGATGCCAAATTGAGGTAATCTTGTAACGGCATTGAGTCTATAGAACATTCGTAATTTAGTAATTTCCCGGGATCCGGTCTTATGCCTGTCTGCCGGCTTCCGGTCATAAATTGAATTTCGATGGTGATATTCTTTATATCTTGTCATTTAGCATCTAAACAGACGGCCCGTCAATTCCGGGAAACATCTTGTTCCCGCTGTTGCTAACATATACCCTTTTACACCATGGGAACTCCTGGGGCACAAGAACAATATGTTCTAGAAGGAAACGAGGGCGAACTCCAGAGGTTGGCCGATCAACATGATGTACTGAAAGCTTCTATGGGCACATTGGTACTAGCACCGGTTGATTTCTCCAACCATCTTCGCATCCTCGACTCCGGGACAGCTGATGGTAAGTTTCGATTCTAAAATCATGTATCTAGAGTGCCTAGTCAGAAACAGAAACAGCAAATTAATTCATGGTGTGTTTAACAGGCCTGTGGTTGCGGGAGCTGCAAGAATCCCTTGATACATCCCACACGTACGTGGGGACGGATATCAATGCTGCTTTCTTTCCCGAGGACCACCCAGGGGTTTCCCTGCAAGTTCAATCGATAACTCAAGACTGGCCTCGCGAGTGGGCATCAAGCTTCGACTACGTGCACCAGCGACTGACACTCGTTGGGGCGGGGCAGACCCCCGTCAAAGATTGCGTGGCCAAACTTGTAAACCTGATCAAGGCGGGCGGTTGGATTGAACTGATCGAAGCCGATTTCACTGGTGAATCCCCAAATGGTCCGGCTATGCAGAAATACGAGACACTGCTGAGAACCTTCTTCGACATCACTGGGGTGGGAAGTGACTTTAGCAAATCATTGAAAGGTTACTTAGAGGATGAAGGATTACAAGACGTGCAAGAAATGGTCTTTAGTATTCCATATGGAAACGCATGCCATGACGCGACCCTGGCTGAGAAGGGCTCGTCACACTTACTGTCAGCACTGAAAGGTGTTTGGGATTTCCTACATGGTAAGTATTGGACGGAATTCTATAATAAGTGTCCAAAAATATACACCCACCTGATCTATATATCTAACAGACTTAGGGAACACTAGCACGAGCCTGGATGCAGAGTTTAGGGTATTGCGGGATGAGGTTGAAAGAGAGTTAGAATACAGAGGAGCTCATGTGAAAATGGTGGCAGTGTGGGCTCGACAGCCTGTTAGAAGCTAACTTGCAGTTCTCTTAATAGCCGGGTAGCGTCATAATCAGACATATCGACAAAGAATTGACTGGTCTATTTGTTATTGTGAACTACAAAATATCTGAAGATACTCGTATGCATTAGGTAAACCAAAGTAGTTCGAATAAATCATATTCTGTTCTGTGTCCGGATCAGACGAGTGACATGTAGTGTAGACATGACATGGCGCACTACTTGAGGTTATCTACTTTTTAGCGACAGCAACACAAGCGATCATCTTAAGTACAGTTTCGCCCTTCTCATTCTTCGAGATCCCGTCACCGCTCATCAGCTGTTCCACAATATCCTCCAGGGCCTCATCCCACTTATCCTCGTCATCCTGGGTCCATCCACCTGGTATGTTACCTAAGAAACTCCACGCCAGCTGTGCCCATCTCTTGAGATCGGGTACTGTCAAGTAGCATTCCTTATTGTAACAGGTAATATTCTCGTCCTTGAATCCACCAGCCTGGAGCGCCGTCCGCAAATCGGCTTCTTCGTAATGCTCTAGGGGAAGCAGAAGAGGCATAGGGGCATCCTTGCCTCGTGTGCGCCAGTGCGCGTGTTGCAGAGCCTCGACGTGAGGCATGAATATCCAGACAGTAGCAACAGCAGTACCGCCCGGCTTAACTGTGCGGTAGATATGCTTTGCAGCTGCGTTCTGGTCGCCGATGCAGTGGAAGGCGAAGCTAGTGATAGAGTGGGTGAAGTGATTGTCAGGAAACGTAAGTTGTTGAGCTGACATGACGGCAGCGGTGACGGGCCACCCGTTCTTGTCCGCTACTGCCGCACAGCCCTTTACGAATTCCGGATTGATATCAGTGGCGTCGATGTGAATGTTGGATGGGTTCATGCTCATGATGGTCTCCGTAACAGCACCGGAGCCGCAGGCATTGTCGTGGATCACGGCGCCCTCGGAGATGGCAGGGATTAGATCCAGACAATACTTGATGGAAGTCTCGCTAACACCTCCCTGAAGCTCAGCTAGGTGCTCGGCCTGGTAGTGGGTAATTTGCTTCGGTTGGAACGTCATTGTTATATAGATGAATGTGGTAGGAAAGATTATGAACGATGAGGATTTGATGGATAGAAGGAAGAGATGGGGGAGGGAAGTTTTAATATATTTACTTAATTTTGATCAGCAAAATAACTACGCAGCCTCATCTATTAAACTAGGAATAAAGAGCCTGTCGGCGCCCGATATGCTGGCGGGATAGCTACAAGCCTACAACAACCTCACGTTCTGGGCGGGGGCGGCATCCGGTTTCTTAATCACACAACGCACCTGTTGGTCCGTATGCACCCTTCTAAGGGCCAATTAAACAGCTGTGATTGTGAAAGTAGTGTAACCATATGTAAGATTTATTTTTAAACATTTATATGTATAGGTAGGTACCTCTTGGACAGGGAGGTATTTGTGTCTTATACCGTTGGTTGCCAGAAAATGATAGATCAAGTAAGGGACGATTTAGCTGATGGTTTCTCTTTTACTTTACTATGGGAGTGCACGAATTAACGAGGGGATATCCCCTAAAGAATTTTTGTTGGGTGCATTCTAAACTTTCGAAGTATTTTTTCGTTCGGCTTTTACTAGGAACGTAAACTTGGGCTGTTGTGCAGCCCCGCCAGGGGTGCCTGTAGCCCGGGTGATTATGTACATAGGTAGGTAATTATAGCCCCTGATACATATAAGAGGTAGTATATGGATCCCCAAACACTGCCTACCTCCTATATCTACAAAACACTGGTATATGCACCTGGGTAGTACGTAGGCAATTATAGGCTGAAGTCTGGCGCTTTCCGCGGCAAAGTAGAGGAAGATCAAATGTCACTTAGTTTCAAATGTTGACTTCACGTCGATACTGGCTTTCTGAATGACAAGCGCGGGAAATAATACAATTATATGAAGACAAGAAATTCCTCCACCCAAGCCACTATCACCGCCTATATTCACATCATTATAGCCACCAGTAGCGTCATAGAAAACCATGAAGTGCCTAATACGCCAGCAATACACACTATTCCTGTAGCCACATCTCTTCATTGTTTACTAACCGTATAGGAGTTTGTAACGTTGATAGCTCTTTCGGACTTGGGGTCTGCTCCCAAGGTTGGTGTGATTTTGTGTCCCTCTGCCTGAATAGATAACTTGTTGCCTAGGCTGCCTAGGCTGCCTAGCTCAACCTGGCTGGATTCATCTTCAAGACGACTGAAGCCAACAGTCGAATCTTGACGGTATTTAGACCCTGAATCCGACCTTTGTGACCTATTCGTCGTGCTGCGACTCCTTTGCGTGTAGGTCAACAAGCGACTAGCTATGGATCGAAATAGCGGCGAAACACCTGCTACCGCAGGCTTCAAGATGGGAACGCAACAGCAAACGATACCGATAGGGAGTTCCAGGGTTTGGAGTAGAATGGTCAGCCACAGGTTTCCAGTTACATCCTCAGGAGGAATACCGCTCAAATCAATCAAGCAGCTTATTTTTAATAGAGATATTATTGTCGCTCTGGTGCACTATTAGCCCCTACCACGATAAATATTGGGAATGAGTTAAACTCACATAAGGCCCAGCGTCAGTAGAATGGATATGACAAACTTGCTTCGTGTCGCTACCTGGAGGTTCCAGATCAGAGGCAAAGGAAGAACAAGGATGGCCAAGTCGAACAGGCAGTGTATCAGTCCAATAGAGGTACAGTATGGCTTTGAGGAAACGCAATGACCTGGTTCTGACGGATTCCATGTTTTGCTGACAGGTAGGCAGGAAAAGACTTCCGAGAAGAAACCGGCAATGCCAAACGCCGCAATGAGAGCAATAAAGACGTAACATATTCGGCGGAAGGCAGCGTTAACCCCAAAAATTCGGACATAGAAGGACAGAATGGAGAGTTGGACGATAGTAACGGTCACAATCCATAACGAAAAGTTCGCAAGGACAATCTAGAAGGGAAAAGAACAGATAATTAGTCAGATATAACCTTCATTACTTAAGGTAAAGCATGATCAATGTGATTTGTTGTACCTTGAGGAATGTCGCCAACGCATTCGGGTTGGTGCTAATAACTGTTGCTATTGGAAGGCCGGCACCTCCCGCAAAGACAGCCGCGAGGTTAACTCCTTGGAATGCCCATGTCAATATCTGCGGAATAGTAAATACTTTAAGTACATATTCGAATACCACACAGGATGTGAACACTTACAAGTGAGGCAAGACATAGCCAGTCGTCCCACATGAGTTTTAGTTGCTGTAACTGCCTCGCACGGAACCGCAAAACGACACAAATTGTCGCAACGAGTACGGCTACAACTGGGAAAATGACAATCATCAACTGATGACTGTTTGTTGCTTTGAACATGATGTCAATTTTCCTTGACGATCCTCTCTTGATTATAGTAGCACGTAATAGAATGTACGGTGTGTGGTTATTGAGCAAAATTATAGGGTTGAGCAGCTTGAAAAGCGATTGTTTCTTCAGCAGAGTGAACATAGCGGATATATTATGCTGTGTTACCTTTCGATTGGGGCCGGGATTGAGGGAAGAAAGCCTTTGCTTCGCCGTATATCGGTGCCCGGCTGAGACATCATCCAATGCAAGAAAACTCACGTTCTGTATGGTATAATCCTGTAATGACAGGATTACTTGCAGCCAGCCACTTGAATGAAGCAGGATTGGCACCTAGCCCCGCTCTAGATGAAAATGAAAATAGTACACACGACCCTCTGGGTTATTTCTAGTTGTTCCGTTCGTACCTAGGCATATTAATCACTATCCATATCAAAATTCAATAACTCAACTAATTATGCAATTGCTACCAGATCTTATCGAAGTCTGACACCTGTACAATCGGGGTCATAGTAGATCTTGTTCAACAAACAGATCTACGTGAATTCTTCTGTTGTATGGCTGTTGTGGCCATCGACAATAAGGAGCCTCCATCCTGACGAATCGGCAGGCTTCGTGTGAAGAATAAACACCTCTTTTAGCTACTGGTTATTAAGAGGGTATGTCTCCTTCCCCTTTCCCCCTTCTTATTTTTTTTGCAAGCAGATGCTGTTTGAAGGGTTTATATAATCGTAAAGGTAGGGTTAGTGCGTAGATGGCTTGAAATTGTCTAGTATGGGCGCGAAGGGACTTGCAATTTACATGATCGCGCCGTGACAAATTACACTTATGGACAATGAATTTTAACAGCTTGTTTTATGCAATAAGTCAAGCAAGCACTAGCCTCAAATACATTGGGTAATAATCCCAAACTCTAGTATTTATAAATAATCATTTATAGTTCCCAAAGGTTAGCCCAACATCTACTATTCACACTTGGATCCCGTTACTTGTTCGCAACTCGTGGTAGGCTTCTTGCTAACCCACATCCAGCATATGATCCCATGCTCATGGCATTTGGTATGTTTCTCAAGGGTGAACAGCAGTCGCCAGCAGCGAACACTCCGTGAACGGTGGTGGAGTTAAATGGTGGGCTAATTGTGATACCAATGCCAGGAGAAAGTTCGCAGCCTAACTGTAGGGGCAATGTGTTATCTAACTCCAGGTCTGGTTTATGTACGATGAAAGAGTGACTTTCTTGCTCGCCGCTGTCGAATTCGATCACCAGTCCGCTTCCATCACGACCACCGTGTAGCTGTTTCACCTTCCTGTTGTCTACATGTAGCCCGCTGTCGATTTTAGTTAATATCTCAGTTGCTAATGGCTGGTTGTCATTCGTGTATATAGTGACAGAGTCTGCGAACTTGAGAGCATCGCGGGCGTTTGTAAGGGCGTGCGTGTGGTTAGAAAGCAAGCCTACAGCAAGCAGCCCGGCGGCTGCGGCGCCACGTTGCTCGTACCCATAGCAGAACATGCAATTGAAACTAGATATGATTGTCAGGTCGACATCTGGGGACCCTCTGAGGCTACGTGAACGACTTACATAGTAGTCCCATAATGATCTGCGTAGCCAGGGATATCTGGATACTTTTCAATAACTCCAGTCGCTAGTAAAATCTTTCGAGATGTCCATTTACCGCCGGTTTCATCTACGACCTCGAAAACATCATCCAATACTTTCTTAGCATGAACCACACGCGAGAAAACAAATTCAACGAGACCTGTTTCTCGAAGTTCTTTGCGTGATGCTTCCCTAAAGCTACCCGGTGTTTGGTTCTCCCATCCAGACGTAAGGCGGGTCTGGGCAGAAAGTGCATTACGAGGAGTACCATCGTCGAATATCAGACAAGTATGTAGGGCACGGTATAACGTAAGAGCCGCAGACAGGCCAGCATGACTCCCACCGATAACAATAACGTCGTAAGTCTTTTGTTGTTGGGGCATTTTCGGCGGGATGATAATAGAGTTGACTGTCGAAATAATTAGGGGAACAGTCGCGCATCACTGCTTTGGATTACTGATAGTTGAGCAAAGTTGCCCCAGACTCTTTGGTAGCCCCATAAAACCGGGAAGAACGATACGGATCGGTCACCGGATATTCGGGCCCACTAAACGGTGCCGCGACGGGAGTATCCACTACCGGCTCCCGGGCACAAATTGTAACAACAGTTTGATTTATTATTTCTACTACATACATGGCAAACCTACCAATTGCTGAATAATTAATCAATCCAAGCTTAATTACGTCTTTTATTACATCAATATGGCATCCACTGATTCGTCGCAAGTCTTTGATGCTCTGATCATAGGTGGAGGAATATCCGGACTTGCAGCCGCTCTCACACTGGCTAGACAACAACACACCGCAGTCGTTCTTGACTCAGAGGTCTACCGAAATGCACCGAGTCCACACATGTACAATGTTCTAACATGGGATCATCAAGACCCGCAAGAATTCCGGGCGGCAGCGAAGAAAAACATTTTAGAATACTACTCAACTATTAGTTTTCAAAAGGTAGAAGTTGTATCTCTCGAGGAAGTCAAGAGCACCACCACTCAGCAAACATTCAGGGCCACGGACCGAAATGGTGGATCTTGGTTTGGAAGGAAAATCATCCTTGCTAACGGCGTCCGTGATGTCTTTCCCGATATAGAAGGTTATGCAGAGTGTTGGGCTAAGGGAATGTGAGTCTTATTGGTTATTTCTGATGCACCGAGCGGCGTTTTGCTAAATTAACCACAGCTATCACTGCTTCTTCTGTAAAGGATATGAAGCAAAGGGTGTCTCGACAGCCGGGATTCTGGCTCTTCCAGACCTAGCCAGCGCTCCTGCCATCTTGCACGCTGCTAGAACGGCATCCCGGTTCGCGAAGTCCATCACGATCTATACTCATGGCTCTAACGAGTTAGAGCATGCTATTCAAGAAGCTCAAGGATCAAACCAGTTGTTCAAAGTAGACAACAGGAGTATCACAAGGTTTGAGAAAGGGCCAGGGTTTGCAGATATCATAATCTATTTCGAAGGAGGCGAAAAGACTACCGAGGGATTCCTGGGACACAAGCCTAAGACAGAGCCGAAGGGAGACTTCCATAAGCAACTTGGGCTCGAAATGACTCCGATGGGAGATCCCGTAAGCAAACCTATGTTCCTAGAAACGACAAGAAAAGGTGTCTTTGTGAGTGGGGATGGAGCGTCCCCTATCAAGATCATTCCACAGTCCCTATTCTCTGGTTCGGCAGCGGCAGCAGCAGTCTGTGCGCAGATTCAAGCGGAGGATGCCGGTCAACCCTGCATTTTCTAACCGATGAGGTAGAGGTATCCTGTAAAATAGCTTTCTTTATCAAGGTATAATCAATTTTATTTTCACTTTTGCTTATGATTACTGGTAGTTGATTGATTACTGGACCTTGGCGGCTTTGTCAGGCCAAGCTGGGTCAAATAACCGCATGTGCCTGGTGAGCGTACTAGTAGAACGTTGAGATGAAGCAATATTGATGAAATTCGCGATGATATGATTGATTGTCACCAAACACATGCGTATTTACAAGCAATTGATGAAGCATCTAATGCATCATGCCCAATGCTACACTGCATGGCCATAATTTCCTTCGTTGGGGAATGCGAGCATCTTTCGATTTAGGTATCATTTTGAAGCTCGGAACCCGAACGGGAGCCGTGGCGGTGGCAGGTTCCAGGTGCAGAGGCAAAGGCAATGTACCACGGCCTGGACCCTCATAACAGGCTACTTAGGGTCTGTGAAGTGTAGAACGGGTGATTCTTACTATCTCAGTCCCCCTTATCATGATGAATCTTTGTTTCTTAAGGTCTATGCTAGTATTCTAAACCCATTTACAATTCACTGCTTGGCTGTCAGAAACTTCCCGTTAATTATCAAGCTTTTCTTTTTCTACAATATTCCATCCCGACCACTTGAAAACTACGACTCAGCCTTTACTACTAGGGACATCTTCGCATTATAAGTTGCGCGCTTATGGCTGATGAGCTGAAAAATGACGAGCCCCTCGGTTCGGCAGTACAGGTTTCGGCCATAGACTCCCTAGCCGAAAATCTGTCTCCTATCCCGGTTGTAGAGCATACGCCTAAAACTTCAAGAGACTTGCGGTTCTGGCTCGTCATCCTATCCGGTTGCTTGGTAGATTTTACGACTGCCCTAGACGCCACCATAATTACCACCGCACTCCCTAAAATCACAACTGCGATTCATGGAGAGAAACAGTATGTCTGGCTGGCAAACACGTACGTCCTCGCTTCAACAGCGGTGATGCCATTCGTCGGACAGACGTCCAACATTTTCGGTCGCCGAATGCCAATGATCATATCTGTGATACTATTTTCCATTGGCAATGCGCTTGCCGGCGCTTCGGTCAGCTCTGCCATGTTAATAGCATCAAGGGTCGTCACCGGACTTGGCGGTGGAGGCATATTCGTGCTAAATGATTTGATTATCTGCGATCTCGTGCCAGTTCGGGAAAGATCCAAGTTCCTTGGCTTCCGAATTACAATCGCGACAATAGCGACTATCATTGGACCTGTTTTAGGTGGTGTCCTGGGGCAATCTTCGTGGCGCTGGGTATTCTTCATTAACCTCCCTTTCTCAGGCATAGCTCTGCTCATAATGGTTCCGTTCCTCAGATTGAAACATAAGCGAGAGCCTACATGGGCGAAGAAGTTAGCGCGCGTTGACTTTCTCGGTAATATTCTCTTTGTCGCCTCCATCATCGCGATCCTTTTTGGGCTCATCATGGGTGGAACACTGTACCCCTGGTCATCTTGGCATATCATTGTGCCTCTGGTTCTTGGTTTCAGCGGTTGGGCCGTTTTTCACACCCATCAGGCCTCCCCAATTTGCAAGGAGCCGAGCATGCCACCGCTGCTGTTTGGAAATCGAACTTCTGTTGTTTGTCTTGCTTTGACCTTCATCGCTTGCGGGTTGCTTGAATGGGTGGTGTACTTTCTTCCAATCTATTTTCAGGCCCTCAAAGCTGCATCGCCTCTGACATCGGGAGTCGATGTCCTTCCCTTCAGCATATTTTATGTTCCTTTGGCGGTTCTAACAGGTGGGATAATGTCAAAATTCGGGAAGTACAAGCCGATCCATTGGGTCGGGTTTGCATCTACATCCGTAGCCTGTGGACTGCTGTCCATCTTAGACGCCTCTTCTCCTACAGTGGAATGGGTCTTTTTCCAGCTTATCCTTTCAGTTGGTGCTGGCTGTACTCTGATCAGTATTCTCCCTGTTATCCAAGCATCTCTACCCGAGACATACGCGGCCACAGCAACAGGCACGTTTAATTTTGTTCGTAACTTTGGTTTTGTTTGGGGGATTACTCTCCCATCAATAATTTTCAACGCACGCATTGATCAGAATCTTCACTGGATCCAAGATGAGGCCATCCGTCTCCAGCTCCGCAATGGTGCGGCGTACGGCTATGCAGGTACAGGCGCAATCAACCAACTTCCTGACCAGACGATGATACAAGTACATGACGTATACGCATCTGCGTTGAAAACATTATGGCAAGTTGCCGCTGGAATCGCTGCCCTTGCATTCATCTTGGTGTTCATCGAGAAAGACTTGGTACTCAGCATGGATTTGGAAACCGATTTCGGCATGGAGGAAACGAAGCAGGAAAAATGATTGCCGATCACTTAACAGTAATATAGATGCTACGATCAAGATTGTGTAGTTGCCGTCGCTTAATAAACACAATTTCAGAAATAGCAATGTGTCGATCATATACGTGTAATTAATACGTGATTACGGGGCATCTATGAGTGGAAAGACTTTGACGATGGTGCCCTTTTGAGAATGCTGACCAATAATAAGCTTCACTCTAGTGATAATTGATGGTATCACGATACATCACCTACTTGGAACGTCGGGGCCCGATGATGAAAAAGAAACCCTCTTTAAAGCCCGGTACAAGCTTTCTCTTTACTCTCCCCTTAAAATAAAATATGTACATAACTAAAGCACGCATGAAGAACCTCTTTTCATATACCCATTCCCTAAACCATTGATCTTGATATAGAATATGCAAAAATGACTTTCCCCTCGTGTTCCTCGACTTACGAAGACTATATAAAGGAGAGCCAAAGCCAGACGCAAGTATGCTCTGTTTTTTTCAGAAGGATTAAATACATTATAACTGTTTCCCTTATATCCCTAGGGTTTCTAGCTTTCTTTCTCTGTTGCCCAGAAACTTTTGCTCTCGAGAAATGTGCCACCAAGGATTTATTCGATATGGCCCCTTTAATTGGTCAGTTTATTAGCATTACGCATTCGCATAAGAGTTCCTTTTACAGTATTGACACTTCCCATTACTAGATGGCCACAATGACTTCCCAATATGGATTAGAGCCTTCTATAACAATCACATATATCAACAAAATTTCAGTCAAAGTGGAAAACTTTATGGGCAGGTCGACTTCCCTCGTCTCCGAACGGGAAATCTACGAGGTGAATTTTGGAGTGTATATGTAGAGTGGTATTTCTCCTTATCCCAGACGTAAGCACCCCATGTCATCGCTAACAGCACATTAGTCCAAGTGAACCTGGGAATTACTCGGACAGCGTTTACCGAGAAATAACACATGATACTTTGCAACAGATTGATCTTGTTCATCGATTAGTGAAGGAGTATCCCGAATTTCTGGCGCATGCGTCTTCAAGTAACGACATTCGAAGGATATTTCGTTCTGGTTTCCAAATAGCTTCGCTACTAGGTGTTGAAGGTTTGCATCAACTTGGCAATAGCGCAAGCATATTACGCATGTATTATTCCCTGGGCGTCAGGTATGCAACCCTTACTCATACCTGCCATAATGCCTATGCGGATAGCGAAGAACCTTTGGCACCACTTCATGGAGGTCTTTCAGAGGCCGGGAAAAATATGGTAAAAGAAATGAACCGCCTTGGAATGATTGTGGATCTATCACATACAAGCTTCCAAACACAGCGTGATGCTCTGGATATATCAGCTGCACCTATCATTTTTTCCCACTCAAACGCGTACGCTAGATGCACTCATACTCGGAATGTTCCAGATGATATACTCTGGTCTCTTAAGAAAAACGACGGTATCATAATGGTAACATTCTATCCTTCGTTCCTAGAGAATGATCCCGCGAAGGCCACACTAAACTCGGTTGCCGACCATATTCAATACATCGGTAGCATGATAGGATATCGACATGTTGGGATTGGGTCTGATTTTGACGGCATGGCATCAAGTCCCAGGGGTCTAGAAGATGTTTCGAAATATCCAAATCTGATCAAAGAGTTACAGTTACGAGGACTTGGAAGAGATGACATACTAGGTGTTATGGGTCTTAATATTATCAGAGTATTGGAGCGGGTGGAAGTTGTTGCTGCGTCAATGATCATGGTTCATCCGTTGGAGGACGATGTAAAGCCTTTTTTTTGAGACTTAGCCAGCACTCTAGTTCCATATAAATGTCTTGATTTATGTTGGCCATCCCTCACTTCTATTTTCATGGTGGAACCGGTACATAAGCTTCGACAAATGGCCTTGTGAGCGGGAAGGGTAGAAAACAACCTGTGCCGACCCGAAGCTTAAGTACGGCATCACCTACTAGGGGTAGACTCCACCACATCGACATAAACACCCAGACATAACCCACTATAATGTAATATTTCGGAACCCCCCCTTTACTCTCGCTCGCACTAATTCTATGCATAGCCCATATCGTAAAATCCTCAACAGTAATCGCAGCGGCCTGCCACAGAAAGAACAAGAAAAATCCAATAGAACATTCCCCTGAAGTGACGTCTGATGGACGAGGGAGATAAAGTTGTCCTAAGGCGTGAAAAAATCCCGAGATCAAGAAAGCGAGGTATAGTTTGGTATAGGAAGAGAGGTTGGTGCCCCGTCGGATACCGACGAAATCCGCGAAGGCGTCAGTATACGACGTGAGCATCTATGAAATATAGTGTTAGTATGAATCTTATATGAAGCACAGGTTGGGGCCAGAGTAGACAAAGTCAGGGTTACCTAAAAAAAAAAAAAAAAAAAGTAGTAGGGAGAAGCGCAATTCTGTTTACTTACATGTCTTAATTGCTGATGCCAAAAATTGCCCCAAAATCGCCGTACAGTAACCAGGTTATGTATATCCCCGAAAGCCGGCGGCCAGTCCTGGGAGAACGATTTTATTAGCGGTAGAAGCTTGCTAAGACACATTGCTTTACAGTTACCTCTTCTTTGCTTAGTTTGAATAAGACAAAGATAAATGCCCCTTGCGCATACTGCATACTCAACATAAAGTATGGCAGCAATGCAAATGAAAAGGTCTTTGCTAGGCTCCAGCGCCAATCATGGTGTTTAACAGTCAAGTGTTTACTATTTGCGTATCCAACTTGGCCGTCAGGACTAGTTAAATTCAATCTTCGATGAATTTCGAACAAAAGATCCGCCATGCAGAGGCATCCGATGAATTTTCCGAGCTGAGCCACTAGAAACTGTGATCGCGTCATCTTCGGAGACCTGGGTATATTCTTAACTTGGTGATTCCACCTAATACCACGTTGATTGAACATCAGGGCTGCCGCCCAACATATCTTCTTCCATCCAAATGCCGAATATGCCCGCGCCTCACGCATAGGCCCATCAGATCTCCAAAACCTCTCTTCGGGGCCATAGGGTCCAAAGAACACAAGCTTGGACAATACGGCCATGTAGAATGACCAGGCAATAGAAAAGGGCTGCGCTAATTCAAAATTATTAGTAAAGTGTGGGTGCGCGTTGCAGTAAGTAGCGAGGGCGATGATAAGTGACGCAAAACACCATCTTCGACCACGAAATGGGGGGCATGTGAGCGCAACTACCTGGCAAATCCATAGTAGCACGTGTGGAAAGATCGAGGAATCAGGTTCCTTCAACTCGGCGTTTGGGAAAAGAGATCCCATGTCACTTCAGGGGTACAGGATATATTGGAATAAGTAATATAATAAGATAATAAACTATATAGATACGTAGATGAGATGATGGTAGCCTGGACGCTTGGATGAAAAAGAATAATTTATAATTACATTGTCTTTAAGGAATAGTAACCTCATTCTGACAATACCGGCTTTTCGGTGCCCGACTGCGCCTCATTTCCCCGGTCACCCTCGCTTCACATACGATACGTCCCGTAAGCTACCTAAAACGAAACAAGCTATGCATTATTCATTATATATTGCAAGTCACTTAGGTGCGTGTCCTTCGAACTGTACAGTTCATCTACACACGGATTAGTCCATAGACATTGTTTTATAATGGAGTTACCTCAGAAAGAGTCGGCCGTAGTTCGTCTCAGTCTCATTTGCGGCATTCTCGCTGTCTTAGTATTGTTCTGGACATTAAGATCGAATCCAATATACAGGAGTTTCAAGAGATATACCTCTGTAATATTTAGTAGAAAACCTATTCACGAAGTTGTCCAGATTGGACATGAAGAGGTGTGTTAAAACTACACTCTAGAGGAATTTGTTCATAACACTTGTTTATAGGTTAAAGGGAGGGAGCCTTTTGTTGTACGGTGGTGGGGAAACGATTTCGTTGTAATGCCACCAAAGTATCTAAAAGACATCAGAGGAGCCAGTTGGCGCCACCTCAGCTTCTTCGAGAGCATCAGCAATGTATTCATCAATCCCCCTATTCTATGGAAAGGCATATTTAGCCCTAACGAAAGTAGTCTCTACATTTAGAGGTAAGCGCCGGCGACTTGTATACTGCCAATTCTTCACAGAGGATGGTGGATGTCATAAAAAGGGGGTTGAACCCTCGAATCCGTAAGCATGTACATCCTACCATGCCCTGGGTAGTTGAGCTTACCTGTGTAGAAACATTAACGCCGCTAATCGTGAGGGAAATCGACTATTCGTTCGAGAAGCTGCTTGGGTCTAGTACAGGCAAGTAATTCAGCCAGAGAATTTTGAGTTTGGAGAAGAACTAACGGCATGTCTAGAATGGCAAGAAGTCAAGGCAACAACTTTCTTTGGTGAAGTAGCGCATAGGACAGTAACGCGGGTGTTAATAGGTGAGGAGTTGTGCCGCAACGAGGGGTTCATTAAACAGTCGACGGATTTCCTAGAATCCATATTTGTCACAGCTCTGGTAATCATAAATTTGCCGTTGGGCCGCTTTCGCAGTTTCTTTGCCTGGCCTTTAAGCCTTCTTCACAGACGCAGACTTCGAAGTTGTATGGATATTCTACGTCCAGTTGTTAGGAAGAGGTTAAAGGAATACCGGGGGCTTCATCAGGCAAAAAACGTTGACGCGATTCAGTGGACATTGGATCTTTTACCTATGGACTTAGAATCTCTTGATGAGGATCGGGTTTTGAAGGAACTACTTCACAACCTATGGGCTGCTAGTTCTGCGCCCGGGGGAATGATTACTGAGATTGTATATCAACTTCTATCGCACCCGGAGGATATCAAGCATATTCGGGAGGAGGCTATTAAAGCCATGAATCAACACGGCTGGTGTGACAAGATGGACAACAGTATAGTCCTCCAAGATAGTTACATCCGTGAAACGAATCGACTCTTTCCCACTGGATCAAGTAAACTCCCCCTTCAACTTCTACGCACTGTCGCTAATCAGCCTAGTTACTTGCGTACGGACCGTCCTTGATAGCCCATTTCGATTCTCAGATGGGTTGACTCTGCCAGTTGGTTCGCGCTTCGGGTTTCCTGCAATGGCCATTCAACGTGAACAAACCGATATTGAAGATCCATTGAAGTTTTATGGATTTCGCTTCGCAAGAAAATGCTCAACTGATACAGCGTCCGATGATAGCGAGAAGAGGTGGGCCGCTTCATCAGTAGATGTGTCGAACCTACCGTCCGTGTTTCCTTCTATTGACAAGAATAATAGTTGGCTAATTACTTTGTAGGTGGGGATACGGTAACCATGCGTGTCCTGGACGTTTCTTTGCCATCAAGTTGATAAAATTGGTGATCTCGAAGCTTCTAGTAGAATACGAAATAAAATGGGACAGGAAGCAGCACGGCAGTCCAGCTAGAATTCAGATTGAAGGGCAGTTCGTTCCAAATATGGATCAAAAGGTGCTTCTCAGAAGACGGCGCAAGACAAGTTACCAAAGTAATTATTCAACTGATGTTTAGGTGGTGCGTCTACCTGCCTACATGTACCTAGACCTAAGTACCTACCTAGCCAGCACAATACCTAATACTGTTAAAATCCGAAGGGACACCCATAAGCTATAATAAGAAAAGGTCTAAAGCTAAGCCTTTGTATATAGGCTTACATGTATGTGTGTACAACCGGGCCCTGCCGAAGGTCACCGATCGGGGCGCGAACTATAAATGCTAAGACCACGTTATACGGAGACTTATCCTTGGAGAGTTGGAATTTATATATATGGAATCGTTTTGGTATTAGTTATATGATATCCCTTAGTTAACTTCTAGACATCGACACGATCAAACAGTACCCCAAACATGACGGATCAAACCCACTCAGAGCCAAGTCAGGAGACAAAAGACGTACCGGGCGTCACTGGATCTCTTGATAGCCTTAACACTCACCTTTCCCATCATTTAGATGAGTTAAAGTCCCTTGGTCCTTCTTTAACAGAGGCTCTTCACCATGATTACCTGCTTCCTGATCGAGAAGATTTGAGGCTGGCCGCTCGATCCATTGACCTCCTACATGAATTACGAATGCTTCTCGAACCCCCAGTACTCATCCTCGCAGACCACTTCTTGGGTACTTATATATACTTGCCATCATCCGCTACATCATATGCTTATAAATTACAGGTTATGTCAGGTCCAAATGTCTTGCCACGGTGGTGGAGAAGGGCATCGCAGACGAGTTGGAGAAAGGCCCGAGGACACTAAACCAGCTTGCAAGAGCAACACATACACGCGAAGATAGGCTTGGTCAAGTCATGCGCATGCTTTACAGCGAAGGCGTATTTATCTTCGATAGCTCAACCGGCTGCTACTCGAACAATGCTGCTTCTTCGCTTATGAGATCACATCATTGGACTCAATGGCATAATTGGGCGACCCTGTACGGAAATCAATTCTACGACATCGCCCGAGGCATTCCGAGCTCCGTGAATGAAGATACAATCAGGACAGCAGCCCAGATTCATTTTGACACCGATAAGGACATGTTTCACTTCTTCCGCGAGCAGGGCTGGTTACCGGAGTTGCATCGCACTCTTAGCGGAGGTGCTTCTGCACAGATGCCCGGGATTCTTGAAGACTATCCGTGGTATGAGGTTGCCGAGGCTCTCGTCATGGACGTTGGGGGCGGTGGCGGGGGGTTCATAGCCGGCTTGTTGCGTAAATATCCAACAATGCAGGGCGGAATTTTCGATCTCGCTCCAGTCATTAATCACGTTCGCCCGTTTTTCCACCAAGGCGGTCAATATTCGGATATCGGAGACCGTGTCAGCGGAAACCTTGTTACAGGAGACTTTTTCAAGTCTGTTCCAAGATGTTCAATATACACTATGAAGTGGTGCCTCCACGATTGGGAAGACAACCAGGCCACAGCGATTCTCAAAAATATCCGAGAAAGTATCGTAATAGAGCACAGTAGCAGATTGATTATCCTAGAATCGGTTGTATCCTCTGATCATTCCAATCGGTTGAGCTTATATGGGGATATAAATATGATGATGACTGCGGGCGGCCGAGAGAGAACGGTGGAGCAGTGGGAGAACCTGGCTCGGGTCTCGGGATGGAGACTAGATAAAGTCTGGGATCTAAGGAGGGCTTGGGTAAAGGCCATCGATTTCAGGCCTGCTTTCAAAGAGGATAAAGTCGAATATTAAGTATAGTTAATGCAATTTTGATTTTTAATGTATGCTCACTCTGCTCAAAGACGGCTGTTCGGTTCATAATGGTGTTTGCCCGACATGATCTTGCTACCTGTTATGACCTCGTTTTTTTGGGAAGAAGGGATAACTGAATAAAGTAAGGTATATTGTCAATGACACCTAGGTTACCTACCTAATGTAGGTACCTAATGTAAGTAGTAAGTTCGGTTTGGGCGGCAGATTGGTGGTTTTCCCTTTGCGTTTATGCCTAATGGCCTAGCAACTACCGACAACGCGACACGACCTTCTTTGCTCCGGAAACGAGGAAAAAGGGAGGTATAGGTAAAACGCTCCAGGGGATTATCACCGCTTATATTTATCATAACCAAATTCCAAACCAATGTACAGATATCAACCGCACATATAGGTATCCATCCTCCCTATCGACGTTCATTCCTCTTCATGTCTAGGCAGATGCACATTGCGACAATGATAGCCATGTCGACGTTCGGTGCGATAGTAACTTCATAAGTCTGCTGGCCGCCTAGGAGCTCCCGCACATTCCAGCGATCATGGTAAATAGACGCGACGGTTTGGCCGGTGGCCCCGTCCGTGATATCGGCTATCGTATCGGTCCAATCTCCCTTCATCACTAGCTCCTCCAGTTGACCAGAGGCCGAAATAAATGTACCAATGAACTTAGAGCCGAACACTATAATGTCTCATGTCAATTGCCTAATGTCATCCTAGCACCAGACGGGGATGCCGTCAGGATGGCAAACTTACACTTAAATTTACTCCTCACTTCGAAGATCTCATTGCCATTGGAATTCTCGGCGTAGAATGTCATGGGAATGGAAAATATCTGCTTACGGATACAAAATAGGAAATTCCCGCTTATATCCATGACATTTATGCGCCTCGAGAGCGAGGGGAACTCGCCCTTTACTTTGAAGATGGGCTGACCATTAGGGAGGCTGACGTCGAAGCTGTTTCCCGATAGCGACATGCATCTTTCTCTTAGAATTAACGTTTCGGGTTGCCTCGCGAGGAAATGCGGAAACATGCCTATCTGTCGAGGAAAGGGAGGTAGTTGCGGTGGGCTTGCCATTTTGTGGTTTGGTTGGAAAGTTGATGAGAACAAAGAGGGTGGTGAGTCTAAGAAATGTTAGAATTCTAGACAGACACCTTGTCATAAAACACGTCCATGGGAGGTATATAGGGTTTTATACCGTTGGTAAGGTGGCAGGATAGCTATTAATTTCTTAATTTCTTAGTTTCTGACACGCCGTATGAATCCTAGAAGATGATCCATAGACAATCGCCTATGAAGATACTTCTTAGCTACGCCATTCCACCTGTTGGTAGTTTGAATTGATACCACAGCCCTTGTTGATCCGCTGTACGGCTGAGCTGCCTTCTAAGCTGTCCCACTTTGTCAGAAACGCATCTGAGCTCCGCAAGGCGGTTGGGATCGACGTGCTAATTGCCATTTTCTGCCAGAGTTGGAAAAGTTCGGAAAGTCCTGTGAAGACGTTCTACTTTGCTTATTCTTCTATTGACTCTAAGAATAATACATTGTGATCTAAGCCCCTAACTACATATACTCAAAAGAAGTAATAAGTTGAGCAGAGGGAAGGGTTCACTTACAGAGAGATGTGACCAATCAGAACAATCATGAGATTAACGAATGCGGATAAGAACTCACAGTCTAACCAGGGCTCTAATCGGTGTTGAAGAAATCCTAGGTTAATGGATACTACCCAATTCGTAACTAACGTCCAGGATATGCATTTTAGCGAATGAGAATCCTGATCGTTATAAGGTTTCCATTAATATTATCTACGACGTTGGCGTACGTTGGTAATTTGTACCCCTCATTTACATACATCTCAGCTATCTGCGGCCATGGAAAAATCAAGTCGAAAGGCTCTTCCGAGCTCAAATCACAACACTAGATCTTTTAGAAGCCGTAGAGCCATTATCGTGGCTATTTTATTATTCAATGTGGCATGTCTATTACGCACATGGGCATTCCAAAACGTAAAGTCGGGACCGGATATAGCTCAGGTGCAGAGATGCGCCATCGATAATCTCCAAGCCGACCTATCTTTTCTCGACGGAGCATCACCGATTGGAAAATCCGAGTTCATAGAAAGAAGAGATCGTCTCGCACGAGCTTTAGTCGCATCCGACGTCGATGCTTTTGTTGTCGAACCAGGCTATACCTTCCAGTAAGACTATGCGAATCCTGAAGAAACAACTTACTCATAGTTATTCACGTGTTTAAACATTACCTGACATCAATGGCCTACTAGATACTATGGAAACACCTCACAGAGTGATTGGGAGCCCTGGGAGCCCGAAGAAAGGCCGTTCTTGATGATAATCTTACCCGTACGCTCCGAGTCGGGGGCCGTTTCTGCCAAAACAGCTTTTCTTGCTCCACACTTTGAGGAAGGCCGGGTCCGCATGCTCGAGATTCCCTCCCAAGAGCCCGAATTAGACATCGTGATTTGGGAGGAACACTGGGATCCTTACAGCACCCTGCGACAGTCTCATCTATTCGCTGATAGTGGCATGCATGAGCATGCGAGGAAACCTAGACTCATAGTAGATGAAGAATTGCGGGATTTTATTGCTCGCGGACTTGCAAATGCTGGATTCGAGACGTTCGGATTGAGCGCAGAAGTCGAATTAGTGAGGCAACTGAAAAGCCCCGCCGAAGTAGAATTGCTCCGCGCTGTGAACACCGGAACTGTGGCGGCCGTAAGGGCGATGCGTCCATGTCTCGTGGCAGGGTTGACCGAAGACGAGGTACGAGATATTCTTGATGCATCGCTTCTCTCCGTGGGTTTTACTCTCTTTTTCAACATAGTGCTCTTCGAGGAAGATGGCGCCTTGCCTCACGGTGGCTTTGTCGTTGGCAAAAAGAAATTAAACCATGAGACGATGATTGTGATCGATGTCGGGTAAGCACACTTGCAAGCTTCTAGGTTAGATGCATTCTCTAAACTCCTTCTAGGGCGCATTACTTGGGATACTCTTCCGACATTTGTCGCAGCTTTTTCATAGACCCAGAAGCAGAAAAAGGCAAAACATACACCAGTTCAATTGCATCTCTCCTTATGAGGATGGACCTGCTGCCCCGTTCCATCCAAGTTCCTAAAGGAAACTCTAAGCTGTATGCGGAAAAGTTGAAAGTATGGGATGTTGTACTAGACGCCCAGACCGCTGCATCTAAAAAGTTTAAAGCAAATAATACCGCGGCAAGCGTCGACATTGCTGCCCGTAAGATCATTGAAGATGCAGGATATGATCATGCCTTTACGCACCGGCTGGGCCACGGGATTGGAATCAAGGGTATGTACTTCTTAAACTTATTATACTTAGCAAGTCGGTCTTTTGATATCACTCACTCACTTCTCCCTAGCCCACGAGTCACCATACTTGAATAAGTGGAATACAAAAAGTATCCTCCAACCTGGGATGACATTTACAAACGAACCTGGGATATATCTGGAAGGTAAATTTGGTGTTCGTCATGAAGATATATATCTTGTAAAAGAAGACGGCGATGCCGAGCTGTTAACAGGGCGAAGGGCTACGGGTCCCTATGACCCTTGAGGGGCGTGATATAGGGAAGCCCCTTAGTTCTAGATTCCTTACTAGAGAGTTTTAACCCTCTATCGAGTTTGACCGTGTCAATATCCGAGATGAGTGTATGGTAGAGATAGAGATTCACTCACACGCCCGATAAATGAGGAATCATTAAGATAACTAGTGGAAACCAATACTGGTTGTATTTACGGCGTCGTGCGATTACCTTTTATAGGTTAGGTATAGGTACCTAACTTAGATATTCATACAAATTTGACAGAATTAACGCAACAATATTACATTTTTACATTTTTATGATTAGAGTTCTTCTGACTCTTTCCGGTCATCATTTTAACCTCTGTGAATAGGAAAGCCTTTAAGTTAATAGGCTGACATTATAACAAAAAATCATGGAGGGGTGCATACCTAAGATGTCCCTATACATTCACTACCGGCCATATATCGTTAAGTACGAGATCTAATTCACCATGCATTCATAATAAACATCTACCTTATAACTGCAACGGGAAGACATCGGGCGGTACCAAGTACTACTACACTCATTGTCAAGATTGGCCGTCAAGATTGGCCGTCAAGGGGCTACTTTCAGGTACAATAGAATGTATTATACCCAATACAAGGGCATCCCTCACACATACAGTAAGTCAACATGTAGTAGGTATCTGATACAGTTCATATACCGTACCTATCAAGATGAAAATCAATGAAAACGAATCGGCGATAGATTACACGAGACGTCTTTTGAAGTCATACTGGAATTCCTTAAAAATATTAGCGTGAATGCAACACACTGACTGAATCTGAAAATATATATATAGCCAGTCCCGAAAGTCCCCTATCCTCCTTCCTATTTCCTCTAAGAATAAACCAATCATCTCACAGAACAACACAACTCTTCCTCGAAATGTCTTCCACAGCAGAAGTACGGCTTGAGCCACTTGGCCTTGCCCTCTTGAGACAAGCCTCGAGGATCGAGTCCTGGGTTCGCGGACTTGACGTCGAGCACACAAAGCTCTCCGATTATGATAGGAAAGAACTTCAAAGGTGGATCGACTGGATCTATGAAGATGGCGGCGTAGTTCGTTTAGCAGCTCTTCAGGTCCCTGATAATACTACTCTCCGCGAAGGCCAAAGCACGTTGGACAACCTTGAGAACCTTATAAGAGCCGTTCTGGGGAGAGACGATTATTTGAACGTACAAGGGCGAAACTAATGGGGGATGAGGAATAGTTGACCCTTAAAAGCATGGGACAGGGGCTTGATTGCATATCAACTTTAGCCTGGATGTAAGATTTTTCGGGTCACCTCGAAGGTCGTCTGGATCTAGGCCTTGGCGTTTGCGGTGGACTTTCTGCTGTTCGATGGTTCGGTATACATCGTTCCTGTATAGTCATCTTAGACTGAGGGAAGCTACCTATGTTAGATAGCATTCATAAGAGGTAGCCTTGTCAGCTTTACGGCCTTATGTTATAGTCGTTGATTTTATCAATATTATTTATTATTTATCAGCAATCCGTTCTTATTTAGGTAGATAGCGTATACACGAGACTATATTTCGAATACGTAAAATGAATATTCTCAATCTAGGCCTGGCTTGGATACTCACAGCATTCGAAAGGTCGTACAATACTATCGGTAAGTTTCGTTAAGTTATTTGTTAGTACGTCTAACTACCTAGCTATACGACAATAAATTCAAGCCACCCATCCGAGTATTTCATCTAAGCCACCTACAAGTAAAAGGCACCTAAGTGTATACGATTGCGACTAGTCTGTGACTTAAATTAAGTATATAAACACGACTTGAATGCTCGCTACATTGAGTATGGCGAAGGGTTAACGCAACGAGATGTTAATGGGGATAATTTGTAATATGCGATACACGCATTATCCGGCTAAATGAGAGAAGTCGCCAGAAGATGTTGCCACTATTACGATGATGAAGCTTATCGCCATATCGGTGTAAGACATTGTCTATTACACCGATCGGTAGGTATGTATACCTACACATCATGAGGGATCTGCCTCTTAGATGTAGGGATTTTCTTGCTTTAATAATAATATTTACATTTTTGCATAAGATGATGTTTAAGATGACCTTTATGTATCATACGTAGGTGGACAGATCTTGATAACGCCTTAAATGAGTGTAGCGAGACCTTCCATCTTCTACCTAGCCCCGGGGTTCGACTGGGGTCTGACCGCATATCGCCAAGGATCGTCACTCATTATCTCGGCTGCGCGGGTGGCGTGTCTGCATGTCCGGGGGTTGATAATACGGATAATACAACGCTATCTCTCTTGTCCTGCCTAAAGCAATAATAACGACAACGGAAGCTAGATATTGACCAATGCCAAGCGGGCCTCTGATTATTCTCTCAAATATATCCTCTCAAATACGGGCGTATCGCCCTATTTTTGGATTGTGTATGTTGATGACTCCTGTTTATTGGAATCTCCTCTAACCTAGAGGCGCATTTTCCATCGTTACCATGGTTCGTCGCGGTGCTGTCGCGGGCCTACTGGCCCTTGTCTCTTCGGTTGAGGCAATTCAGAGACACCCCTTGCCAATTAGCGAGCTTGCGAAGCAGGTATGTGAACATAACTTCATTCGAATACAAACAGATACATCATGCCTTCTCCCATCTGTCATCAATATACCATGTAAATAACTACCTGATAGTCATGAGATTAACTCGTCCAATTGCGGCAGGTCAAAAGTAGAGATGCGTACAACAGTCTCAGCGCCAGAGAGCTCGACCTTCAAGCCATTTACCCAGAATACAATCTCTCGACCCCGATTGACCATTTTCACAACGACTCCTCTTACGAGCCGCACTCCAATGGCACGTTTAATTTGCGATACTGGTTCGACACGCAATATTATAAGCCAGGGGGTCCGGTGATTGTGCTCACGGGGGGAGAGACGGATGGAGCTGGTCGCCTACCCTTCCTACAGAAAGGCATCGCGTACCAGCTTGCGAAAGCGACGGGCGGAGTAGGGGTCATTCTCGAGCATAGGTACTATGGAAAAAGTATTCCCGTGCCGGACTTCAGCACCGAGAACCTGCGTTTCCTTACTACCGACCAGGCCCTGGCTGATACCGCTTACTTCGCTAAAAATGTCAAATTCGCCGGCTTGGAGGACGTGGATCTGAGTCCTGAGAAGACACCTTGGATTGCCTACGGCGGCAGTTATGCCGGTGCTTTCGTCGCGTTCTTGCGAGTCGTATACCCGGATGTCTATTATGGCACTATCTCATCTTCTGGCGTCCCCAAGGCTATCTGGGATTACTGGCAATACTTCGAGGCTGCCGCTGTTTATGGGCCACCGGCATGCGTTGAAACTACGCAAAAGCTCACGCACATTGTGGACAATATACTTATTGGTAAAAAGGGCACTGACTACGTTGGGCAGCTTAAAGCAGCTTTTGGTTTGCCCAATGTAACGCGCGACGCTGACTTCGCCAGTGCCATAAACGGCGGTATCTATGGGCTGCAGAGTCTAAACTGGGATCCTTCGCAGAGCGACGATAGTTTCTTTGTTTACTGCGATAAGGTCTCATCGGACGACGTGCTGTATCCTGGAACAGAGGCACGCAGGGCATCTATTGAAGAGTTGATTAAAATCGGCGGCTACGAAGACGAGGTAGAAACTCTTGCAAACCGATTCTTGAATTACGTTGGCTACGTAAACCAAACTTCAGTTGCAGTATGTTCCGGTGACCAGGATGCATGCTTCACTACTTACGACCCGGAATTTTACGCCCAGGATGATATTTCCCAAACCTGGAGGTTGTGGCAATACCAGGTCTGCACTCAGTAAGTCTCAAGCCACTGATTCATAAGATCATCTCAAGTACTCACCAGATACTCAGATGGGGTTATCTTCAAACCGGAAGCGGTGTCCCTGAGGACCAACTCCCTCTCATCTCACGTACCATCGACGTAGACTACTCGGCTTTGATTTGCCGAGAGGCTTTTAATTTGACCAAGCCAGCCGACGTCGAGTACATCAATAGGCTCGGCGGATTCAACATCAGTTATCCCAGACTTGCTTTTATCGATGGTGAGTGGGATCCGTGGAGAGCAGCAGGTGTGCATGCCATTGGTCTTCCCGAACGACCCAACACGCTAGACGAGCCCTATATCCTAATAGATGTAAGTTCACTATTGCCTTTTCTATATCCCATACTAACAGTTTATTAGAGGGCGGTCCACCACTGGGATGAGAACGGTCTATTCCCTAACGAAACGACAGCGGACCTACCGCCAGCGCCAGTTGCGGACGCTCAGAAGCAGATCGCGACATTTGTGCAAAAATGGGTGCAAGAATTCACGGGTAAATACTAGCAGCAGGTGCCTGTACTTGCACTCGTCAACCACGGGAAGCTGACGGGAGTAGCAGGTGTTGTAACGGAGTCTGATGAACTATGACATAGCTATTAAATACTATAGCAATATGCAGTAGACTCAGTATTATGTCGAACTTGAGCTCATTTATTTCCGCATAATTAACAGCTGTAACCAATAGCCACTAAACCACAGGGATTGCTGGATGCATAAAGCACTTATCATAATAAGCTCCGGTATGTTAACCGAGCGGTACGTAGGTGATTCAGTGCCATTTTCGAATAGCGTTAGGATGGATGACTTGATATATGTATCACTTCGGGTTAACTACCTGTTTTGAGTCTTAACTCCTAGGTTGGTTAATAGTTTGTCCGAATATTCGTACGGCCATGCCTGATGGTAGCTATAATCTAGACATTGTTATATTCTCAACTTAATTTAAGTACTTTAGGTAGTTAATCAACCAGTAATCTGAGATCCGTGTAAAGGCGAGCTATTATTCTCGGACTACGCAAATGCTAAGAGTGACCAGATTGATGGGTCGAAGTAAGATGTGCCGCATTAAGGGATGCAGCCAAAAGCATTCGCGAATCGCGATTGACCGACACCTATTAGCCTTGGCCGGCAGGGTATATCACAGCCCCCCTTACTTGAGCATTCCTATTAGGTATTTGTAATAGGACGAAGTTTATCTTGGCATCGAGAAACAAGAATCAAGATACTTATCTTGTCTGTGTCAACTCGCCTAGATACACAGCCCCCCGCCAGGAGATTTATTTGCAGATCTATCTACACATTAAGCAAGGCATTGCTAAGGATTCGATTTTTGCGGATTTGATAATTGTTCGTGTTAATAATGAAGTGCGCTCATTCGTAAACCCATCGAATCAATAACTCTAACTACCATGCAAATATTTTCAACCCCCCTAACAATATGTGCTCAATTCTGTTTTATGTACATTTAGAGGTATATACAGTGTGGTTCCTCGTTAGTTCGGCTAGCCTTGTTTCCAAAGCCATTGTCGCGATACGACCGCCATAGTGTAAGCTGTCGCCAATGTGTCCAAGCCTGAAGCTTCTTCGCAATACCCCCATGATATCTGAAGTAACCGTGATGCCAAGGGATATCATGAACGATGACCATAACTCCAATATGTGAAACCCGATGAAACCCCCCAAAATTCCCAAGCAATATATTCTAGTTTAGTGAATGTTATCCTTGAGGTTTAGACGCTCGTGATGATTCTCCCGTAAGGAACTCCTCCGCGCTCGTAGACAGCCATGATGTTGTTGTCTCCTCTCTGGAAGGTACCTGGCCAGTATGAGCTGTCTTCCGAGAGGTGGAATGTCTGGCTAGTCCACCTAAGGTCGCCGTTGTTAAGCTCCGAAGAAAAGATCATCTTGATATCAGCCTTGTTAGCCCAATCTAGCTGGTCGGTAGGCAGGTCCTCGTCGGTCATGAAGACCACAGCAAGACCTTTTCCAAGAGTGGCGATCTGCGGCGCCCCGGCGTTGTGTTGATTAGGTCGGTAGATAATGTTTCGCCTACCCCATGTGTAACCGTCGTCGTACGAAAGCACGGTTCCGAGGTAGAAGTTCGGGCCGTCCTTGACTTCGAAGACCATGACTAGAGCATCTTGGCCACTGGCGTCTTTGATGGAAGCAATTCCCTGCATACCGTCTCGGAATTGCTGATCCGGGCTGTGTAACCTCAGGTTATCTGGTGTAGACCATGTCGCTCCACCATCGTAGGACAGAGTGCGGAAGGTCTCCTGGTTAGTCTGACTTAGCTCGCCAGAGTATGTTAGCTGGAGTGCGCCGTCCTTTCCGATCCGGACGAAGGGCTCCCATAGTCCGTTGAAGCCCGATGCGTCAGCGGGTTGTTGGGCGGCATGGGCCAAGAAAACCCACGTGCGACCGCCGTCGTCACTTTTACAGACGGTAATACGGAAATACGTGTAGGCACCATTAGAATCCTTGTCGTGGTTACGGAAGGCAGCAAGGACAGTTCCGGACGGGAGTTGAATCAGAAATGCGTTATCCAAGTCCCCGGGGCTTTGGGCGACAGAGCCGATTTCGTTGAATGTTGCGCCGTCGTCATCGCTCCTGGCAATTCTAATAGTTCGTAACCCATTTACGGTGTAAGCTGACGCCGAGAGGATGCCGCCGTCTGCGAGCCTAGTGAGGCGAGGGTATGTCCCTCCGGGAGACAGCTGGCTTTCCCTATCGCCAAGAGTGAAGGAAGCGCCGATCTCGTTAAAATCTACCGTGGTGTCTCGGTAGGTGAGGTGAAGTTTGTTCCTGATCGACCTCCATCTGAAGGCTTCCCTTAGCTCACCCCTAGGTCCTACTTCCCTTGTTTCGTGAAGGGGATGAGCAGGATGGAGAGGCCTAGCTAAACCAAGGGATATGAAGCTAAGGCAGTGAAGTAATATGAAAACGAGCGACATGTTGGCAGTTCGTCGAGACATTGCCGGTATAGTGAGGATACAACTTGGTGGATTCTCGTTGTTGTTCCAAAGGAACTGTAAACAAGTTCAACGAGGGGGGAGAGCCTTCTTATATAAAACTACAACAAAGACGTGCTCGTCAGTTGTACATAGGTCGTAAGTCTTGACGTAGGCTAATATGCCTACATATCCGTCCTGTGCCTTTCCGACTGTGCCTTACTTACACCTCACAGCAACACAGCATCACATGGCAGGTCGATGTCCATAATTTCAAGAAGGGGTGACGGCGGATCTCTTGATCCAAGCAATGGCTTACTTGCAGAGTCCTGAGGGAGTCATGGGTTTTTGGGCGCATCGTATAATGGCCTGCCACGAATATCACGGACGCGTCTGATTGGCGCGTGATGCGGTAAGGGGTGCCAAGGAGGTCGTAGTGCTTCAACATCACGGCATAGGAAACTATAAGTTTGACGCCGGCCTATTGTCTAGCCAAGAGTTGCCGTGTAACCTGCAGTGATATATAATACGTATATGATATGAGATTTTGAGATGCTTTTAGCGGATTTAACCCGGATCCGGTTAGATGTTTAGTCGAGTTTACCTTGTTGATGCTTCTTTCTCGGCCTGATCCGGTGATTTTCCTTGCTTAATACTGGGTCGGACTGGAACATGTGTTTCTTGTTTCGAGCCTTACTCTAGAGTAACTTGTATACCTATAGTTACCTGGATCTGGAGTACAGCTGCTAGCCACTTCGCCCTACCACCGCCATACCCAGGCCAAACCCCTTAAGGGAATAGGATCTGAAGGATCCGAAACATTAACTAAAGACTAAAGGGTTGACCTGCCTCGTCAAGATCAACATAGGCTAGATATATTAGACAAGTCATTTTGTCTATTAAGATTATCTAGCGATTAGTTCTGAGGCTAGCACTAAAAGTAAGATTCCCCTCGACGGTCCGTACTTGTGGCGTTGCTGACGTTGGACCGACTAGAAAACGAACTGTAAAAGTATTCGTTGTACATGTTGCACAGCATGCAGGCTAAGAAAACCTGGGATAGAAACAGCGGAGAGGAACGCGGGAAACAGTGGGGCCTGACAGGTTAGGTACTTGGGTGCGTACAGATTCGAATGTTGGGTCCCAATTTACGTTTCTGGAAAATTCTTAATTTAGCTCTGTTACGACAGCCCAGGGGGAAGTGCCGGCGTACCTGTACATAAATTGTATTGTACAATACATACCGGGACCTCAGACGCACCTGCAACTCTGAGAGGAATCTGAGGGACCCGACGATTGACAGGTAGGTATTTCTACCTTACTACATAGGTACCTACCTAGGTTAGGTATGTAGGTACTTAATATTACAGTTATGAAAAAACAACCTACATTAGTGCATAGGTAGGTACCTATGTAGGTATCCATACTGGTTTCTATCCCTATCCCTATCCCCATCCCCATGCGACCCGCCAGGCTGGATCTGTTTGAGAATATTAGCGAAACGGGCGAAATTCGGACTACAAGGCGAACCGGCGCAGACGCCAACGTTGCACGACGTCTTCACCTACTATTATGTACGCGCCTCCACTAATTATCTAAGTGCTATCCGGAACTATCATTCAACTAACTACTACATCACTATCGCACCGCATTTACATTGTCCTACTCTCACAAATTGAGGTCATGCCGGTCATGCCGGGCAAACTTGTTACGCCGGAGCAGTGCAACTATGTTAACCTAGTCGAACCATATTTAACAGGCGCCAGTAATCTGGATCCTGCATCTGAGCCCTGTAGGTCACACTCCAGCGCAAGTTCGTTAGGTTAGGCTCTTTCTTTTTCCTTTTTCGCATCCTGGGCATCCAAGATGACTTGCATCTTGCATCTAGCATCTCTAACCAAGTCATCCATTGAGCATCGTTGATTTTTATTTGCTATCGGTCATGAGGCATGCAAAGTCGCGTGGCGACCCCGCGTTGGGGTATGTAAGCCACGAAGTCCCCCAAGAGCCTTGTCAGCTTCTTGTTAGCTCAGATGTGAATACCACGCTTGTTTCCCCTACCTTAGCCCACTCCCGAGTCAACGTTCCATGTTGGCGTTGCGGTTTGTTCAGTAAATACCTCAGAGAGCATCCGGCTATTCGGTTATTCGCGGTGTGGCCACCGTCTTGTGCTTAAGGATAGTCCTATTGAAAACTTGACAAGGCTATAGGCTGCTTGAAGTTTCGGTAATCGGTTATACTACCGGTTTAAGCTGACATACTTTACATCGATGGAAGGCTAAGGTCATATTTCGGAATAGTCATTTCTTGTTTGCTTTGTCCAATCTCCCTTGATACCAAGCCTGAAGAGCTAAATGGTGTAACACAATGCAGGCTACTAAGTCGTCACAGTTTTCTAAGTGCTCCGAAGCAAACGGACATATAGGTAGGGACAATGAGACGTTGAGTATGATAAAGAAGTGCTAGATATAATAAGCTAATGGAGATTGGGCAGGTAAAATTTGAGGAGCATTCGGAGAAAGGGAATGTGAGAATGCGCGATTCTCGTCGAGTAACTGCTTGTTTAGAATGAATATCAACTATTCATCTCAAATGCTAAACACTATTATACCCAATCTTCCCTTGCGTTCTCTCTCCCTACGTCCCATCTACATGGTACAGCCACGCATAGATTCTAATCAGCACAAGTTATAAGAATAGGACTAACTATGGCGTAAGCCAAGAATGACCGGCACCTATCCTAATATTTACAGAATAATCCATCCGGGTTAAATGCTGCTTCTCAGGCGGAAATAATTCTAAACCAAAACAAGAACAAAACTATGGCACAGAAACCAGAGCGAGGCTATGACTTAGCTTAGACGTGCCTACTAGTCTATGATGGTAAAGTTAGACTATACCATACATCGTAGAAATATGGTAAGCAGTCATAATGGTCACATGAAGTCACCACAAAGAAAGGGCCTAACGTATGTTCCGTTAGGAGTTCGCCTAGTGACTATCTTTTATAAGATCGATGGCACTTTAAAACTCCATTATCTGTTCCCCACATCAATTATAAATGTGTTAGACGGGGTATATAAGCTTATTAGGTGGGGCGCCCGCCTATACATACCTCACTAAGCACTCTTTATTATTGTTTATCTTTCCGAGGGTTCATATATAGCTATGCATAGCCTCACTAACTCAGAATCCGCAGTATTTCCAATGAACATCAATGCGTTAGTGAGCGTCATGTGTTCCAGAAGTTCAAAGACAAATATACCCAGGTCAAAATTCACTGATTTTATTTTGAAATCAATGATCGACAAAGAATTCATTCTGTACGGTGACATTGGGTATCATTTCTAAGTCTAATACAGTACACATAGCCTATGATTCAGTAAATTCGTATAGGACATGCTAATTGCCATATTATTTAAGTCCACGGCGTGAAAAGAAACTGGGTTTCATCCTCCCACCCAGGATTAAGGTTGCTGTATCATAAAACATATATTACTCTGTTATCATCACTTAGATCCCCAAACTCCTACTCGGTCATATAGAGAGCAGTAATATGTATATTGTGACTTCAATTATTAAACTAATATATCCGTTATATATTTTAAATTCAGGGAATAATGTCTCGATTCGAGGGATGCTTAGCAGGTACTATGGATAATAATAATCATTCACTACTTGCAAGTCTCATGAGTAAATCCATAGTAACTGAAAGAGGCTTCTTATTTCTAACCGTGCTATAATTTATATCCAAGGTAGCTACTAAACTATGGTGTCTAAACCCATAGTCAATCGAGTCTTGAAGATGTTGTAATTGCTGCTAGTTATAGTGGGAGACAAAGATAAGATTATCGGCGTATGTCTCGGTTGTTTAAGCTAAGAGGTAAAATGTAAAAGGATACTGATACATTTGGGTTGCACGTGTCAATTTCAGCCAATTAGCCTTAACTTCAGAACCGCGGAAGTCAGCTTTATACACCTTCAGCGTTCTCTAACATATTTTCTGACAGTTAAGGTTTGGGTTCTTATTTTCTTATTTTTCATTAATGAAACATGAAATTATTTTATACCATGGATTATGAACCGGATAATCATTTCTTTGCTGGTATAACAATTTTAACAACACTTCTCTATGACAACTTACCTCCATGATAGGAGTGTAGGCTATGATCAAATGATATGCATCAACTGGTACTCATGTAAGATGTAAGCACGTTTATTATTAAAGCTTTAATCTACAGCCATGCTTTCAACCTTATTTACGTACCTAAGTTACCTACATGTACGTCCAAGGTACCTTAGGTACAATATACCTAAATACCTGCCCATCTACTTGTAGGGTGCACCAAAACCAACCTTGGGACAACATTGAAGCAATTCACCACACCTAAGGCACCTGATCTACCAACAAATATAAAAGGTATGTAGAGGCTTGCATTGAAAATTTTCCAACAATCGCGTTATGACAAGCTCTCTGAATCTTTGTCACGCATTGTCCACCGACCTTTCAGCTTCTACCATAAATACAAAGAAAATTTCTTCCCAGGACCAGTGGTGAAGGAACCACGCATCTTCTCTAAGAAGGTCACATCTCGGATTGGAGAACTGCACAATCTTCACACTATGTCTTGCACTATGGAAACCGTTTCCCCGACAGCCACGGCTTACCCTGCTGAGAAGGCGGCCTCTTCTATTAGGCTCTATGCGACACTTAGCGACGAAGTAATTCAGTACAAGCCTTTCCATTACATGCCAAATATTGAAAATGTCCAGATGTACAACAAGGGCGGATATTATCCAGTCCACATTGGTGATATCCTTAATGGTCGTTTCGAAGTTGTCCACAAGCTCGGCAGTGGCGGGTTTGGAATCGTTTGGCTCTGTCGTGATATATTGCTAGAAAAGTGGAGGGCAGTCAAGATAATGACCGCTAACCAGTCTGCTAAAGGCACGGAAGAAAAGATATTCAGCTATCTACGACATCATTGCTCACCGGCAGAGCTCAAGAAAAACCACATACTACTACCTTTGGAACAATTCTCGCTCGTGGGCCCTAATGGCCGCCATTCATGTCTCGTAATGCCTCTTCTTGGCTCGACGGTTGAGAACTGGCGTTTGCTCAAAATGGACTACGAGGAACAGACTCATAATGACACAAGAAGCGTATGTCGACAGATCGCCGATTCCATGCGTTTTCTCCATAGTCACGGAATATGTCACGGAGACTTCAGACCAGCCAACATCCTCATGGAGGTTGAAGGTATTGATGATCTAGATCGGGATGAAATTCTAGGTCTTATGGGAGTGCCGGAATGTTTCGATGTTGAGACTGTGTCTGGCCAGCCTCTAACACCTAGGGCCCCAAAATATTGCGTGACATCTGCAAACGAATTATGGGCTAAGACTTTAACAGCCAAGTCTATCGCAATCATCGATTTCGGAGAATCGTTCTTCACGACAACCCCCCCTATATCAACTGGCATTCCGGAAATAGATGCAGCCCCTGAAGTCATACTAAAAGGTTATGGGACCTTAGGACCCCATAGTGACATATGGTCATTGGCATGCACCTTATTCGAAGTTAGGACAGGTTCACCGTTGTTCGCGGATGTGGTTAGTGGTGGGTTCAGTATTACGGTCAGTAGATTTGAGTTATTCTTAGGGCCGCTACCACCCCCGCGACCTAAAAACTCAACTGAGTATGCAAGACTCTACAGTTGAAACCGAGCTGCAACCCGACACTCCGGATATAGATGAATTCGCGGAGGACAGGGCAGAGTTGATTGAAGGGTCTGATTATTCAGATATATTCGAAGCAATACTTGGATGTGAGCAAACTAGGTATCTCAATTTGCTTACAGATGAGCAACCGGAAGCTATCAAGTATCGATATCCTCGAGAATATGTGCTAGGCTTAGCCGATCTTTTGAGGAGGATGCTAAAGTATGGCCCAGAAGATCGTATCACTATAAAGACAGTCGCGTCACATCCTTGGGTTAGGAAAACGCGCAAGGAAAACACTGATACAGACTTGGCAAGTTCTATATTATAACTAATGCTTATCTTCAGATCATCTGGACTACTCCAAATTCCGTGAAGAGAAGTAAAGAAGACAGGTTGCAGGCAATCGAGAACATAGTCAGACGCATTACCAGTGAATGTGGCCTAAGCTACGCATGGATGGCGTATGTTAAATACTACATGAGCTAGATAACGATTGCTAATTCTATATGTAGATCTGATGCCCACCCTACATGCACTGTCGGATGGGTTAAGGGTAAACGCGTAACAGGCCCTGACGATTTCCATGTTACCTTGCGAATGGGTTCAGGACCGGGCATTTGCAATCTATATGGTCATATCTATTTGATTTGTGAGGGCCACGACATAAAGAAAAAAGTCATTCGGCTTATGACAAGCGAAGAACGAGACGTGGTAGGCGGATTCAACCCCCAATTGTTGATTTGGGGAAGATATCCCGCAGAGTCTTGTGAATATCCTAGGTCTCAGCTTAAGGTGCCGGTACCGGAATTCGAGATCAAACCAGATTCAATTCTACATTATCAAAAAAAAAAAAAAAAAAAAAAACCAAATCCCCGAGTCTGGGTAACACCTGAAACACCAACAACACTGGGAACTACATTCTGCCTATGGGCTCCTTATGTGTCATGGTGGGCACATCCAGCTCTATCGACTATTTTTTAGGCAGTATGACGTTGACATAGTATTCTAGAGTTTGTTATAACTCAAAAACGAATACACATATTTTAGTTCTTAGACCGTACAAAAGTCGATCACCTAATTGTTTGAAAATACCTTTGAATACAACCCCCCAGCCTGGTTCATTCACGATAAAGGTTCTCCGGGGAAGTTGTGTATCGGCGTTTCATATTACTGATCTCATTTCTTGAAGTTTGTGTTGGTTGAATTTAATAACAAGACTCGGAACACGTATATAACGCATATTGCTACCTACCTACATAACCAGGCACTCGTTCTTTTCTGACGGAGTTACACCTAATTAAAATAAGAAGCAGTAAGTTCTTCGAGCCTACAACTCGTCTCTAAGAGAAAAATAGGATTTACCGAATGCTACCGATGACTGAACATGACGAAGTGATTGAGAAATTTGTACGAATCTAATACAATGAGGTTTGATATCGAGATCGTTCTAAGCATATAATCTAAAAAGAACATCCTACATTGTCAATATGAAAGGAAAATTTAGAGCATCAAACTACAATGCTGCCACAATGACAAAGTCATGTACGATAATAGAACGTATAATTTTACGAATTTTGTTAGGTAAATAGAAATATATATCAAAAGCCATTTATTATCTACTGAATTAGGTAGGTACCTTTTGCCACATTTTCTCAGGGTCGTGATCACAGAGCCTAGATTTATGATATGTTTTTAGTAGCGTTTTGAAACTTGAGACGGAATTCTTAAAGTACATATCAACAACCTTTCTCTGATCTTCAAGATTTTGGCTCTTGAATTTCCGTGCGAATATTTACTAGGATAATAACGATATGGATCTAGGGTAACATTCTTATTAACTAAATATTTTGGTTGGTATAAAAATTACTACGCATACCTAGCCCCTCAAACCTATATGAGAGTACTAAATCATGGATTGCCTGGATTTCCCATTCCTCAAGGCCCCTAATGGGTTCATGAACTTGGCGCATGCTACTGTCCTCTGGTGGGTTATAACCCTAAGAACCTTAGTAGTTACATTCGGAGAAAACACAATCACTATTGAAGACCGATTCAAGGTTATTGGCGTAACGAAAATGGGGGATATTGGTATTTCTCCACCTGAAGTAAAAGGAGACCATGGGATATCCATAATTAATTTCTTTCGTGCCAGTTAGACATATCCCCAACTCCCTCTTTCCGGCCACTTGCATCACATATAGCTGGAATTATGCGTCCGCACAGATACATACGCCACCACAACCAGAAATCAGAAGCGAGGGGAAAACAACTACAAACAAATAAATCGTGCCAGCTCGTTTATGGACGTGTGGTAACTCGCTTCTAGCACGCACATAAGAGCGTGACTACCTATATTAGTGCAGGTAAGCAGGTAAGCGGCATGCGGTGCAACAATTCAGCTGCTCTTATGATTGAGTAAGATCCAGCAGAATATCATCTAAGTGTCTAAGTGTCACACGGTCATATCAGCGGAGATTAGATATGCATAATTAATTTGTTCCTGGGGGCTTCACCGAAAGTTTCGACATGCCTCAACAAGAGCAATAGAGAGAGCGCTGAAAGTAAGAGTTGGACTATAGCATATCTACTAATCAAAAAAGGGGTATGGATAACCAAGGTTTGCGTAACACGGCATGAGTGAGGGCTTTTGGAGTTGCTTGGAGAGCTTTCTCGATTCAATTCTCATGAGATCATTTCTACGTACATTTCATATCCCTTTCCCCCAAATCATGGCCCAGACTATGTAACTGGGGAATATGTTGGCATTCTGGCGGTTCATGACCAAAATCCCCGCTCCCGTTACCCGTTACAGGACCAGGCGGATTGGATGTATCAGTTTAGGACCCGTGAAATATTTCGATGAAGACCGCTGATAGAAGTGTATACTCCCTTGAGTCTCCCTCAATATTCCACGCTAAACTGTAGGCCGATCTGTGAATTCCCCTACGAAATCATTTTAGCTTAGCCTAGAATCCTGTGCTCATAGAAGACTAATGTGCCCGTTAGAAGTAATCACTTCCTTGAATAGTAACCCCTTTTAAACCCATCCTAGAAATTCGCTTTTCCTATCTTTCTACGCCATTAACGTGATAAATAGGCCCTTTATTGCATCCGTAGGCTTCGGGGGATATCGGATTCCCAAATTCATATCTAGGAGGTAAGTCATGAGAATGAAGCTCTACCCTTGTAGTAAATCCATCCAACTCGCTTCTTACAAGGACACTTTGAATCTCGACGGGGCGATTAATATTATGTAGCTCATGGTAAACTTGTGGTGTTTCTAACTCCCTCGCTCCTGGCCCCTGCCATATTGTATTCGTTAGTGGTGGCCCTTTTGGTGTTCCGGATTGACCGGCCTCCAGCCTTGGATCTTGGGGACTAGCAGCGGCTTCACTTTGTTTCTTTAAACGCCGGTGTCGCCATAGTAGGAAAGCAGCTATAGCTGCAATTAGTATTGCCCCAGCGGCTACTCCGATACTAAGGCCAACTATAGCGCCTACTGATAGCCCTGAGCTAGCTACCGGAGTCGATGTTGCTGTTGATGATGATGATGATGCGGGAGGTGATGCTGACGGGATAGGGATGGGGGATGCTAAAGATCACTGGGTTAGTATGACATGTGTAAAGGCACGGGCGTTTATCAGATTATTCTATCTCAACCCACCAAGGGTAACTAGCGCATCCAAAAGTAGCGAGCTATTATATTTCTCGAGGTAATAGAATGATTCACGTATACAATGAAATGCCTGAAGTAAAGAAATAAACTCACCCAGGTGATTGCACTCGTATGCCGCAAAACAGTTTTTGCCGTCATGACTATACAAGTACGTTGACTCCATTTGCCAACAAGAGAAGTTCGCGTAACCGTTGTTTCCTATTCCTGCGTAGTCGCCTATGTTGCCACGCTCTCCCAGTACAGCTTTGAATGTCGTCCCTGTGTCGGTAAAATATGCCGATGTTGTCGTGTTTGCCCAATTGCGATGTTGCCCGTCGGTTACGGGTGCGATGTCACTTGGCTGGTCATTTGGAGAGTGATTGAAGTATGAGACCTCAGATGATAATTGACTTGAGTTCTGCGACCCAGTACAATCTGCGAGGACGACATCTACTCCCATTCATGTTAACTTAGGTAACAGGCAGTTTAGATGAGGGTATTATATAATTTCAAAGGTAACGGAAGGATAATGATGTTCCAGCAACCTCAAAGCGAATCAACAAATCCGGATGTTGCTCCAAAAGATGAATATAATGAAAATATCCTTACTTTCCTTGGGACGAGAATCATCCTGTGCTAATGTAGGTGGTGGGGCAGCGCACGCAATAATCAGCCAGTTCGTAAGAGAGCGCATATTGTATGCGTTGCTCCCACCCCAAGGGACACAACCGATTGCTGTCGCCAGCAATTGCGAAACCTATCTCGGATGGGAATGGAAACGGCCCGCTGGAGTCCAAGCTTTATATTTGGTTGGTATGTATAATATATGTATAATATATGTATACGATAGAGGCAGGGTAGAGCTTTGATACGCCGTATCCTTAAGGTACGCTCGATGGATCGAATTATAGAAGAAATTGAGAGCAGACAGTTCAGACGGCATCGAGCGCCCGGGGCTCGAGGGGTCGAAAGAAAAAAGAAAACACATGAGGGAACCCTCAAAACCGTCAGGGGTAATGGACGAGTGAAGTCAAGGTTGTGGAACCCCCAGTCAAATTGCCGATCAACTCTTATGTAAGATAGGATATAGAATTTCTAGAAGGCTTCGTTAGAACATGATTCGTCGAATTATTCTTTATGGTGTCAGCACGAGTTACTATCAAGTCCAAATCTGGTGAAGCTGAGTTTTGGGTCGGACAAGGATATATACATGAGTCGAATACTACGTAAGCTTGTGAAAGCTTGGGTCGTCCCAGCAAAGGCGCAATCGCGTCTCATTCTAGAATGGAGAAGCTTGGCAGTGGGCGGCCCTCCCGCCCTTGGCTACATTGTTAAAAGACGGGTCATATTGCCGTGGGATGTCAATATTTGGTGTTTTTCAAAACTCTAGCAAAACTATAAACGAACGAAAGCATGCAAATATACATTAGATAACGCCTATATATCTAGAGCTAAATAGATATTTCATCGAGTCTTTGTTTCGTAGGTATATTAACATATCTACAGCGGGTATAATAAATTTCTTAAGAGCTTAAGTCCGATTTGGTTTATTAATTGGGTGACATGATGCGGTCACTCAGGCTTGACCGGATAGAGACCGGATGTCACATTTTCTTATGTGACTCTATGTAAGCAGATAGCCAATGACCAGCCTCGAGGTTAGCTGGTACGAAATGATAGATCGTTTAATAAACCACAGGACGCCCCATCACTTCAACAGCTTCACTCGAACACATTTTTGTAGATCCCTGTTCGCCGATTACCCGTAGGTGTGGGTATGAGTATAATCTCACTCATAATCCTTTTACCTTCAAATCCCATATTTAGATACTCGTGTTATATGAGCTCAGGTACGATGGATGTATTTGAGTATGAGTTTGTTGGATATTATTAGACACTCTATCGTAATATGTTACTCCATATCTCAACTTATTAGAACATCCCAAACTCTCATCGGAACCATATATCAATTGTATATCAACTTTCCCATATACTTACTGCTTCTGTTCTGCATGAAGCTATATATCAGAAGTGAGTTAAGATGTGATAATGAGAAGAATAAAGTACTTGATCTTATCATGTTTTATTAAGTCTAAATATGAGGATGAGATTCAATTGGTCTAGTTACTCCACAGCCTTAGGGTTTGGAATACCTCTCCAATCATCGAAACCCGTGCTTGGTAGATACGCCTCGTCTAGTCTAAGAGTAAGCATCATAGCCAATTATATTTCTATCTTCTATACTTCTCCCGAAGCATGATGAGAGATGGATGACCCACGTCTCGTCAAGATACTTTGCTGTCAACCGCGGTATATGTTTTTAGGGACTCTGTAGCATCTTGAAACTCTTGCTCAATAACCTTCGCATGGTTGTCGGATCGGGGTTCTATCGAACAAGGGAACGGAAGCGGACTGGAGTTGAAGCCATCCGAGAAGGCGAATCTAAAGAGGTATGAGTATAGTTAATGTTATTGAATTAACGTGAATACAAGTTGCTTACATGTCCACATCGACGTCGTTTCCGTCTGCATCCTCTGTGGGACTGACATTAAAAGCCCATAGTATTCGTGCGATATTGAGTTCCACAGACGCAGAACCTAAGTGCATGCCAGGACAGATTCTTCTTCCCCAACCAAATGCACTATGACCAAATGTGCCAGGATACTCACGCTCTTCTATAAAGCGTTCAGGTTGGAATTCGTTTGGATCGGGGAAATCGGATTCGTTTAGGTGAACTACGGATCCAGTCTTAGTATTAATGTGATTATCTGCAGTAGAATCTCCAGCGTACTTACTACTCCATAGGGGTGCAATGATTGTGCTTCCCTTAGGAATAAACATTCCCTTATACACGTCATCAGCGGTACTGGCATGCGGTGTGCCTCCTAGCACAGCTACTGGTCTCCATCGTAGCGTCTCAGAAGCAACTGCTCTAACGTATGGTAATTGGGGTAAGTCTTCGAATGTTGGAAGCCTGCTATTTCCTACTACCTTGTCGAGTTCCTCCTGTGCCCTAGGAATAAACTGTGAACCGAACTTGACACAAGCGAGGAAAAAACTAGCGAGTGAGCCTGCGGACTACATCATCCTACATGAGCATAGTACCTTTCACAGCCTTTAGAAGAACATGATGGACTTACTGTCTCTACCCCCGCACCAAAAGGAGAGCCTGCGGTGTATGCAATTTCCAGATCCGAAATTCCAAGGTTCTCTTGTTCCTCTAGTAGGTGCTTGGCAAAACATGCAGGCAAAGTACCTTTATTATTCCTATCTTTAACTTCGGCCATAAGTTCCGTGTATAATTGGATGTCTTTCTGTCGTTGCTTAAGGACCTGAGCTTTCCATGGTGCAAACATGCCAGGTATGTATTTAAGAGCTGGGTATCGCTCTACCTTATATTTACCGGGAATACTACAAAATGTAAGTAATAGTATGAAAGAACGGGTTAGAAACCTACTTGACTTGTGTAAGGCGGTCCATTGACTCGCCATTGCGCTGCACAACAATATCGGTATCAACATTTTCGACTCTTCGTCCGTATGTGACCGTAACGATAACCGAAGCAGCATAACGCTCGAGATGCTTCCGGAAGGCCTGAGGGGTTTGGAGCAAATCGTACATAAGAACTTTAGACTCTAAGCTCTGGATAGGTCGATAAGTTAAACTTTGACGATTCATAAACCCGCTATGTAACAGCTTCCGCCAACGCCGCCAGAAAGATCCATATGGCGCCATAAGGCCTCTCATCCCCCCTGACAGAAGTTCACCACCCATAATGAAGCGGGGTCGAGAAGAGTACTTCGCTCCTCGTTTCTCTAAGAGGTCCCATGCCGCCTGAGCTGAACCGAGTATTATGGTGGGTGTTGGGCCCATCTGGAGGTAGACTACATCACCATACTCTTTATTTAGTTCTCGAAACCATAGCCATGGCTTTCGAAGGCCAGATTTGATAACCTTCGGGCCCGGAGGAAGCTCTTTGCGATGCGCATAAATCTTCCATTCTTGCAACAACTATTCGAATCATGTTAGTTAAACATCCCCTTAAAACTTCTTGTAATAAGCTGCTTACTCTCGGGAATATTAGGGTTAAGTAAGAAAGCGACACAGCAAAGCCTATACTAGCAAGAATTGTTGCGTACATTTTGGCGTCGAGGCTCAAGAACTGACCATAGTCCTCAAACGTGCAACTCCCGACGTATAAAGAAACCAGTTAATATGCAGAGGGCGCCCCTCGCAGAAATACCAACATGGATTACCGAGAATCCTCCTGCGCTAGTTGTCTCTATTCAAACTGCCGACCTTGGCGGGGAAGCCTAATGTGGATATTCCCCCAAATTTGACGCCCATGTGCTTTGCGGAGATGAAGACTAGACCCTCGCTAATAGGAGCTGTATTTGGTTTAGTAATCTATCCTATTTTATAGGCACGCATCATAATACAGACTCACGCCTATTTGCCTTACGAGAATACTCGAAGTTATGAAGATAAGTGCTAGTTAATACTTTCCCTGAGTAAGAGGGCGAAAAGCCTGTAAAGCAACATTTCTAAAGTTGCCTCTCCATGTAGCCAGTTTCATAATATATAATATTAATTCGTATGAGAAAGACTAGAGAAGCAACTCGAAACGAGACTCGACCAGGTTAAAGGCTCAAAGCTGAGCAACTGCAACTTAATAGGGGTAGTCTACGCTATAGAACAGCTGGATTCGATTCGTGTACCCCGCCCCTGGACCCTTGGCGGACCCATCCCCGGATCCCATGAACCAAGTAGTCGGATACTAACCCCGGATTTCTTCAGGCCTAGATGTCCTATCCTCAAGCTGATGCGGCGATACTTAAACCCATGTATGCCCTCTAATCTGAACGAAGGGCCTCAGTGCACCTTCAATACTCCTTATCTTGCTTCGTAGTAACTATGAAGAATCAGCCGCTACTAAGCAAGCCGTTTCTGACTTCTCTATTCCTCGGAATAGGTGGCTTTCTCTATGGCTAGTAAGTAACTATAGCCGCGATGAAGCTCTTTCCACTCAATACTAACGGAACCCAAGCGATTCGGGAATAATTACGCCGAGTTTGGCACTGAAGTCCTTCCTGGTTTACTTCGGGCAGCCGGATGCTGCCACCCGGGGAGCAATCGTCTCAGTTTACCAAGCTGGAGGTGATACAATATTGATGTCTTTTTGTGCTTCTCTTATACTGATACGTGGCTACAGCATGGCTTGGCAGTGCTTTGGTTGGTTTTACCAGCGACAGGTTTGGCCGACGAAAGGCCATAGCGTTCGGATGCATATGGGGTGTCATCGGCTCGGCGCTCATGGCTGGAGCTGCCCATGTCGCTATGCGTGAGTATAGAGAAAATTGAATAGATATGGAATGTCCCTAATATCTTGATATCTAGTCATTATGGGCCGCCTCTTAGTCGGGTTTGCGGTTGGAACAGTTACAGGCGTGGCTCCCGTTTTCGGTGCCGAAATTGCAAAGGTACATATATCACAGGGGATGTCTCAGGGGAGCACTGACTTACTGATCGACAGACACACGAACGCGCGAAGATCACAGCAGCGAATCAGATGAGTAAGACGTGGAATCCTAAGAAACAAGTATTATCATTTTGCTAACAGGAGTTAAGTGGTCGCCTGGGGATTTTTCGTTGCATTGTGGACCGGAGTTGGCGAAGGTAAATGGAGCAATCCCAACCAATGGAGACTGGGATTTGCTATCCAAGGCGTCCCGGCTGTTCTACTTGGTCTCGGAGTTTTATTCATCAGTGAATCCCCAAGATGGTTGTGTTTGAAGGGCCGCCACGAAGAAGCGAAGCAAGCTTTCCGCAATTACCACTACGACGGGTCTAACGATACGTGGGTTGACGCCGAGTTCACCATTATCCAAGTAAATATCGAAGAGGAGAGAAAGGCCCAAGGTCGCCTATCATGGGCGGACCTTTTGAAGACTCCGGCATTCCGAAAACGCCTTTTCGTGGGATCGTTCGTATGGGCAGCTGCTATGTTATCGGGCATATCATTCGTCCAGTACTACCAAACAGCAATATACGCAACTCTCCAGTTTGATCAGAATGAGCAGCTTCTCGTCAGTGGCCTTTACGGAACTGTCGCGCCTGTGGCTTGCCTGGCATCTCTCTTCTTCGTCGATCGCATCGGCCGAAAGAAGATATTAATAACGAGCTCTGCTCTCCTCTCCCTTTGTTATTTGATAATTACTATCCTCGCCGCAGTCTATCCGGCACGTCCCGGGTTTCCCACAAATGTTTCGGCGCAAAGGGGCCTCATTGCTTGCATCTTTGCTGTTTCGGCAAACTATTCGGCTCTCCTTGGCCCGATGACCTGGATTATTCCGTGAGTCTTATCTTTCCGGTCCTAGTTTAGCTACCTCTTCATGTTAATGATCTCTCTTGCAGTCCTGAGGTTTTCACTACCGAGCTACGAGCTAAGGCGAACGCTTTGATCCAGGTCATTCACTACTCTATTAGTCTAGTCATCACACAGTGCTCGCCTATCGCACTCGCAGCGGTTGGATGGAAATACTATGTATTACTATTGTAATTCACCAAGATGTAACTACTATTACTGACTCGGTGATAGATCTTATTCATCCTCACCAATGCACTTTGCGCTCTAGTGTTTGCCTTTGCGTATCCCGAGACAAGAGGTATGCATCCATCGGTACTACTAACAAACACACTGACAGCTAACAACTTTTAGGAAAATCGTTAGAAGAGATTGATGAAATCTTTGGAGATGTTAAAGTGTTTTACAATGGAGGTGCCAAGTTATCTAATGACGAGGAGGTCGCCGTCGAAACTTTGGAAGTTGGAGGCAAAAAGGATTAGATAGGGGTTGCTGAGATTCCTCGAATAATCTTTTTCTTATACTGGCAATTATGCCTACCCAGGCTAAACCAATGGTAGAAATCAGGTGCTTATTTTTCTCTTTTAAAATCTAATAGGGTTGTTTATGTCTCGATTCTGAATCGCGACTCTGATTCAGGGGTAACACGTCGAGGCTAATGCTCGTTCTATTGATACATACCTTCTGGATATCAGCATATGTATCAGTATGATGAATATTTCCTTAACTAATATAGACTTACATAATGCCTTCAAGTTTCAAAGTCTGACGTCAGCGAATTTGGTAAGACAAAAGCGGTGCATGTCGGACCCCGCCCCCACCACTGGAACTATCATTAAAACTTATGGCGGTAGGAAGTACATAATTCTATGTATACTGTGTATTACATAGTGCATACTACCTACTATCTTCATACATAGCCTCAGGCAGCTACACGTAAATAGGTAGGTTAAGGTTGTTGCCGGAATCAACGAACGCTATTGTTTAGATTTTTACCATGTTCCTTGTGAAAGGGCGAAAATTTGTTAGCTCCACTATTAAAACCCCCACAATGCCACCTCTAACCCAACGAGCCACACAGCCCACACAGCCCACAGTAGTGCACAGGCTGAAAGAGAAAGATAGGACCAGGACTTGCACAAGGACCGTTGTTTCTTACAACCACAAAGATTACGGAGGATAAATCTTTTTTTTTCCTATTGTTCTCCAAGGTCATAGGCCATTTAGGTACTATTTGCCATTTACCATTTTTCCTCCTTTGATAAAAACCTACTTATTCAACTCTCTCGTTTAATCGGTCACATTTGCTTGTGATCATATTCAACGACCTGTGTCTGTGGTCGCTATCAGGAAATTAAATAAAAAAAGCCTAAGCGGGGTAGATTTCTTCAATCGCTTTTACTTATCGTCATCTCTATCGTCATCTGCATCTATATCAGCATCAGATCAGCATCAGATCAGCATCAGATCAGCATCAGCATCTGCTTCCTACGGTCGGCGATAGACAAAAGAAAAAGGAGTAGAATCACAAAATCCGATATTCAAGATGGTTTCCGCATCCAAGGAAAAGAGACTCGCCAAGAAGGCTGCCGATGGCAAGGGTGAGAAGAAGACTCTTGTCTCCAGATCTAAGGCCGGCTCCAAGGCTGCATCCCAAAGCACCAGCGCTGCTGGCTCCGTCGCTGGCGATGACCCTCCTGATCTCGACGATGTCCCCGCGACCGACGATGCCAAGATGGAGAAGGTCAAGGCACTTTCTAACCAAAAGGACAAGCATGGTCTCTCCGACCGTATCACCACTGGTGTCCTGGCATCCGTGGTCACCAGCCGAGACGTGAAGATCATCAGCGCCAGTTTAACCTTCCACGGCCGCGTCCTCCTTAACGAAACCAACCTTGAACTCTCATTCGGACGTCGATACGGATTGCTGGGTGAGAACGGTTGCGGAAAGAGTACCTTACTTAAAGCTGTTGCTGCGCGAGAGTATCCCATTCCTGATCACGTCGACATTTACCTCCTTAATGAGGGTGCACCGCCCTCTGACCTGGGTGCCCTCGAATGGGTTCTTAAGGAAGCTGAAAAGGAGATGGATCGTCTGGACAAACTAGCAGAGCAACTGCTTGAGGATGAGGGCCCCGACAGCCCCGTGCTGATGGATATCTACGAAGTATACATGCCCCTTATACAGTTCAGTTAATTCATGCTAACAGAACGCAACAGCACATGGATAAGATGGATCCCTCCACCTTCGCCACCCGAGCCTCCCTTATCCTGACTGGTCTTGGATTTAACAAGGATACCATTCACAAGAAGACGAAGGACATGTCTGGTGGTTGGCGTATGCGTGTTGCCCTTGCTAAGGCGCTCTTCGTTAAGCCTACCTTGCTACTTCTTGATGACCCGACAGCGCATTTGGATCTTGAAGCTTGCGTGTGGCTTGAGGAATATCTGAAGAAGTGGGAACGTACGCTGATTCTCGTATCTCACTCTCAGGATTTCCTGAATGGAGTGTGTACCACCATGATTGACATGCGAAAGCAACAGCTCATGTACTACGGTGGTAACTTTGACTCTTACGTCAAGACCCGCAAGGAACAAGAGACCAATCAGATGACGGCCTACAAGAAGCAGCAGGAGGAGATCAAGCACATCAAGGAGTTCATCGCTAGCGCAGGTACCTACGCCAACTTGGTGCGACAGGCTAAGTCCCGACAGAAGATTCTCGACAAGATGATTGCCGATGGCCTCATCGAGGAAGTCAAGGAAGAGAGGGAATTCAAGTTCAGATTCACAGATGTCGACAAGCTACCCCCTCCCGTCTTGTCGTTTGACGATGTCACGTTTTCGTACTCGGGTGAAGCCAAGGACGACCTGTACCGCAACATCGACCTCGGTTTCGACATGGACTCCCGAACAGCCCTTGTCGGCCCCAACGGTGTCGGAAAGAGTACACTACTGCGCCTAATGACTGGAAAACTCTCCCCGACCTCTGGATCCGTCCGTCGCCACACTCATCTAAAGCTTGGCTTGTACTCTCAACACAGCGCCGAGCAGCTTGACCTTACCAAGAGTGCTCTAGACTTTGTCCGTGATAGGTACCGCGATAAATCGCAGGATTACCAATACTGGAGACAATGCCTTGGTAGATACGGAGTCTCTGGTCCCGTTCAAACTGCGCTGATGGGCACGCTGTCTGAAGGCCAAAAGAGCCGAATCGTCTTCGCTCTGCTCGCTATTGATTCGCCAAACATGCTTCTCCTTGACGAGCCTACAAATGGTCTAGATATCCCTTCCATCGATGCTTTAGCAGATGCTATTGAGGCATTTAGCGGTGGTGTAATTGTCGTTTCTCACGACTTCAGGTAAGAATCGCCCTTGATCCTAATGTATATTAAAAATTGCTAACAGGTATAACAGATTGCTCGACAAGATTGCAAAGCAAATCTTAGTGTGCGAAAACCGATCAATCAAGCCGTGGGATGGTTCGATAGGAGAGTACAAGAATTACCTGCGCAAGAAGATGTTGGCTTCTGGTGCAGTTTAAGATCTGCCATTTTCCACGATTCCCATTTAGCCCGGTTAATTATGCAGAGATGCTCTCGTTTACGAGTAATGATCGTACTATAAAGGTGGTACGGAAAAGGAGAGCGCATACGTACATACAAGGTCGCGGCTCGGAGGTCTATAGATTGGGCAAACGAGGCATAGAGCCGCAACAGCCTTGAATTAAAAAGCTTTGCTTTCAAAAGAGGCTTTCAGGAACCGCGGAGAGCCGGCGCGAACATGGGCTGCGATTTCGCAAATAGGAATAGACTAGATGAATTTAAAAAAAAAATTCCGTCCTTAGATATGCGACTATGGTATGCAGATGTGATCTAGGTTAGTATGGTTTTGTATATACCTATGTAGATGATGGATAATGAGCTGCGGTTACTACTGCCACCAATATTATTATATTATAAAGCGAATCACATTTTATTACAACTCTTGAAAATCTACACGCTAATATCTTTTATAATTGATGAATTACTAAAGGGGTAACCTTTTCCTAGGTAGGTACTTCTATAGGTCTGTATATGTTAAGACACGCTATTCCCATGACATTTCCCCCGCGCGAACTACTATATATATGCCAATGGCAAACAAATTTTCAACAAGCACTAAAGGCCGCTTGGCCCAATGGTAAGGCGTCTGACTACGACCGAACATGATAAAACATGTTTGATAAGTTATCAGGAGATTCTGGGTTCGAGCCCCAGGGTGGTCATATTTTTTGATGCTGTATTGAACAATGCCCACCAATGCAACCCATTCATTTTCGTCGTGTTCGTCACTTTGCATTTATTTAATTTTTTATTTTCCGACTTTTTTTATCTACTTCTACCTCCGGATCTAACCATGGAATAAACAACCTTATCGACGGGAAGATTTATCAAGTAAATTGGTGCACATACGTAGTGAATACTTAACTTTGCCTATAGTCTATGTATAGTAGCAAAACAATCACGTTATGAGAATGTATAAACCTGTTCGATACATTGATGGGTACGAGCCGTTAGAGGAAGCGATCGTAGATGGAAGTCCGAAAATGATGTCCGCTGTCCTAGCCATAAAAGTTGATAAGCTTAGAGAAGACAACCTTCTAAAAGAGTTACTCACCAACTCAGACTATCTGCGGTATTTTGCTCACCTTGCCCTTGAAAGAGGAGTCAGTCCTAAAGTTGTTGAGTACCTGCTCGATCTTGTTCAACCCCGTCTTTGGCAGCAAAACCCTCAGTGGCTAGACGAGGCTGTTAAAGCAGATCATCATACGATTGTTGACAAGCTCTCAGGGGGTGTGTAAAATGTAGATATCAATTCCATGTCGAAAAATGGGGAAACATTTCTAGTCAGTCTGTTGAAAAATGGTCCGCTCGTCTATACGATCCCTGGGACTGCTTCTGTCTTTCTAGGACACGGTGCTGATCCATTCTTGCCAATAAGATATTCGGCTTGCCATGTTAACAAACATAAAAACCCCGCATGTAACAAGGAAGAGTATTCGGCGTTTGAGCTTGCCTTACATAACTCCCCTTATTCCGGGTTAGCCAGGGAAATATGGGACAGTTCAGCCCCTGGATTACGACCCGATCTAAAGATGTTCCTCGGATGTATCCCAAATATCTTTTGATGTGTCCTAAACAGTAGCCGCTCGGAAACATACCAAGCCGAACTGACTGAGTGGTTGGAAAGTCTAAGCGTCGAGAATAAGGCGAAGAAGTAGTCCAGGAGGTATAATTAAGGAACATAGTTTATTAGAGAGGCCTTAGTTATACACAAGACGTATAAAGCTAATATTAGGCGCATCATCTCCCTTTACAATTGATCCTCTACGATATCCCACAGCCACTTACTTTTTCAATGTTTACTTGAAAAGCATCCCTAAAGACATCATCACCCAAGACATCTCCATCCCGACCACGGGCTGCTACGCCCTTCATCCCACAAGGCGCAAAGGAAATGATAGTCCTCTCTGACCACTTCATCAGAGGATGAGGGTGAATAAAAATAAGAGAATAAGAAGAGAAAAGCCGATAATAGCTCGTTAGAAAAGGAAGAGAAGAAAGACGCGTGCAAGGATGAGACGTGATGAGAACCTTTTTTTATTTTCTTTTTAAAAAGGGGGTAGATGCTGTGAGCGTAGAAAAGGCGTAGCCTATTCTACTGATGTATAACAAGGTCTACAGCATTCTAGTAACCTAGGCATATACCTACCTAGGTAGGCTAAGCA